TTTTCCTTCATAATAAAGACCCCTACTACCTCTACCAGAACTCATCAGTTTCAAACCAGAATACAAAGTAGAGTACATAGTAGATACTAAGCTAGTGTGTAGAAAGCTCAAGTTCCTTATCTACTAGAAGGGATACCTAGTTGAGGAATGTACTTGAGAACCTGCTAAGAACCTTACTCATACTTCTAAGACAATCTGAGATTTCTATTAGCTTCATCCTAGTACTCTACACAAACTCAGTCTTACAGATTTTCAAGCCCTACTGTTCCAACCTATACCTGAGCTGCTAACCAAGCTCTATATTTACCAATCAGGATAATTGGTTTTAGAGGAGGGGTAATGTTACAGTTCTCCCTGAAGGCTCAGTAAGGGGACCCAGGCTACAACTATCCTACACAACAGAAATACAGAATGTAAGTACTAGAACATAGTTAGAACTTGTAGAACAGGTAGAGAGAGAGAGAGTGAGACAAGAGTAGAGTATATAGAGTGAGCCTAAGAGTACAGAACTACCTAGAGTAGACAAGATTAAGACTACAGGACCAGTCTGATCTTGTACACCTATATATACTAAATACACAAGAGCACTCAGGGAGTATGAGCTACTAAGAATGATAAGCTATGAAGAATGAAAGAAAGGAATGTCAAAGATAAAGGTACAAAGAATGAAGGGATGGACAAAGGGTAAGAGACTATAGAATGAACAGAGAATGAAGGGGTGGTCAAAGGAATGGAATGATGAAGTAAGGAAGGGTAGTAGTAAGAGTTAGTATGTATATAGTCTATAAACAGTGTCTCTAAGGGACAGAAGTCCTGAGTTCTAGTACAGAAGAGTGTAGAACCCTTAGAACTGAAGGTAAGAGAGTATCCCCTCTACACTGTTACTAACAATAACAGAACAGTCCCTATTCTTCCTCAACTATAAAAGACATTTGTATTAGGGAACAGTTCTAAACTAGAACAGTAGTTCCAAATCTGTAATAGACTTTGTAGAACAGATACACAAGACTAGAGAGAACACATAAGCTCTTTTAGAGAAGGTAGTACAGGTTATAAAGTAGAACTATAATTGGAAGAGGTTTATAACTAAGGATTACTAGCCTAGTAACAAAGTTATACTAGAAGCTACTAATCTGACTACAGATTACTTAATAAAGAAGTTAGATAACAAGTACTTCAGACCCTTTATTATTAAAAAGAAGATTAGTACCTCTACTTACAAACTCTAACTTCTAGTAATATAGAAGTATATACACCTAGTGTTTAACAAGGTTCTGTTGTCTCAGTACTATAACCCAGGTTTTCCTTTACAACAAAGACTCTTACTACCTCTACCAGAACTCATCAGTTCTGAACTAGAATACAAAGTAGAGTACATAACAGATACTAAGCTAGTACACAGAAAACTCAAGTTCCTTGTTTACTAGAAAGGGTACCTAGTTGAAGAACACACTTAGGAACCTGTCAAGAATCTTACTCATACTTTTAAGACAATCTGAAACTTCTATCAACTTCATCTGAGTACTCTGTACAAACTTAGTCTTACAGATTTCTAAGCCCTACTATTCTAACTTATGTCTAAACTACTAACCAAGTCTAATGTTTACTAATTAGGATGATTAGTTTTAGAGGAGAGGTAATGTTACAGTTCTCTACTCTTACACCTTTAGTTCTAAAGGTTCTACACTCTTCTGTACCAGAACTCAGGACTTCTATCTCTCAGGAGTACTGTCTATAAACTATATACAGGCTGACTCTTACTACTACCTCTCCTTACTTTATTATTCTACTCCTTTGACCACCCCTTTATTCCTTGTTCATTCTATAGTCTCTTACCCTTTGTCCATCCCTTCATTCTTTATACCTTTATCTTTGACCTTCCTTTCTTTCATTCTTTGTAGCTCATTATTCTTAGTAGCTCATATTCCCTAAGTACTCTTGTATAGTTTAGTAAATAGGTGTATAAGATCAGACTGGTTCTATAGTCTTGATCTTGTCTACTCTAAGTAGTTCTATACTCTTAGACTTACTCTATATACTCTACTCTTGTCTTACTCTCTCTCTCTGTCTGTTCTATAAGTTCTGACTACATTCTAGTACTTACATTCTGTATTTCTGTTGTGTAGGACAGTTGTAGCCTGAGTCCCTTACTAAGCCTTTAGGTCCCCTCTATACTGTTACTGACAAGATATGTTCTCTAAGTTGATAGTACTCTCAAACTGTGAATGTAGACCTGTAGCTCTTAAACCAACTATATTCCTAAAGCTACCAGCTATGATTTATGCTAGGAGAACAAGTAGAAATATGAGAAGAGTCAAAAAACTAAGGAACTACTGTATTTATAGACTACTTTTTATAATAACTAAATAATAAGAGTAAAGTAAGGAATGAAACTTGAGAATAAGATTAAAGAAATAATAAGAACAAATATTACAAAACTAACAGGTGTATTAGAGGCTAGGAAGAATTAACAGAGTGTTACATATTAGAGAATATAGGCTAAGAGGCTATTGTACAAAAGAGGCACAAGTTACTATATTAGGCAAGAAATGGATTAGCTATATTGTAAAATGAGTACTCATTTCCTTACAGTTCTAACATCACCTCATGTCTCTGTAGCTCTCTCCTGTACTCAATACTAATACAATCTCTATGAAACTTTGTAGAATAATAGATGAGATATTAAGGATTATGAAAATCCAGTAGTAATGTTGGTTTTTCACAAAACTAATAGAGATACAAAGAAAATGAAACAGGTCCAATCATACAATCCTAACACCTACTCTCATATTTCCTAGTTTAAAACCTATAACACTTCTTTTCCTAGAAGTAATACTTTATTAGCTCTTCTACATAGTAGTTTTCTTCTACTACAGGAAAGTAGAATTTATATACTGAATAAACTAATCTTACTATAGTTATAACTGTATACTTTATACTGTATGTTATTTAAGAAATGAATCCTTGAAACTGTATTTTGAAGAATTTGCCTAACTGTAATAGGCATGCCCTCTATATTGTTATCTACTATCTTATAATTTTTCATTTTGACAGATGCTTTAATAACTACAGTCTCAGGTACTATAAGTTTCTTTCTACACTTTATGAAAATTTCCTAACAAACAGGCTTGTGTTTGTACTTTTGAGTCAACTCATCAAAGTGTTTTCTAATAGCATTCTTGGAATAATAAGCAGCAACACATATGCCTACAATAAAAAGCTGCTTGACACTATTATAATCTTTATACCTTATATAACAAAAGTCAGGTAAGTACTTACTAAGCTTACTTGTTTTGCTCATGTTGGTTTGTTAGACAGGCTGGATACAGAATGAAAGTTTGGTACTAATGTCTACACTCAATATACCCATTTACTTTGCCTTGGCTGGATACAGTAATTAGCAAATTACCAATTTGGTAGTGTACTGTGTTTGGCTCTCATAAACAAACCCTCCAATACTAAGATTCTGGAACAATTAGATAAACACCTTTTACTTATTCAGTCTGACAATATTAGTCTTGCTATAATTTTAAATCGTCTCCTCTTATCTCTAGATGAAGACAAGACTAGGCAACTCTCATACCTGCTAGTACTGTTTAGGCTTCTGAATTTACATAGCAAGAAAACACACAGATGACTCTAGTCTTCAACCTTGCAACTTGTGATTTCTTTTCAACCCAACACCTTTTAAGAGTGTACAACAGAAGAATATTTGCATTTATTCTGATTCAAGTTCATGAGTGGAAGCAGATTTATCAGTTGCTTGCATTTTTGTGTAAAATTTATTACAAAGCTTTAACCTATAGGAATATCCATGTATCTGACTCAATGACTTCTGGTTTGTTCAGCATGCAAGTGTATTGATTACATTCTGGTTTCCTACTGTTTTACCACACACAGACTCGGATAGGGTTGGGTATATTATAAATCAGTATCATATAATACTCTAAGTAATAGCCCAACCCTAATTCAAGGCTTTGTCAACCAAACGTTCCATTGCCATGTACACAATAGTATTCTGAGCCAACTTTGATTATTTCTCCACTTTGTGAGATGATTTCATTCCATCCTTTTGATTCCCATACACGCCTTGTGGTTATTACATACTGTAGCAAAGTGTTTACCCAGAACACTCCATTCCCATATTTGCCAGTCCAGAACTTATGGTATTTCATTCTGTCAAACCAATCCTCTAGTAGACTACACACATAGGGTGCGTTTCTATAACAGAAGTCGAATTTTTCAACTGCATAAGTCAACTTTGCTGGGGCTGTAGTTGTATACTTTACACTGTACTGGACTTTAGAATTAAATCCCTATTAACAATGTTTTAAAAACCTGCCTGACTGTAATCGATAATCCCTCCAGACTGTCATCTACTATTTTGTCTTTTTCCCCTTTGACAGAGGCTTCAATAACCACAGTACAAAATTCTGCATTGGGCATCGATCCACATTTCAGGAAAATCACCCAATGAACAGGCTTGCGCTTGTACTTTTGAGTCAGCTCGTCAAAGTGTTTCACCATAGGGTCGTCAGAAGGAAAGGCAGCAACATAAATTCCTAGAACAAAGAGGTTCTTGATAAGATTAATATCTTTATACTGTATTCGAGAAGATTCGGGCCTCAACAGGGCGACGAGCTTGCTTATTTTGCTCATATTGGTTCTGTTAGATAGTAGTAGCTGAAGGCAGAGCTAAAAAAAATTGGTACCGAAGGCCACTCTTGATATACTCTTCTACTTTGCATTAGTCACATACGCAAATTAGCCAATGACCAATACAGAAGCGTACTGTATTTAACTCCTGCAAAGTAAGCCTTCCAATGCTGAGGTCATAGTGTAATCAGATAGCACCTGACACCTATTTCGTTGACAATTTCTATTCTATATTGATTCTAGCTTTATTCGCAATACAAATATTCAAGTACAGTATTTCGCTGAATAATTTGATAAACAGCACTGGGTCTATAGTACTGCTAGCAAATGGTGGAGGCTCAGAATTAATGGCTTTCGAATGTCCCACTCCCGGGTATACAATAGAACTCCGAGTCCACTTCGATTATCTCTCCACTTTGCGAGGCAAGAGCTTCCCATGCTTCCCACTCATCACGGTCCTTTATGTAACCCTTTTCCCGTGCATCATCCAGCAAAGTCTTGATCCAGAACAGTCCAATCCCGTCTTTGCCAGTTCGTAACCTATTGCGCCCTTTCTCTTTGAACCAATAATCTAAGAGACTCTTCATATTAGGGCGTGCATACCATACAGGGAAGTAAAGTTTCTTCGCTGCATAGGTCAACTTTGCTGCAGCATTTCTTGAATACCTCACACTACATAACATTTGGGAGATGGTCCTTTATAGGATAATACTTGAATACTTACCTGACCTCAAGTGGCAAGCCCTCCATGTCTTCACCTGCCTCTTTATAACTGTCTAAGTTGATACCTGCATGAATGATCACGTATGACAGCGAGCCTCCCTTACGGAACCCCAGGTATATATCCCAAAAGACCGGCTTGCGTTTATACTTTGAGGTCAACGCATCAATGTGTTTGCCTACGAAGTTTTCACTTGTATTAGCAACAACATAAAAGCCCTGGATTCCACAGCGCTTGACACTTTCTAAGTTCTCATAGCTTATCTCAGAGAATCCAGGCAAGCCTTTGCTATTTTGGCTCATATCTTTAATACTGTTTAGGACAGGGGCAACTGTAATCGGGATTGACGGGTTTGTGTTTGTGTGGCACCTGAAGCCTGCACCTTAATATACGGTTACCACTTACTTTGCCTCGTTCGAAAGAACAAAGGTAAATATCCAATTTAGTGGTGTATTGAAATGCTGCAAAGCAATCTAGCCAAGTGTGCCACGGATAAGAGGCTCACTCTATACCACTCCTTCCAAACGCATACAGAGTCAAGCTAAATGCATGCTAGAATCGGTTCTTCATTCTGCCTTCACCACATCTGCGTTCCACTACGAATGCAGTCCGGCACCTAACAAAAGCATCCGCCAAATCTGACAGAGCCTCGATCCGAGATGCCCATATAGTTCCAGATCCTAAGCTCGTTTGAATTTGTGATCTAGGCGCTGCAGGTCTGAATGATATCGATCATTGATGATCCCCGACGTGCCCGGGTCACGTGGACTCCATCAATGATGGCGGGAAAGAACAAAAACCAGGTGTCAACCACCCAACTTTCGAAGCGTCAAATTGCAATGCGATGCGCGGTGCGGCGCGACGCTCGGCCAATAGCAGGCCTCTCCATTGTTTCCATCCCCAGCCTCTCTACGATCATCACTTGCAGTCACAACGAGAATGAAGTTTATAAAGGGCAGGCCTGTCCTATCGCACGCGTCCTTTTCCCTTTTCTCCTCCCTTGGTCTCTAGTCCCTTCCGACCGACGTGGCTTGGTCGCGCCCGACTTGTATTTTTGGACGCTTGTCTGGCCCGCCATCCCTGTGTGAATTGACAAACTCAAGTGTGTAACCTGACGACGAGAAGACAAAATTCGCACGAGTTCTTTGTACTTGTTCTACACAAGGAAGCTCAAGAAACAGCGTGGCCCCCCTTTATTCTTATTCTTAAAGCATTGGCTCCTCCACTGGTCTTATTACTAGCTTGCAGTCAACTCCTCATTGCAATCCACGCGCCGCAATAGAAATTATGCTTTGCTCAAATACGAATCGAGTTGATCTTCCGGTAAGTACTAATTTCTTCGTCCTTTGCGACTCGCATTGTTATCTCCTTTACTGACAGATCGATGTTCATCGATTTGCATGTAGGGCTCACCGTCAACATGTGCACTTGATATGGTCATAACCAATATTCCATCCTTCCTCCTGCTCGCATTCATCGCCATCTACATCCCGATACGACTCTTCCTCAATCATCGATCCAAGTTCAATCCTCCTTCAAAAGCCTTCGTCGGACAATCCTATAACAGATACAGTTATTCATCTCCTTCCGAGTCACCACGACGAATATTCGCTCAAGGCTTCCCGAGATGGGTGCATTACTTATACATCTTCTTGTTTGCGTGTTTATTTGCACTACGTGTGCTCGAAGTGGTCCGGCTTGTCCTTGCTCACATGGGTGTTGCGCTGCTTCCTGTGGGCATCGTTGCGAGTGTCGCTACTATTTTCATGTTAGCGTTTGGGAACTTGGGGTGCGGGATGGGAAGGACGAGGAGTCTAACTGTGTCTGCCGTAAGTGATTTATTAGGAAAAACTTCAACTGATTTTTTGAATCTCGAGACATGACTGGTACTGATTTATTTTCTCTGAATTTAAACAGAGCCTTGTCTTATATTGGGCATCTTCCACTGTTTTCGAGTCCATTAAAGTTACGCGACTCGTCTCGTATAACACAGCCCACCCTGCGAAGGGCACTGATTACCCTTCATCTGATTGGCTCCTCGACAACGGGTGCATGGTGAGTTCGGATATCTGGCATCGCTTGATTTTCCCACCATCTTTCATTCTCTTCACCGCCTTCCTCCTATCCTTCCATATTTATCTAATCCCATCTGTCTGCCTCCATTTCTGTCTACACCCGTTTAAATCTGACATGCCATCTTTGATTGACCGCCTTGAATTCAACCCCTCATGTGAACTGTATAGCTGACCTACAATTTTATACAGCTCGGCCTAATGGTGATATTCTTCTTCATAGAAGGGGCGTACCTCGTCCTCCGCTGGCGGTCGTCCATCTTGTCACCACCCGAACCAGTACGAGAGATGGGCATCAGCAAGCCCCGACCGATGTCGGATTATGATGATTCTTTTATCATGATGGATGGTCGGGATCGTGGTTACGCTATTGGTGTAGCCGCTTGACTAGATTGATTGATGAATTTAATTGGACATTACTCTTGCCTTCTACGTATGATTGATGCTTTCGCAAGCCTGTTTACATCGCGCTTCGCTCTTGCACTGGTTGTGTGTATAGTAGGATCAGCCTTAGTTATTCCTTTCTACGTCTTCCTGATGATCAATTGCACACCGAAAACTCGGTTTGATGACCAGATTTTTTTGCCCTTCTCTTGGCTCGGACATCTTTGTGTTTGCTTTTTTCACAGGGTTCTGTAGCTGTACGTATGCATCCACAGACCGATATTGTACGATTATGTAATACAGTAATGTTCACAAATCCTGCTTGGGCAGCTTGGCTTTTCTACCTTGGTTAGTTTGGGGCTATTGCCTTCTGCTGGGCTGTCCTCACCTCTCCGATTTGTTAGTAGTCTTTCTAAAACTGACCTAGTTTGGCTCTTATGAGCTAAACTTCGGCTTGCAGTGTAGAAACAGCACGAAAGATAGCTTCCTCTGAGTCTGACTAATCTCTTTTCACATTCTGACTAATTCTGTCCAGTGATCCAGAAGTCCTGTGAACATAACATTACTGCTTCCAGAACCACATACTAGACTACAAATATATACAAAGGCCTACAGCTTATCGCCCACGCCCTTCTTCTAAGGCAGGGCGTCTAAGTCGTCTGACGCGGGCATTGTTAGTTGTGTCTTTGCGTACAAGCAACCAACAGCAAAGACACTTCGCCTATCTAATCATGCCAACGTACCAACGTCTACAGCAGTATGCCATTGCCATAAGCATTATCAGCATCCTCTACAACGGGGCGGAAGGAGCAGTCTCTATCGCCATCGGAGCAGAGAGCTCTTCCCGTTCCCTTGTCTTTTTCGGCATCCAGTCAGGCATCGAGGTCGCCTCTGCTGCCATCGTCGTTTGGCGTTTCCGACACATTGCGAAGCCGGGCGAGGAAGATACGATCGAGTTGTCGCCTGTTAATTTACGGTGAGCGCGAGGACATACAGTTCCTTTAATATTTGCAAAACGCTTGATTGATGGGAAATTTGTATTCCATTCACTACAGCGTCGAAAAACTGGGAACATGGGGTATCGGTATCCTCATTGCAATCCTTGCACTCGCAACCGAGGTCACCGCCATAGTCGGCCTCGTTCTACACTCCGAACCCGACTCGTCTAACGCGTCGCTCATCGTTGCTGCAAGTGCTCTCGTCTTAATGATTATCATCTGGTTGCCCAAGCGCACTCTCGCAGTCCGTCTTAACAGCAGCACAATGATGGGCGAAGCGACCTGTTCGCTTTCCTGCATCCAAATTACCATCGTCCTCTTCATCGGATCGCTCGTATTCAGACTCTGGCATGGCGGTTGGTGGGTTGACAGTGCGACATCACTTATCCTTGGTATACTGTTTGCCCGCGAAGCATGGAAGATGCTCTCATGGGTGCGAGACCCCGAATTCAATGGCGGGTGCTGCGGCGGATGTGCTACCAATGGGCCGAGAATTGAGAAAGACGCAGAGCTCGTGGAGCAGTACCGCGACCTGTGCGAATGCTGCTACGAAAAGGAAGAATGCCGGAAAGCAGACGCATGCAAGTGCTCAACGAGCTCGGAGGAAACGGTACGTCCAATTTCGTTCGATGCGCTGTCCATTATCCCCAACCTGAACACGTTCTGTGCAGTTGCCGTGCTGTGTACCGAAAAATCCAGACGGGGATTTGTGCTGCACCCACGAGCTTCTGCAGGGCGCCCGTACACAATCCCAACGGGTGAGTCGTCGTCGTCCAGAGTGTTATGTCATCCGCATCCGATCCTTCCAATATCTTGCCTCTAATGTGATCTGAACTAGAACGCCAAGGAGATCCACCAAATGCCGGACGGCAATGGCAAAGACGTGGTGGACACGTGCTGCAGCAAGGACGAAGTGATACCGACCGATCAAGATTCCTGTTGCAACGTCAAGGTCATCAACCAAACCACAGAAGCCAGTTCAGCTAGTGAGACTAATAAGAAGCAGAGTAGCAGTTGCTGCCAGAAAGGTTGCTGCTAAAGCACAAAGAAGCAAATATACAAACGGTTTTCAAAGCTCCAGGCAAACTGTTTCTGGGCGTTGTTAACATTGCCATCTTTGAACGATAGATGTACCAGTCGAAATCTGCATGCAGTTACAGTTCATGTTTATAATGTTCATATACTGCATATGATACACAATGCTGTACCCTTGATTGATTAGAAAAAAATAAACGCACAAAGAAGCTCTTACAGTTCAGTAAAGGATAAAACTGGCTGAAAGGATAAGCACATGTAGTAATCATTTATATGTATGCATGCAAGTGACTTTCATGCTCTCACTATACTGGTATTTATGACCTGGTGGCGAATTCTCACAATACAGATCATATGTAATTACAAGTTTTGTCAGGTACCCCCTACCCTGCACGGGTGGGCAGCATCTTTACCACTCCGATCATTCCTAATTCTCTTTAGTTTATTACATATTCCTAAGTTTCATTCTTGACATAATCATGGACAGGATTTTTACATCATTATACCATATAGCGCACTGTAAGTTAAACTATATCTAATCATCGTCATCTGACTTGCTGACCGCAATCCCCATAATGGGCAACGGTTGATACGGCTCCTCCAAATACTTCATTTCTTCTTTTGTCAGCTTGATATTTACCGCTTCTACACATTTGTTTCGGTTCACACTTAGCGAAATAACTTTGTTAAAAGTAGGTCGATACTTACCAACCAATTCCTTCAGATTTTGCATGCTTGTCGTACCAACGATTGGTGCTGAGACTGGGCTCTTGTTCATGACCCACGCCAAAGCAATCTGTGCCATCGTTTTGCCTTTCTTCTTCGCTAGGTCTTCGACGCGTTCGTTTACCTTATGGTTACTCTCGTATGGATCGTAAAGATTGAACCACCTTTTGACAAAACATCAAATCAGGACCGAGTCAGGATTCCGTAGACGAAATCAGAGTAGACACGAACATATCTGTTTTACTTCTCTTGGATTGCTCGCCAACAGGACGTGTGAGGAAGCCCCGAGCGAGTGGGGACCATGGAATGGACCCGACACCAAGGTGCTTGCAGAGCGGCATCATCTCGCGTTCTTCCTCTCTGTAAACTAGCGAGTAGTGATTTTGCATGGAAATGAATGGCGTAAGGTTATGTGTTAATGCATAACCTATTGCATAGTAGATCCAGTGTTAGTATATATGCCGTTTGATTAGGAATGGAATAAGACGAACTTTGCATAGCATAGACTGATGAAAATCCGATGAATTAGTAAGTGATTGAATAATGACGTTGCATGGACGCACACTGCCAGGCAAAACAAGAAGACATGCCGATATAACGTACATGTCCTGCCTTAACGACGTCATGGAGGGCTTGCATCTTTAATCTGTCATCAGCATTATTGGTACTCGGAGTAGACAATAGGCTTACCGTCTCTTCAATTGGTGTATTCTCATCGAATCGGTGGCATTGCAGTACATCAATATAGTCAAGCTGAAGACGCTCCAAACTGTGTTTAACCGAGTTGAAGATGTGCTAAACGCACGGCGTGGTAAATCCCAGACCAGGACACGCGAAGAACAACATTTGAGAGTCACCTTTCTGCTTAGTCCAAACTGATTTACGTATCCAAACTGATCTGGATCGGCACCTTGAAAATAGTTTTCGCCCTGTGTGCGGGATACAATTCCGAAGACCTTGGTCATTACGACGATCTCGTCTCGCGGCAGATTAAACTTCTTGATAGCCTTTCCGAGGATTATCTCAGAAACGCCATTCGAATATACATTGGCCGTATCGAACGTCTGGATGCCATCATCGTATCTTAGTTAGCAACGAAGAGTAAGTTAGAATCTGCGCAGCGTTGAGCCAGCACGGCTTATAATTGTGCAACTTACGCAGCTTTAATCTGCTTCAGTCCTTCTTCTTCGTCAAGCACCCAGGATTGCCATTCCGGAGTCCCATACGACATGCATCCCAATATGATTTTTGATACTTTCAAGCCAGACTTCCCGAGGCGCACTAAGTCAATTAAGGTGAATAAGAAATCCCCTAGTGAATGGGATACTAGGTATTCTTACCGTAAGGCATCTCCGTCCTCTTTTCGCCGACTCTAGAGGTAGCCATGTCGGATAGGAGACCAAGTGGGTTTTTTTAAAAGACATCTCAGACAAAAGGCTGCTTTATATACGCAATACCACCGGCTTCAAAGAGCTGGGAACAAGCAATGTATGACGCGTCCACGGCTCACCGGCAGTATGAATAAGAGGAGACAGAGAAGACCGGCTTAGTACGACTTTCAGTAGACGCGTGTTCGTTGACATAATATCTGAGATGTAAGTATGAAGTCCGTTCGACTTCTCAACGTAGTGACTCTATTTTGGCCTGCCTCACGGAATCATGAATGACTTAAAACTTTGAAAGTCAGCCGGATCCAGTACTATCATTTGTCAATGGGCTACCAACATTCTCTTTAATCAGTATATTCGTATCGAAAGATGGCATTGTAGACCATCGATGCGGTCGGCTGAAGACGTTCTCGACTGTGCCTGGCAGCAACGAAGATCACCTTAGTAGACTAATTGATTTAATTTACAACAGAGGTTGCTCACCTTTCTACTCCATCAAAACCGACCATCTAAACTGCAGCTACTGACTTAATGTTTCTTACATACTCCTCGTTGTGGCACATATAGATGTCAGGACACATTTCATACAGACAAACGCGCAGTTTGCTTCGATGACAATTCTTTTTTCCCGTTGCGAATCCAAGCACGTGATAAGTAGTACATAATCAGCCTCAAATCCCTCAACTGCTTCAGTTCACGTTTCCTGAAATTCTTATTATTCTAACTCGGATTCTTTTTCCATCGTTTTAGGGTACAGCGCACGAGGAGACCTGTATATCTAATCGTCGTCATCTGATGACTTGCGGACTGCAACCCCTACAACGGGCAACGGTTGGTACGGTTCCTCCAAGTATTTCATTTCTTCTTTTGTCAACTTGATATTTACCGCTTCTGCATATGCATTGTAGTTTATAATTAGCAAAACGACTTTGCCAGAGGTGGTACGACGCTTACCAATTAATTCTTTCAGATTTTGCATGCTTGTCGTGCCAACAATTGGTGCTGAGACAGGACTCTTGTTCATGACCCACGCCAAAGCAATCTGTGCCATCGTTTTGCCCTTCTTCTTCGCAAGCTCTTCGACACGTGAATTTATCTTGTGATTACTTTCGTATTGTCCGTAGATGTTGGTCCAACTTTTTGACACAATATGGAATCAGCATTGCATTAACAGTATGCAGGCCAGATCAAAAATGAATACGCACATATCTGTTTGGCTCCTCTTTGACTGTTCGCCGACAGGACGTGTGAGGAAGCCCCGAGCGAGTGGAGACCACGGAATGGACCCGACACCAAGGTGCTTGCAGAGCGGCATCATCTCGCGTTCTTCCTCCCTATAAGCCAGCGAGTAATGATTTTGCATGGAAATGAATGGCGTGAGGTTATGCGTTATTGCGTAACCTATCGGATTGAGTTCAGTAAGTATGTCTTTGCCTAAAGAATGAAATAGAGGACGGACTTTGCATTGCGTAGACTAACATTAATTCTATATATTAGTAAGTGGGCAAGGAGTGCGTTATATTGGACGTACACTGCCATGCATAGCATGAAGACATGCCGATATAACGTACATAGCCGGCCTTGACGACGTCATGGAGAGCTTGCATCTTCAAAGTATAATCAGCATGATTCTACTCGAAGTAAGAGTCCAGCTTACTGTCTCTTCGATTGGCGTATTCTCATCGAATCGATGGCATTGCAATACATCGATATATTCGAGTTGAAGACGTTCCAAACTGTGCTTGACCGAGTCGAAGATGTGCTAGACGTTAAACATGGTGAGTCTTAGATGCTATACTAGTCGGAAGAAGGAATTATTTTAAAGTCACCTTTCTACTTAAACCAAATTGATTTACGTATCCAAACTGATCCGGGTCAGCGTCTCCCCAGTATCTCTCTCCTTGTGTGCGAGACACAATTCCCCATAGCTTGGTCATTACGACGATCTCGTCTCGCGGTAGATTGAACTTCTTGATGGCCTTTCCAAGGATAATCTCAGAAACTCCGTTTGAATATATATTGGCAGTGTCAAATGTCTGAATCCCAGCATCGTATCTAAATTGGCAATGAACGGAGGTGAGGCACGTCAGATGCACTGATAAGTTTGGGTTGGAGAACTCCGCTTTTTATGCAACTTACGCAGCTTTGATTTGCTTCAATCCCTCTTCCCCATCAAGCACCCAAGGTTCCCACTCTGGAGAACCATACGACATGCAACCAAGTATGATTTTCGATACCTTCAAGCCAGACTTTCCGAGACGCACTAAGTCATATACAGTGAGTCCTTCACGTCAAGTGGGAAAACCCTAGATATACAGACCGTAGGGCATCTCAGTTCTTTTTTCACCGACTCTAGAAACAGTCATGTTGGATAGAAGATTAAGGGACCTTTTCTGTGCACCATCTCAGACAAGCCTGATTTATATATGTAATACCACCGGCTTCGAAGAGATGGTAATGGTGACGCGTTCACGGCCCATCGGCAGTCTGGCAGTGAGAACCTGATTACAATGACATGGAAAAATATCCGTAAGCAGAAATGTCGATCACTACCGTGACAGTGCTCTTTTGAAGTTCTGAATCTTCATGTTTTTGCTCTCTTCGCCCTCAAGTAAAAGGCCGCTAGTCTTCAAATACTTTTCGCAAACTAACAACAACGAGGCTACAACCAATGTCTAAATTTTTCCTAGCCCACCGGCTCTATGAAAATAGACAACAAGCCCATCTTTTCTCTGTGTACAGCACGGCTGTCTTTGTTGGTTCAAGTCACTTGACGTGCAGTGCCAAATGGCTGCATAATCTGTTGCAAGTGTAGCCAATATAGCATCCCCTGGTTCCACGCCCAATGAATAGAGCGTATGAAGTAAAGCTCCACTGAGAACTTTACGCTGGTTTGATTTTTTCGCTAGATTTTGGACATCAGGCTTTGGAGATCAACAGCAGGTCAACTCCTGCATTCCGTACTGACCCAAAAACACTGCAGAACCTCACCTTGCAAACATTTTACTACAGTGTCCTCCGGAACCAAACGTCCACCGAGATGCCGGATCATCTCCCATAGACCGTTCTAGTCGCTTGCAAGCCATCAAATGCTTACACTCTGAATTATTTTATTTTATCTGTACGATACACATGTAGAGTACTGTATACACAGATACTATTTTGAAGAAGTCTGAACGAAATACCTCCGGATCTAGACTTCAGATTTAGTGACTGATTGCTTATCGTAGGCAAAATAATTAGGCCTTACTTTATTTGGCGGTAGACTGCTTACAAAAGAGAGCTCATATTCCTCGCTTTTCGACCGCTTGCAGTCATATGATTATTGTAAACGCTCACAATTCACTCAACCACCCCTTTTCTTTCATTGTAGGAATACGTAGTCACAGAGCCTGCACCTCTATCAATGGACCTGTCCCGAAGCATGTAGGTACGACCACAGAGGAAACACTCTTACAAAAACCACAATTATTCTCGCAGCACAGCTGGGGCCTCCATTGTTCAGAACCTATTCTTGCTGTAAGCGGCAGAAGCATTTATACACTTCTAGACCAACTTTGTCCTTCCCCTATTTGTCCACCCGAGCGGAATTTAGAGATCTGCAGATCTCCGAAGCGCATAGAAAGTCGTAAACTTCCCGTTCAGCCTTCGCGTCTCGCGACAGCTCTTACCTTGAGAACAGGTATGTCTCAGATGTTATACAAGCTTGACAGTCTGCTGAAGAAATCCTCTAACGTCCTTTGTAGCTGGTTTGGGCCAGATTGGGCGTGATGATCACATTTGACTCCCCTTAAAATTTCAGTTTGTTGTACGGTGGGTCAGGCTCCCCGTTCAGGATCCAGATCCACCCGTTTACTCTCAACCACGACTATCTACCTGTAACTTCGTGGCTTTAGAACTCGCGGAACTTGCTTATCTCGAGTGGCACACACCCGATTTATAAATTGGCATTCCGAGACAAGCCGCTCCCGTCCCAAGTAAACTATATTCCCTAACGACATAGTTGATTCCTGTCTCCGTCAACATTTACCTCTCGCCCGCTTCGGAGTCTACTATTCCGACAAGATGGACCTCTCTCGAATAATAAATCCGCCTGAGGACGAAACTGAGCCACCTAGAACAGAACAACGTTCACCTTCCGTATCTCCAAGACCTGTTTCTCCCGTCACCACCGACGCGGGAGAAGAACCAGACTGGATTCGCGACGACCTGCCTAATTTATCTTTCAGTAAGACAGCGTTTACGCACTCCTTTTGTTGTGTTCTGATGAAGACCCTCGCACCGTAGTCGTATGTATGGAAGCGGTTGGGGAGGCAAGACATTCTCATTTTGTTTCTCCAAATACACCGCCTTTTCTCATGTTCAACTTCAGGGGAAATGTACATATGTCTCCCCGACGGCTCTGCATCTAATGGGTAGAGATCGTCTTATTCTCAATAACCACGGTTTTCTGACATTCTTGATAAGGTTGGTCACCGGAAGAGGTTATAGGTACCCCTGCGGCGCTATATGCGCATCCGGACGACGTGCCACAGTTGTATCGTGCATATCAGTATGGCGCGTCGATTCGCTTTCTCAACGCCTGGCTAATAATAGACTAGAGAAATGATTTCCGAGGATAAGGCAGCATGTCTTATGTATCACCGCATTCCTTTCAAAGACAAGAGTAAAGGATACCTCCTTTGTAGAATCGTGAGTGCTGACGATTACGGGCGGAGCTATTCCCTGCTAAGAGATTATGCTGATCAGACGAACTCGAGAGTGGGACAGCACATCATCGGTGCATGCGCTCCTGCGAAATCATCCACCAAGAATATGCATACCGCGTCAACTGCTCAAGAGACGGTTGTGATCACACCATCAGCAAAACGATTAGCTTTCACGGTATGTCGTGATTCAGGCGGTCGTATAGTCTACTGATCGTCTCTCGTCAAGCGATGGAACGTTCCCCCGATGCCTACCTATTCATCTGAGGATCCTACCTCATCGAGAGAGACGTCCCCGCCGACCGACGGAGCGTCAGATTCTTCCTCAACTATTCATGACGAACTGGATCCTCTTACGCAAGCTATGCGCAATCTGACGTTATCGCAGCCCGAAAAACAGGTGGCAGCCAAGCGAGTTGCCTTTGTCCTTGACCGATTTAGTACGGAGGTACCTATCATCTACTGTACGAACGACGACATCGTGCCAAAGCCGCTCGTCACTGGGAGATCATTTTATGACTTCGTGGCTGCAGGGGATGAAAAACGGATCCGTGCAGCCATAGACCAAGTAAAGACCTGGGGAGTCAACGAGGAGGGATCTCCGAGTGACGGCGGATATGCTTTCAATCGTTTCCATATGCATCTAAAAGGCAGAGACAGGTAAGTATCTCGTCTTACACACTCTTAGTTCGCTTCACGAATACCTTGCATTTTGTGTCCACTCCCTCACGATCATCTCTGACTGTTTACATAGACAGCTGCCTGATCCCTCTCGAAAACACGCGACCGGGAAAGGAGCACAACACCCTGACATACTCTCGCGTAAAACATTTCGACAGCGTGCTTCGTCGGAACGAGGGATCAACGTGCCCGTGAAAGAAATTCAGATGGTCGATTCTATATTCTCGCCCCAATCCGACGGCATTATCGTTATTCTTCGAGAATCCATGCCACCTAAACGATAGCAGGGTGATTCATCTGGGAGTTTGATTTTATTTTCATGGCCATTCTCGTCTCTGTCACGTGCGTTCTATTATTCTAGGGTTCATACTAAGGTGTCGCCTTATTCCCCGTCAAGAGTACGATTTGGATGTTATAATTCGTAGGATTGTATTAATGCTTGTCTATCTCCTGCCAAAAATATGTATCCTGCATTTTCTTACTTCTCTCACTCCAATGGTACTTCTTCTGACTGCTTAGACTATTCCCAATAGGCAACAAAGAATATGTGTAGCTGTTGAGTATAGATATTGCAAGAAATGGCATTTGTTTGATACACTGACAAACGAGAATTGGAGACAGAGTTGGTTTGCAAAGGGATCGAGTCTTCCGCAATGCTCGTCAATGATCCTCGATGTCGCCTTGGATCTTATGAATCTCGTGGCGGAAGCTTGAATGAATGCATGTGACCCTCTTTAAACCGCCCTTTCCCCTACTGAGTAACTGAGATGGTCATCAAATCTTTACATCTTGACTTCCGTCCCTGCTGCGCCCTGGATGACGCTAAAAAAGCAAGCTTCCATTCATCTCTGTTCGGAGGCGGGTGAATTCAAGTCGATATCATGAGTTGCTTTTATCATTCCTAAGCAGGACATAAAGATCGACAATATCTTACCTTGGGACAATGCGGTGCTTGTTTAGACTTGGCACGGGTCCACTATATTTTTACGAGTATCAAATTAAATCATTCATTAAAACAGTGGTATAAACATGGTAAATATTAATTTATGTTAGTAAAAATGTCCAGCTCCAGACATCTTAGTGAGACAGTTCCGGCGACGTGTAACCGAAGGGGATAACTGAATCATCAAATGGAAGCACAATTACTTTTATTTGTACTTCCTCGTTGTATGCCCAATAAATATTAATGCCTTCGTATCAAAGCAGCACATGACCAAAAATGGAGTTAATGAGCATTACCTCGGTTCCCGGGCCGTAGACCTGGAATCCCGTACCATGCATGATGAACCAGAACATTATACTCGGATTACCCAATGAACCTGGGGGTTTACGATTGTAATACTTCTGTCTGTCTGGATTTATCCTTTCATTGCTCCAACGTCGGTGGAGCTTATCCGGCCGGCCTTTGGATTAACTACTCTCCGTTTCAAGAAATTATGAACCGACGGAGAATACCTTCAAGTTCTACAAGGACAAATTGCAGTATATTTCCTTTTAATTATCATTAATACAAGTCGTTCGATAGGTAAATGTCGTAAATCAATGTTGGCGAAGGTAAACCTCCTGGGCCCAGGAGACCAGGCAACCGACTAGCTCCTTAACCATATAGAGAATCACCAGTTTACTAGGCCGAGGCGCGTACTTATTAGGCTATCCAAACACTGAACAATCTTGCAGTAAATTACATATTTACCTACCGGTTTTTAGTATGGGAATTGTTATAATATCTAAAGACACAGTTTTGCAATTTACTCCAAGGTCCGGCTCTTCACCAAGAGCAGGATTATATGGTAATCATTGTTGCAGCAAAAGAAAGAAAGAAAGTGTGCTCACTGTGTTTGAATAATTTACATTTTTTTCCTAATTGCGTCTGCTGTGTATTCTTGTCCATATATAGTGCTCTTACACTAGAGCAGTAGACATTGCAAATAAATACTGGTGCCTACTATGTTCCGTTTTCGGTACTTCTCGCAGGGGCAGACTCAGGCTTCAAAAATGTGGTAAGCAAGCTAACGGAGTGTAAAATCCATTAGTGGCGGTCAAAATTCGATTTTCTTTACGTGTGGCGAAAGGAATATATGTAAGTATTTCTTATGAACAACATATATCCTCGTCTTCCTCGAAGCCACTACAACTAGAAGAAGAGCAATGCCTGCAATGGCCCTGCATCCAGATCTGTTAAACTGAGCACTGGAGCACTCATGCCGACCATCGGTCTCGGGACCTGGCATGCAAAAGCAGGCGAAGTCGAATATGCAGTCGAGATCGCTCTCAAACATGGTTATCGCCATATCGATACGGCCGCTGCATACGGTCAGGAATCAGTATACTTTAGCATATGATATATCATTGCCTGACTCGTGCTTCGGCGTACCAGGTAATGAAGAGCAAGTCGGGAAAGGAATCAAGATGTCTGATGTCCCACGTGAAGATATATTCCTTACAACTAAGCTCGCCAATATAGATCACAGCAACGTCGAGGCAGCGCTATTTTCCTCCTTTCAGAAGCTTGACACACCATATCTTGATTTGTGTATGTCGCGTTATAGATTCTCAAGAGTTTGGCTTTGCTAAGGGTAGTCTGCATTTCAAGGGCTCATGCATTGGCCTGCACCAATGACACAAGATTTAAAAGCAGATAAGGGTCGTGATTGGCTTGAGACCTGGAAAGACATGGAAAAGGTCTATGAGAAATACCCCGAGAAAGTCAAAGCGATAGGTACGTCACATAATGCATGGCACACACTTTTTACAATTCCACATTTACGCGCCTCGTTCTCTTCAAGGCGTTTCAAACTTCCAAGTGGAATATCTTGAGCGACTGCTAAAGGAGGCGAAAATAACTCCGGCCGTAAACCAGATCGAGCTTCATCCTTCCTGCCCACAACATGATGTCGTGAAGTTTTGCAACGAAAACGGCATTGTGCTTATCGCCTATTCGCCACTCGGCTCAACTGGCTCTCCGCTGCTCACGAACGAAGTCGTAAGGAAGATTGCAGGGAATCGCAATATTCCTCCAGCAAATGTTCTGATCTCATTACAGGCCTGCCGTCCTAACACTGCCGTCCTCACGAAGAGCATTACGAAGTCGCGCATCGCGAGTAATTTCGATCTCGTTGATTTGACGGACGAGGAGATGAACGAGTTGCTCAAAATAGATGAAACGCAACACTTCCGAGTGTGCACTCCAGAATGGACTGGCTGGGGAGACTTAGGTTTCCCAGACCGCAAATGTGCGACTGCAAGTCACTTATAAGTCGGGCACACGTCTTTGGACACGCTTGATTCCCGCTATTTGATCACTGATGTAGACATCAAAAATAGACATACCATGTAACGTATCATGTCCCTTTCCCATACACGGGACTAGCTTGAAGAAGATTTCAGCTGCGACTAAAAGCATATGATAGCAGTGGCTTCTAATATGTCTAAGTATTTAATAACATAAAATACCTGATCCCAATGAACGGAGATAATCCAGCAAGGGAGCGGACTAATCTTCAGGAATATCTAGTACCTCGTTCCTATCAGAGAAGGCCGATGCACTTCGTGAGGTCGTTGATGCTCCTAAACAGAGTGCCACCACCTCCTCTACAAACAGAAGAAACTCGCGAACTTTACCCGCGGATGAAGAGTAACACAAGAGCAGCCACGACGGTTCCGAAGAGAACGACAATCGGCTTTACAATCGAAAGTCCTCCGAAGTACATCTCCCCTAATACAAGCAACCAATTCTCCCCGTACGGCAGCTTACCACCCGCAGCAAGCCGATGCATTCCAACAGTGTACCAAGCTACGCCAATACCAGAGCCGATTAGGCGAGGCCACCAAGGTGGAGAACGAGGTTCCGGAGATGGCTCCATTTCCCAACCCCACAATTCTTCCTTGTCCTTTGTTCTCTCATTGTCACGGTGCTTAAGGAACAGGTAAGGTAAATCAGGCCTGAGAACGGCCAAACGTGCGACCCCGATGAGGTGTGCATGTTTGCATTGGATCACCCGCGAGAACTGCGACCGAGTGCGCAGGCCACCAGTGAGCATTATCAATGGAGCCTTTTTCATCGATCCGGATCCGTCAAATTTCCGTTCAACAACGTTTACGGCGACACGGGAGAATGATTCAAAAAACGCCTGACGCGGAGACGAATCCCGCAGGAATTCTAGATGAAATAAACGATTGGTCGAGATAAAGGGGTAGAAAGGTCTTACCCGGTGACTCATAATCTCCTCCGCTGATCTCAATGAAATCGACACCGGCTCCGCTCCATTCCCATTGTGCGATCTCCGCTAGATGCTTTGCACCGTCTGCCTCGCTAAATCCTCCTGTAGTATAATCCATCGTGTTGAGCTTAAGACCGACAATAAAGCTCTTGGGAACAGCAGCGCGAACGGCCTGGATAATGTCATGTAAGAATTGGAGAGGATGTCCATATACATCAGTGCGATGGTTTGTCTTGCGCGAGATAAACTGTGCCACGAGATCTGCATTACCCCTAAATAAGACACTTGATCGTCTTATTTTTTAAAAGGACAACACCTACACCCATGGGCACCATGTATCTGAACGCCGTCGAATCCACTTAGTACAGCCAAACGAGCACCACGAACAAATCCGTCCAATGCCTCCTCCACGTCTGCGCCAGTCATGGCAACGGACTTCTGGAATAACAGCCTGTTCGTCACCCGTGTCGACAAATTATCTGATCGAAGAGAGTCCGGTGACATTCCAACTCGTGTTGCGCTGGCAGATAAGGGAGGTTCGACAAACGGCAAGCGTCCACCTAGACCATTTGGCGACTGTCGCCCGGCATGACTTAGTTGCATGACTGCAAGGGGACGCATCTTGCGTCCCTCAATGTCACGACCTTTCATTGAATCTGCCAGTTTTCTAAACCCTGCTACGGCATCTTCTGATAGCGTATGAGGAATCACCATGTCGGCACCGAGAGACAGATGCTTTTGAGATATTTGCACGTTCCCTGTTAAAATCATACCCCATCCTCCTCGGGCCCAGCGAGAGTAAAGCTCATTTAGTGAATCATTTGGCGGCCCACCGAGAAATCCTGCGAGATGCTCGTACATTGCTGCCTAGTTTGCCTATTAAAGTATCAAATCGCACATGTTTAAAAAAAGTTCTATACCTTGGCGAGCCTGTTCGGTAGCACTCGGCCACATGGCAGCTCAATAGGTGACAGGACTCCGTCCAAGTCTACTGAAAGCTGTTCTATACTATTTTGTCCATGAGAGATGATTTCGTGAGAGTTCAACGGCGCCTGTGCTAGCCGAAGGAAGATATCAGACTAGGTGCTCAACAAACGGTCAGACGTACCATGGAATCAGATCTGAACGACCTTCAAGTGAGCTGATTTTATGTGGATGATGTTTCCTCAAACGAAGCTTCTCATCTTGTTCAAACATGCATTTTGTTGTAGGCAAGTCTGAGCAGGCAAGTGTTCAGAGATTCAGAGTGAGTATAAGTCACCAAGCTAGCTGTCAATCAGGTTTTCCATGTTTGTAATGCGTGAGAATTATCCAAATATAGTAAATTCAGTACGTCTTGGACAAAGTGAACACTTCCGCACACATGAAAAAATGCCGATTTTAGTATACGATACACTAAAACCAGTATATTATAATAAATATTTTAGCATGGACAAAAATTTAGCAAACGTGTTGTTCTATTAGGAGGAGATCCAAAAAGATTTCGCTACTGTGCTCTGTCGGCCCGCCGATTAAGTCTTCTTGTTTCCACGTTTCCACGTATTATCCTAATTCAGAGAGACGGAAAGGTTAACAATTAATACTTAATGAGATTAGAAACTCAGTATTATACTCCGTCTATGCCAGTCCAGACTCTGGCATCTAACGCATACTAAACATGTGTCTTACCAGTATTACGTCATCCTTGCGTTTCATGCGTAAGCGATCACATGGTGATCAAACGGATTGTAATTCATTTACCCCTCTCTCTTATTTGTTTCGCGCAATATGCATGTGCTACGGATGAAGGCATCTATGAACGACCATACAGAAAATACGGTTGCGTAGCCAGAGAGAAGCGTTGTAGTTTCTGTATAATGCAAGCAATGTCTAATGTTTCTACATCTTTTTTGTCGTTCCCCTATCTATGGAGCTTAGCAGAATTGAGAGATTTTCCTCGAAGGCCATATTTGGAACCTGCCTCAGCTTCATTCTCGCGACCCGGCGCTCCGTTAGGACACTGGGTATATCTCAGATGTTTTACACGCTATGTACTGAAATCCTCTAACGTCTTTCATATCACGATTTAGGCTAGACGGGGTGTGATGACCATCTGACGCCCCTTAGATTTTCATCTCGTCTTGCGTCAGGTCATGTTCCCCGCTCAAGATCCAGATCCGCACGTCCTTTTCAACCGCGACTATCTGCCTGTAACGACGTGGCTTACAGAATTTACGGATCTCACCTATCTCACTGCCTTGAACGGCACATGCCTGATCTATGAAATCGACATTCCCGAGAGGAGCTATTTCTGGTTCAAGTAACTTTCCTGACATTTATACACGTTATCTACCTTTATACAGCTCTTCTCGTCAGTTTGATCCCATTGTCAACACAAGATGGACCTCTCTCGAATAATAAACCCACCCGAAGACGAAGCTGATACTCCTATAATCGAACAACTGTCTCCTTCAGTATCTCCTCCGCCGCGACCAGATTCACCCACTACTACCGATGCGGAAGAGGAGCCTGACTGGATCCATGACGATTTACCTAACTTGTCTTTCAGTAAGGCAGCGTTTATGCCCTCTGTTTGCCATGCTCTAATTACGGTACTTCAGTCGTCTGTATGGAAGCGGCTGGAAAGGCAAGATACACTCACTTTACTCCTCAAATTCCAACCTTTTCTTATACTCAGCTCCAGGGAATAGTCACCTATCTGTCCCCAACGGCTCTGCACTTGATGGGTAAGATTGTCGTATTGAACGGCTAGTTTATGTGCGAAGTCCCTAATCGCTCTAATTAGGATGGTCAGCAGAAGAAGTTGTCGGTACTCCTGCAGCTTTGTACGCGCATCCCGAAGATGTTCCACTGCTGTACCGTGCGTACCAGTACGGCACGTCTACTTCATCCTTTTCGGCATTTCTCTAACATTATTCTAGAGAAATGATATCCGAGGATAAAGCAGCTTGCCTCATGTATCATCGCATTCCTTTCAAAGATAAGAGCAAAGGCTATCTCCTGTGTAGAGTTGTGAGTATGGATATCTATAGTCAAGAACAGTTTCTTGCTGAAGAGTGATGTTGATGTTAAATAGACTAATTCGAGAGTCGGCCATCACTTAATCGGCGCGTGCGCTCCAGCGAAATCCGCAACGAAAGATATGCACACCGCGTCAACTGCTCAAGAAACAATCGTGATTACACCATCGGCAAAGAGATTAGCTTTCACAGTATGTTCTGACTTGAGAAATCGTACAATTTACTAAGTGCCTTTCTCAAGCGATGGAATGTTCCTCCCATACCCACAAATCCACCAGAGGATGCTTCTTCATCGAGGGAGACGTCTCCATCGGTCGATGGGGCATCAAGCACCTCTTCTCACGACGAACCGGACCCTCTTACATTCGCTATGCGTAACCTAACATTGTCGCAACCTGAAAAGCCAGAATTAGCCAAGCGGGTTGCCTTCGTCATAGATCGATTTAGTACGGAAGTGCCTATCATCTACAGTACGAACGACGACATCATTCCGATGTCACTCGTCACTGGTAGATCGTTTTACGACTTTGTAGCTGCCGGAGATGAAAAACGGATACGCGCAGCGGTGGATCAGGTGAAGACATGGGGAGTTAACGAGGAAGGATCTCCGAGTGACGGTGGTTGGGCTTTCAATCGATTTCATATGCATCTGAAAGGCCGAGATAGGTATGTGGCTTATTCTTCCCCGCTCTCAAGCCTCTTCGCAGATGTCTTTTACCTTGTACTGAAATATCTACCAAGGCGACCTCCGGATTCCACAGCAAAACATCCTCACGGTAAAGGAGCACAACACCCTGATCTACTTTCGGCTCGCAGGACTTTTCGACAGCGTCCATCGTCGGAACGGGGTGTCAACGCACCACAGAAGGAGATTAAGATGGTTGACTGCATTTTCTCGCCTCAGTCCGACGGCATCATCGTCATTATTCGAGAAACACTTCCGCCAAATTGGTCGCGAAGTAATCAATGACTGGAATCATTTGTATGGCTATTCTTATTCGTATTACATGCTGTCCACTGCAATGTCTTTTGGGAACTCATAACGAAACCAGTTGTTGTCTCCTCTCGAGAGTAGTTTGGACGTTATAACTTCTGGGAATGTATTACTGTGTTTATTTGGAATTCTGTATACCTCCTTTCTTTGGTTCCCTCTCAACAAATAAAACATGTATGTAGCAGTCGAAAGTGAATTTTGCAAACCGTGCTGTGCATCAAGCAACAAGATTCATGATCCACGAAGCCATCTGAGATCCATGAATCTGGTGGCAGATTCTTGAATAAATGCATGTGATTCTTCGACTCGGTGACCATTGTCAGGGTTCATTCAGAGGTCAGGAATATCTAATGTTACTCCAGCAAAGTACAGGTCACTAGTACTGTTTATCATTATGCCTTGGTTCTCGACATGATTGGCAGGTTTGAGCCAGGGCATTTTGACCTCTGATACTCCGTATTTGGAAACAAGATATCATGTCAGTACGTCAGTGACGATGTGATACCAAGTGACATCATAATATGATTCATACGTTCACGAGGAACACCTTCGCTCCTCGGGTGTCTATAAATAAGTTATCATAAATGCTCATTGGTATTGGTACACCACAAGTATACAGCGTAAACAGAGGCTTCATCCCTTGCACTTCCAAATATCTTAGACGTCTATCTCCTAGTAACAAGAGAAGCGATGCCTGCGTCAAAATTTGTCCAACTGAATACAGGTGCAAAAATGCCGACGGTCGGTCTCGGGACCTGGAGGTCGAAACCAGGCGACGTCGAGCACGCGGTCGAGGCGGCTCTCAAATATGGCTATCGGCATATCGATACAGCCACTGCATACGGTCAGAGATCAGCATACTTTAGCATATAATTTATCCTTGGCTGAACCGTGCTTCGACATAGGTAATGAAGAGGAAGTCGGAAAAGGGATCAAGATGTCTGGTATCCCACGTGAAGAGCTATTCCTTACGACCAAGCTGGACAATCCAGATCACAGGAACGTCGAAGCTGCGCTTCTTTCCTCCCTTCAGAAGCTCAATACACCGTATCTTGATTTGTGTATGTATCCACTGTGATTTGTCAAGGGTGTAGTTTCGCTAAGAATGTTTGGCATCTCGAAGGGCTCATGCATTGGCCTGCGCCGATGACACAAGATGGAAAGGCAGATAAGGGTCGCGATTGGCTCGACACTTGGAAAGACATGGAGAAAGTCTATGAGAAGTACCCCAACAAAGTCAAAGCGATTGGTACGTTACTTTAGTCTGCACCCCTCTTTATGTTCCCACATTTATCCAAGTCATTCTCTTCAAGGTGTTTCAAACTTCCAGGTCGAATATCTCGAGCGTCTTCTAAGTGAGGCGAAAATCAAACCTGCTTTAAACCAGATCGAGCTGCATCCCTCGTGCCCACAGCATGATGTTGTGAAGTTCTGCAACGAAAACGGTATTGCGCTTACTGCCTATTCGCCACTCGGTTCGCAAGGAGCTCCGTTGCTTACGAACGAAGTCGTAAAGAAGATTGCGGAGAAGCACAATGTTTCTCCAGCAAACATTTTGATCTCATTACAGGTGAACTGTCCAAACACTGCCGTCCTACCGAAGAGTGTTACAAAGGAGCGCATTGAGAGTAACTTCGTTATCGTTGACTTGACTGACGAGGAGGTGGGCGAGCTGCTCAAAATCGATGAAACGCAACACTTCCGAGCGGTCACTCCTGAATGGACTGGTTGGGGACATCTAGGCTTTCCCGACCATAAATGAGCATGAACAACGATTAGCCTTTTTTAGGAGAGGAAGTGATGTGCATGTCTTTCCCAATATAACTGTGTATTACCATTTCTTCAATTATAAGACGGCACGCGTACGTTGGCAAGAGTACGATGACAGAGTAATGCAACGTACCATTTCGCCACACTCTTCACAATGTTTGGATGAGTCGACTAAGCGTGCGCGATGATTTCAAATTTTTCTTCTTTATCTTCTAAAGTTCTACCCCTCGGCTTCAAGCCAGCTGAATGCTCGACAATTCTGCTGGTGGTATTCGTGAAAGCTTTCGTATCTGCAATCATTCTGCATCTTGTGATTCTTGTCTAGATGCCGTTTTACGTAAGACATTTGAATCCCTATGTGGCGCGACGGCCTGGACAAGTTTGAAGAAGCTAAGTGCCAAAGAAAAAAGTCAATCAAAAAGATTTAATAAAATTAAAACAAAAAACGATGGGTTTTACAGCAGAATACAATGGCGGCACAACATTACAGCTACTAATATCCAGGTACAGGAACTCTCTCACGGGACGAGGGGTGATACTAGATAAGTATCAAGGCGAACGCTGATCGAGTTCATCCACTGGTACGACAAATCGGTAGGAACCGTCGCTTTCAGCACCAGCAACCCATCCAGTTTTCTTCGATCGGAATTTTGGGCGAGAAGGCGACGACGAATTCATCGCACGTTCCTTAGAAAGAGCTTGAGCGGAGGCCATAGCTTCCTTTCGTACATCCAAAATGATGCAGAGGTCCTCCCGAATTTTCTCCCAGACTGCGGTAACTTGTTAATAGGAAGGAGGTTGAAAATCTTTTGGTAATTACCTTCATCTGACAATTCCTCCGGTTCTTCTACGATTTGCCACCATCGCGCACGGGCCTTTCGTTGATCGTAGACGTCCCTTGCAATGAGCTTCTTACTATAACCAAGCTCCGCAAGTCGATCGAAAATCCTATAAGAAAGTATCCGTCAGGTCGAGCCATGGGGTGAAATCGGGACAACCATGTTTACCCGTTTCGGCGTTCTTCGACCATTTCTTTCTGCTTCTCCACCCTTAACAAAGCCCTTATGGAACAACTACAGTGAGTACTTTGCAAAGAGAATCTAGATGGCTTGAGCCACTAACTCTTGTCGCCGTTCTTCGTGAGTCTCTTGTAACCTCTTCAAGTCGGACATTTTTACATTCCGTTTCGTTCCTGGACTATACTGCGCCAAGATTGCTTCTGCCTCAAGTGTTGCTTTACTGGGCGAGGAGCCCACTGCTATAAATATTTGATAAACTTAGTTGAGATGTTGATGGAGAGCAATGAAGACTAGAACTTTCGAAAAGCCGAACTCGTTCATTTTTCCTTGGGGTGGAGTAAGTATCAGACGGAGCACGATCCTTGGCTGCACTAGGACTAGAATATTCGGATATTCTTTGCGTGGTTGGAGTCTTCGGTATGCGAGCTTTCTTAGGCGAACGTGGAGGAGACGGGCGATATTCGGAGCCGTCAGAATCCGCGCTTCGTTTAGTCTATACAGTGCAGAATAGGTATGCGCGTTGCTATAGCCGTGTTTACACAACTTACCATTGATACTTTATGTAGGCTTACGAAGGGTAAACCGTAAGACTACCTGGACGTGTGTGGATTGGACAAGAGATGTATCATTTGGCCACGTGCATGTGTGATCATCATTTGCCGGTTTGGTACAGACAAACAAGCGTAAACAGAGCGCAGGAGCGATGGCATTAAGATTTGCCTTTCTATATCACTAAAACCCAAATGACATTCGCCAGTTCTAGCGCTGATATCTACTGGATAATATCTGCTACCCGCTTGATCGCATCCCAATTCTCGCCTCCCGGAGCCCATAACTTAGCAAATTCATCACGGAACTTCTGAGTGTTTGCTCGTTTTTCCGCTCCATCTTGGCCTCTCATCTTCTGAAGCGTTTCTGAAAATTCACGCTTAACTGAATCAACGGTGCCTTCTGGGACCTTATCTCCGAGACGATGAATCGGAAGCAGTCCGTCTCCAGTGCGTACTTCGAATAGCTCATAGCCTACGTTGTGCTCCTCGACGATCATCGCAGCAGCCAACGGTTGGTCCGCAGCGAAAGGCCAGCATATCCTTCATGAGCCACGATTTTAGTAATCTATTCTCAAATAATGCAAGCCGTCCCACTTACAAGGGTACTCCAGCTGAGAGAGCCTCAAAGATTGAATTGTGTCCACAGTGAGTAATGAACCAACCACACGCCTAGGAGATTAACATCAACGTCTCCACATAGGAAACATCCGACAGAATTTATGTACTTTGTGATCGAGGATAGCCCTCTGAGGTACCCAATTAGATGAATAACCGAACCCGGAAGCCTTGATTTTCTCTGTCATGTCCTCCGGCATTGCTGAAAACGGCGAAGCATGAGCGAATATCTGACGCGCACATTAGAAGATTTCCAGGATAGCCAGGTGGGAGACTTACGAAAGGTACCCGTTCCTTGATCATAAGATCTATAATTGCCCGTGTTTTCTCCACTTCAGAGGGCCAGAATGCGGATCCAAACGACATCTACATAAGGGAAACAGTTGAGTATTAAAACGGCATTGATCCTGAAAATCTCAGTCTCACATATACAACCGAATTCGGACCATATTTTTGTAGAGCTGAGTCAAGGAAGGCCATGGCTTCCAGATTGCTATTTTGTTCAACTTCATGCCGCGGGATGAGAGGAGATTCAAACGGTCCAGTGCTAATGACGGGCCTTCCGGTAAACCAATCTTCGAATGCCTTGATTCCTGCGGCCTCGTAAATTCGATTTGTATTCATAATCGCACCATCACATTCTTGCAGAAACCTAGAGCGAAACACGTTTATCGATCGTGTTGGGGCATAAAAGTAAGGAGGTCACGTACTTATGAGCAACAGATTCTATGAATCCTACGCCTTTAGGGAGGGTGGCCTGGGATGATGTAGCATCAATAAAATAAAGTGATATGTATTTCCGAGAAAATCGTACAAATTGCGTTGTACGCTCGTGGTCGTACATAGGCGGGAGGCCTGGGACCTTAATAACTCTTCCAGTTGATCTCTGGTTCAACTGCGCATATTTGTATGAGTATTATTCATGTCCAATAAACATTGTGTGAATGAATACCCTATCCGCTTCCTCTGCGATAGCATCTTCATCAGTATACGGGATTGCCTCGATCTCTTCTGCGAGGTGGGTGTGAGCCCCTTCAGGCCCGAACTTGAAAAGCATTGCTGAAGCTAGGCCAGATTGCAATGCATAGATTGGAACGGAATGGACAACCCTGATACTTTTCAGAGTACTGTACAAGAAGAACTAGAGTGATAAGTGAGCTCTGGGTCAGAATGGTTGATAACGCTGATAGCTTACGTCAAGAATAACGAGTTGAGGAGGTCCTGGCTCGACCGTATCGACTGCATATCCGCTCTCGGTTTCTGCATGCTTGCCATTAAGGAGTTTCTCATATTCTTTCATGAAGTTTGCATTATACATGGTAGTGTCGAAAAGGTTGGGTCCGATTTCCACACCAACAACCCTGTGTATTCGACAATTCAACTTCTATTTTAAGTGGCATGGACAATGTGTTTAGCAGTTTTCACGAACCTTATGAGCCTCCGTAGATCATCTTCAACCTCTGGCAAGAATTGTGCATCGAGTTCTCTTTCGATTTTCTCGGTTAAGAACGAGGCGATAATTATCGTCCCAAGAACAGGTCGATAGCGAACCAACGTCGAAAGCAGTGCGCAAGAGCTCTTTGCATGCCCTATAATTTGTGGATGAGAGGTAGTGTCAGGCAATAAGTGGCAAAAAAACATCAGGTAAATTGTACCCCAAGCGGGCAGAACACCAACAACGACGTGTCCTCGAATGCTTCTTGATTCAATTGTCATGTTGTGTCAAGGGATTATGGGTACCTGACTGTCCAGCTTGATGTTGATCGCGCTTTTAATGATCTGTGAGCACCGCGTGCATGTCAAAATGGAGTTAGTGGAACACTTGAGCGCCGTTTCTACATGAGCTGGGCGTCGCTCCTTGAGCTGATTATCGATGAGTTCTCCATTCGTCGGGTCCAATGCGAATGCTGCACAGAAGTCGCTTACCAGTGATGTACACTTTGATTGACCTTATAAAGCGGTTACGCGTGCCGATGTTCGTGATCGTTTTACTTAGACTCTGTCCAATTATGGCGCACCCACATAAGCGAAGTCCTGATAGTGATAGTACATACTTCACGGGCATCACGGCGATTCATGATTTGCGGATCCTTGGTTCAGGTTTAGCAATTCAGCGCTCACACTCGAAGACCTTTCATCTGAGACAGGATAAAATAATGAAATAGTTACAACACGAGGTAGTTGTTTATATTCCTTCATTTCTATTCTATTGCAAGATATCCGTTATTTTCTTAATTTCATCCCAATTCTCTCCCCCTGGCGCCCATAGCTTAGCATACGCATCACGGAACTTTTGAACATTCGCACGTTTCACCGCCCCGTCCTGTCCCCTCATCTTCCGAAGCGTCTCGGAAAACTCGCGCTTGACTGATTCGACTGTACCTTCTGGTACCTTATCTCCGAGACGATGAATCGGAAGCAACCCACTTCCGGTCCGCACTTCGAACAACTCGTAACCTAAGTTGTGCACGGAGGCGATGTTCGCTGCACCATTTGGCTGGTCTGCGTCAAAAGGCCAACATACCCTGTGGGAGTTCAATAAGTGCATCTTGAGTAATGCGTGGGGTTAGACTTACAACGGGACTCCAGCTGAAATGGCTTCATTAACGGAATTGTGTCCGCAATGCGTGATAAACCAGCCGCAGGCCTTACAGACTAGTGTAAGTATATGTCACGATTGTAAGTTGAGGATATAATTTACCTGGTGATCGAGAATAGCCTGCTGTGGGAGCCAGTTGGATGAATAACCCAGCCCAGAAGCTTTTATTTTCTCTTTCACTTCGTCTGGTATTGTCGCGAATGGCGAAGCATGAGCAAACAACTGATATCCTTGTTAAACTTTTTCAAAAAACACCAGGTTGAGACTTACGAAGGGCACTCCCTCTTCAATCATAGCATCCAAGACTACCCATATTTTATCCGGTTCAGCAGTCCAGTAAATAGAGCCAAACGACATCTAATGGAAAAGGCTGAGCATAACGAATAACCTTGACCCAGAAAGGACCCAATCTTACATATACAACCGACTTGGGACCGTACCTTTCCAGCGCAGAGTCGAGGAAGGCCTTTACTTCCCGATTACTCGGTGAGTCTTCTTCATGGTGCAGTGTAAGTGGAGAATCAAGCGGTCCAACATTGATGACGGGTCTTCCATTGAACCATTCTTCGAGGGCTGTGATGGATGGTGCTTCGTAAATTCGATTCGTATTGCAGATTGCTCCGTCACACTCCAGGAGAATTCTGCAGAACAGGTTCCGCCGCTAATTCTAACGGACAAAGAAGGGTCACGCACCTGCGTATTGAAGCTGTTATGAAAGCTCCGCCTTTAGGGAAGATGGACTGAGGTTATTCAGAGTCAACGTAATGAAGAAATTGTGGACTTTGAGGAACAGAACCTTCTGGGCCATACGCTCGTGGTCGTACATCGGAGGGAGTCCAGGGATAGCTATAAGTCTACCACTTGATTTCCGGATTATCTGATCGTGAATGCATTAACTTTATCCATGGCATGTGTATTTTCGTTCGCGGATACCTTGTCAGATTCCTCTAGAATGGCTTCCTTATCCTCGTACGGAATCGCCTTGAGCTCTTCTTCGAGATTGTTGTAAATTCCTACATCTGGTCCAAAGAAGTAAAGTACTGTTGAGGCACAGGCAGATTGTAAAAGATAGACTGGGACATCATGCCCGCTAACTTTTCTAATGCCTTCCATAGCCTCATACACGAACTTGTCAAGGTAGTAAGCTCTAATGTAGTAAATGTTGACAGAGTCATGCACGTACGTCAATTACTACGAGTTGCGGAGGACCTGGCTCAATAGTATCGAGTGCGGATCCATTCTCGGTGTGCGACTTGCCATCAAAGAATTTCTCATACTCCTTCATGAAACCCGCACTGATAGCGCTGGTGTCAAAGATATTAGGCCCAACTTCCAAGCCAACAATTCTGTATCAAACCGGTTTAGTTCTCCTTTCTAACTTATCTTAATAATTACTCAAGCGAACCTTATAAGTCTCCGCATGTCATCTTCGACGCCTGGTTCGAATCGTGTATCAAGTTCTTTTGAAACCCTGTCAGATAAGAGGGAGACGACAAATATCGTCACATGGACGGGCCGATAGCGAACTATTGTCGCAGCAAGTGCGCAAGCACAATGTACATGTCCTAGAGTTTGCAGAGGGGCGGTGAAAAGTCATTAGAACGCGTGTAAAACATCAGAACAAAATTGAAGTAGACCGTACCCCAAGCAGGTAGGGTGACAATGACGATGTGCCCTCGAACAGTTCTTGACTCGATGGTCATTTCGCGAATTGTACTTTGGGTTTTTGACTATGTAGGCCTGGGTCCAAAGTCAAGGTGCAAGCTATCTTGATTTTGCGTTTACCGTCATTTAACAGACCGCTGGCTAGCACAGCTATGTAACGAATGGAGCATGTGAAACCTTTGGGCGCTGTCCATCGGCATTTTCGTTTACATGTAATCGTCGCTTGCGGGCTGATGGATCTGCAACAACATGCTCCGATTAGTCAATCTGACAGTAATCCGTAACATTATAACGTCAGGGACTCAAGGAACGAGAATTGGAGTCAGATCAAGAGGATAACGGATACCTTGCAGTAGGAATATTTTATTTCAGGAAGTAACAGACCTTCGATGTAGATATATGGGTGTCTTACATAGGAATGCAAGCATTTTTCTTTCTTTTTTTAATACTTTGTTTTGGCTTTATTTTTTCCGCCGACCGAGAAGACGACCGTGCACGTGATCATCTGTTTCTACCGCCGCTACACGAAATGAGCACCTTCGCAAGTTACATAGTTGCAGAAAGTCTCAACTGTTATAAGATGGATATCGATGGTATGCAGTACTCATCAGCGAAAATCTCCTGTGAGAGCAACGTGCATTTTCTACTTAGCGAATCATTACGAAACTTTTGGGCGTTCGCGCGCTTCGCAGCCCCATCCTGTCCTCTCATCTTCTGAACGAGTTTCAGAAAACTCACGCCTAACCGATTCAATGCTGGCTTCCGGGGCCTTGCCACCAAGGTGATGGATGGGACGTAGTCCATCTCCACTGCGAACCTCGACAAGCTCGTAGCCTAGATTGTGCACGGTAGCAACTAGCAATGCCTGCGGCGTTCGTTGCCTGATCTCCTGCAAAATGCCAGCATACCCTTTGCCAGAATTAGTACTATTAAACTTGTTTGCGCGAAATGCTGCTTACAGGGTTACTCCAGCTGAAAGCGCCTCAATAACTGAGTTGTGTCCACAATGAGTAACGAACCAGCTGCAGACCTTCAAGGGATATCAGGATATAGAACTACATATTATTCTTCAAATTGAACTTGCCTCATGGCCTAGAACTGTCGTTTGAGGAAACCAGTTAAACAAGTACCCCTATCCAGATGCATTGATACGCTCTTTCTTGTCGTCCGGCACCGAAGCAGATGGTGAAGCGTGAGCGAATATCTGACATGACCTTTAAATCGATTTTAAAGAGGGGATGAGTATTAACGTACGATAGGTGCACGCTCCTCAATCATCACTTCCAAAACTGATCGTAATTAGTCAATTTCAGAAGGCCAAAACATAGAATCGAATGACATCTAAGGCCCTGCTCGGTTGCACTGGTCGTGCAACGGCAGGTTGGTGGTTGATGGCCGGCAATTTCCGGTACAACCGTCAACCACCAGTGCCAACCTTGTCACTTTGGTCACAAGTAGTATAGTGTATAGACTCATTACTTTCCCTTCATCTTTCATCATTTATCCTTTCAAATTAGTATATAATTATGTGTCCTAACATAAGTACTACACAGTGTAGATATAATTGAGACACAAATAAATAAATAGAAACATAAGTTAGGACTTTAGGTGCATATATGCACATATAATTAGGCATATATGACAGATATATTATATTATTATAGTTGGTTTGGACATTCAAAGCTTGGATTATTAAATTGCCAGTAGAATACAAGTGGGGAATACAATACAAGAGAGAAGTAGTAACAAGGAAATGTAGAGGGCATAGTGTAACAGGTGTAGTAAGGGACGAGTAGTGTCACACAACTATGAAACCAGACGTGCAGCCGAGCACGTCTGATGGTTGATGGTTTGCAACCACTGGTTGTGTAACCGGTGGTTGCGAATTTGGCAGGCACTGGTCGCGCGACCAGTGCAACCGAGCAGGGCCTAAGGAAGTCAACCAGTGAGCTTTAAAGTAGACGAAGAACTCAATCCCATATATATGATAGAGCTTGAACTAAACTTATGCAGCACTGAATCGAGGAATGCCTTGACTTCCAGAGTCGTTTGTGACGCTGTTTCAAGTCGCGGAAAGAGAGGAAAGTCAACCGGTCCAACATTAATGACAGGCCTGCCACTGAGCCATCCCTCAAATGCCCGGATAGACGGAGCTTCATAAATCGAATTCGTATTCATGACGGCTACATCGCACCTACAAAGAACCTGGAACGATGAACTGCTTAGCCATATATGAAAGAGAACGTCGGGGATTCCCGTACCTATACACTCCAGCTTGCACAGACTCTGCGGCTGCGGCTTCAGGCGTGATGAACTAAAGGTAGCATATTCGATTCAATAGATGAATTTTTTTTTGCGGGAACTGTACATTTTGGGCTGTGTGCTCAAGGTCGCACATAGGAGGGAGTCCTGGAATTTCAATGAGTCCACCACTCGACTTCCTCACAAATTGAACATGCCTTCATCAGCAATATCTGCAGATAAAGTTTCCCGTATATTCCTTGTCGGATCCTTCTTCGACAGCTTCTGAATCTGTGTAGAGGATTGCATTGAGCTCTTCTTCCACGTTTCTGTAAACGCCTCCAATATCTGGTGGGCCGAACATGAAAAGTACTGATGCAACTGATGCAGACTGCAGGGCATAGACTGGAACGGTAATTCCGCTGACACTCCTGATGTTTTTCAGGGTCTCATATAAAAAGAACTAGTAGAGGCAGTAAGCTGCAGTGACTTAGATTTAATAGAGGAAGATACGTACGTCCAGTATCACGAGTTGAGGGCTTCCTGGTTCAACCACATCCGACGAGAAGCCACGGTCGCCGACAGAACGATTGCTATTCAAGAGTCTTTCATATTCCTTTATAAAGGATGCATTGAGTGGTCCGTTATCAAAGGGATGAGTCCTCATTTCTAGAGGCACTGCCCTATATGCATGACGAGGTCTCAGTCGTCATTCTGATATGCTTATGCAAACGCCACGGGAATGTCAAGTTGACCTTTTGAGCCGTCGCAGTCGTTCTCAACCTCCGGTATGAATTGTGCGTCGAGGTCTTTGACAACCTTCACATGTAATGAAGACCCGATGAACATCGCCGCGTGGACCGATCGATAACGAACTATTTTTGCAAGAAGTATCCAAGCACACTTCGCACGTCCTGTAATGTAGATGAGGACAACTTCACGGCAACAGAACTCGGAAGCAGAAATTGAACGGCACCCCAAGCAGTTATGGTGAAGACAATGACATGTCCCTGGACAGACCCGACATCGATAGTCATTTCACGTCAAGCAATGGATGTGAGGGATACGAGTGAGTCTGGTGTATTCCGGTCCTCATACCATGTCCTTTTGTCCAGAATTCGCCTATTCTGCTTGATCTCTAATCTGTCGTTGCAAGGTAAGTGCATTTACCCGCTGAAACTGCTCTTCTCGTCCCACACCCAAAAATACTGCAAATCTAGAGCCAAAGGACCAGTGATGAGTCATTTTCAAATTGCGAGTTGGGCTATTAGCGAGTTTCTTTTATTCAAGAGTTTACCGTTGCATCCGTGAGACCTCGGTAGCCGTGGCACAAATGAGATGGAAGGGTAGGTCAAACCAGCAAACTGCATCCTTTCCAAGAATTGGGCTCCGTGAATCGCTTTCTTCAGCCAGAATGAATGGTATAAAGCTTTTCAATACTTCAAGACAGTTGTATGATTAAGCAAAAAATGAGTCTTGTAGGACTCTACTCGGAGCATGACTGGCTATTGTAGGAGAACATGTCTAAGCAGTTTTCTGCGTCGTCACCGAACATAAATAGATCCAAATATGGGTACACACGGCGATCATCGCCTTCTTTGGATCCAATTGACCGCACGTGTTTGCTTATTAACAAATGTCCATCATTTCAAGCGCGTCAAGGTAAGGATGCTCGATTCTGCCTTGTCATTGGCCTCGAAATTTCTGTATTTGACAAATATATGCCACTGTTTGGTAGGGTTGTCTCTTTCTTGCGCGTGATAGATGACCACATATATTCATGTGTGTGGTTGTCTGAGATGCTCTCGGATGAAAGAACTAAGTTAGATATATAGAACCTAATGAAATGCAGTAAAGAAATGCTTATATTGCTATCTATGATTCTACCATATCTAACATCTATCATGATGATCCAGTACCTCCTAGCATAAAGAAAGTCTACTGCAAGATATCTGTTATCTTCTTGATTCCATCCCAGTTCTCGCCTCCTGGAGCCCATAACTTAGCGAATCCGTCTCGGAACTTCTGAGCGTTCGCGCGCTTCACCGCCCCGTCCTGTCCTCTCATCTTTTGAAGCGTTCCAGAAAATTCACGTTTAACCGATTCAATGCTGGCTTCTGGAGTCTTGCCACCAAGACGGTGGATAGGAAGTAGCCCTATTCCACTTCGAACCTCAAACAACTCGTAACCTAGATTGTGTACGGTGGCGATATTTGCAGCGTTCATTGGCTGGTCTGCGTCAAAGGGCCAGCATACTCTTTTGGAGGGATCAGCATTATCAACTCTGCTGGTCTGAATTGTTACTTACAACGGTATGCCTGCTGAAAGTGCCTCGGTAACCGAGTTATGTCCGCAGTGAGTAACGAACCAACCACAGGCCTTCAAAATAGTATAAGCATCTCGATGTGTATAAATATTACTCATATTGGATCTTACTTCATGGTTTAGTATTGTCGTTTGAGGAAGCCAGTTAGATGAATATGCGAGGCCAGACGTCTCGATTCGCTCCTTCATGTCATCCGGTATCGCTCCAAATGGTGACGCGTGAGCGAATATCTGTCATAGCTCTTGGGTCACCCTTCAAGAAATAATAGTAGAGGCAACACGCACGAAGGGTACACGCTCTTCAATCAGAACTTCAAAGACCGCCCGTAACTTGTCAATTTCGGATGGCCAGAATATAGAACCGAATGATACCTAAGGAATCAATAGGTCAATGTTTCAAGTAGTGAAAGAGGTCAAACTTACATATACGACAGATCTTGAGCCATATTTGTGCAACGCGGAATCGAGGAAGGCCCTAACTTCTAGACTCGTCTGTGACTCTACTTCGCGTCGCGGAATGAGAGGAAAATCAATCGGTCCAACGCTAATGACGGGTCTGCCACTGAACCATTCTTCAAATACCTTAATAGACGGCGCTTCAAACATTGGATCCGTATTCATGACTGCTCCATCACACTCCATGAAAAACCTGGTGGAATAATTCTATCAATCATGCACGAAAATGAAAGCCCGAAAATCCCATACTTGTATGCTTTAGCAAGTATTGGCGCCGCATTTTCAGGAAAGATGAACTAAAGAAATCCAATCCACGAGGTTCAAGTTAATGACTGTATAAATAGATATTTCAGAAGAAACGGTACATTTTGGGGCGCACGCTCGTGGTCGTACATAGGAGGGAGCCCAGGAATTTTGATCAGTCTACCGCTCGACTTCTTAATTATCTGAACACATATTTATTAGCAATATCCAAAATGAGTAAAATTCCGCATGCATGCCTTGTCGGATTCTTCCGCAATGACGTTTGGGTCTGTGCGAGGGATCGCATTGAGCTCTTCTTCCATATTGCTGTAAACGCCTCCAATCTCTGGGGGTCCAAACATGAAAAGCACTGCTGCAACTGATGCCGACTGTAAGGCGTAAACAGGAACAGTATATCCACTGACACCCCTAATATTCTTCAGGATTTCATGCAAGAAAAACTAGCCAAGGCGGTAAGCAACAGCGACCGAGTGTCAGCAGATGTGATAACATACGTCTAGTATCACAAGTTGAGGTGGTCCTGGTTCAACCATATCCATTGGCAATTCATTTCTGAAAGGTACACGCTTGCTGTTGAGGAGTTTCTCATATTCCTTCATGAAGTTCGCATTGAGTAGACTGTTCTCAAAAGCATTGGGCCCAATTTCCAACGGTACGACCCTGTACACATGACAATCTTTCAGTTCACATTCCTTATTTGACACGCTACTGAAATGCCAAACTTACCTTATGAGTCTTCGCATATCGTCTTCAACCTCTGGTATAAATTGTGCATCGAGTTCTTTGGTAGCTCTCTCGTATAAAGGGGCGCCGATAAACATTGTTGCATTGACAGAGCGATAACGAACTATCTTCGCAAGAAGTACGCAAGCGCATTTTGCATGACCTGAAGTGTGAAAACGAGAGAAATCGTGAGGCGATAGAAGTTGGAAATAGAAATATAGGGATACCCCAGGCAGCTGCAGTGAGGGCGATGACGTGTCCCCGAACAATTCCCGTCTCGATGGTCATTTCGCAATAAGCAGTAGGTATGAAAAGAAGAGTGGGTCTGTCTGGGCACCGGTCTCTAGCTCATGTCCTTTTATTGGAGAATCGCCTACTGTACTTCATTTCCTTTCTGCTTCCGCAAGGTAAGCGCATTACGCTCCGAGACTTCTTTTCCCATCCCACACTGTTTTTACCAGCAAGCACGCTGCCTAAAGACCAATGATGAGTCATTTTCGACATGCGAGTCGGACCATTAGCGAGTTCCTTTTACTCAGGTGTTTCCCAAGATATGGCGTGCGACTCTAGCAGCTACGGAAGAAATGCGACAGAAGGCTAGGCAAACCTAACAAACTCCATGATCTTCGGGAATTGGGAGCATTAGGGTTCCTTTCTCAAACAATGTAATTGAAGTAAACTTGCAAGGCTTTAGAGCAATGCACTCGTATACAAGAGCAGAATCTCGTAGGGACATGAAAAATTTGTGGTTGCCCTTGAAGAAGAAGATGTTGGAAACTGTTCGGTGTTCCGTCTCGGAGCCGTCAAAAATAGACCCAAATACAGATAAGCAATGTCGATCATTTCCTTCTTTGAATCCAGACGATCGCACGTGCTGGCTTAGCAACGATTGTCATTTCAAGTGCGTCAACTTCAGTTTTTCTAAATTCATTTTATCTCGTCATTGGCTTCGGTGCTTCTAGGTTGACAAATCCTGCGCCTTCTTTCCGATCAGGACGAAGAACCGTGAGCTTGATCTCACGCGGTAGATCTAATCATCGTCAGTAGAAGTTCGGTCGCCAGCAACGTTCACGTAACGTAAACCTACTTGGCTCGGAATAACTTGACAACATTAATCTACTCTAACAGATGTCTGAAGAAAGCTGGGTGAACTCGTCGGGGTTTCGGATAAGATTGTCCTTCTCGGGATTCAGCCTGAGTCCGTTCTTTGCAGAATAAAAGAATAGATATTATCATATGAGTATCTACACTGGTATGGCTTATTCTCACTTAATTAGTTTCTCGTCCAATACTTTCATCTCACTGCATGCAAACAGCTTCATGGCTCAAACTCATCAACTTTATCCAATTAGACAACTGACTCAAGAAATTCCAGAATTGTCAAGCAAATGACCCAAACACGAAGAGTAGCATTTCTTCAGAATAAACCCCTAAGCCCCATCACACTGTCCAATAATGCAAGTAGGATATTTGAGGACGGTACGGCAAGACGACAGGCATCTCAGAACTATCATAATCGAAAGCTTGAGAGAAAATCACAAATGAATGTTAGACTATGTATTGATTAGAGCAAGTTTGATGTAAGGAAAGAGCTCTGTTTCACTTCATAGCTCATCCGACCCAGTTATTTCAATCATGCATGTGCATATATACTTGTCAAAATATGTATAAAATATGTAGCAATTTGTATGTACGTGCACAGAGATGAAACCCAATATTATAGCTCTACCAATATCAATAAATACCGTCCTCCCAAGGAAAAGTCAAAGTATTATATACGCTGCCCATCATTCTCGAATAATCGTTTTCCACGAAGCTCGAATGTTATTAGCTTAGGATGGGCAGTCGTCGATGTTGGTGTCGCCATTGACGCAAGCCGGAATTGTGGTTTCCGCACCACCTATAAAAGGGAAAAGAAAGGAAATCGTTAGAATTTTTTTGGGGACATAATATAGTGAATAAATGCTTACGGTCAGTTGAGAGCGTAGGGAACGGCTTGCGGCAGACTTGTTCGACGTCCTTGATATTCTTGGTAGCAGGGAACGTCGCTGGCTTCTTGACAGGAGGCTTAGGAACGGGAACAGCTTCGGAGCAGTCGTAGAGCCCGCGCCTGTCGTGTCCGAGAATGGCCATCTTCGACATGGACTAGGTATCAGTCACATCTTATATCAGAATTCTTTTCTAATGGAGACATAGATGAGGTATGAACTCACGGTTTGGAACGCATTCATCATCTTCTGCTGGTTATTGATCATATCTTGCCAGAAGCACGCAGTGACCGGGTCGCGAGCAATGGCAAAGTCGGATTGTAAGCGCATTTCGCCCTCGGCAGGGAGCGGCGAGTTGACTTCTGCACCGTCGGTGTTGTTCACGCCGAACGGTACACCCACACCCTTGAGCAGCACTTCAAGGAAGACTTGAGTGTCGAATGTAAAGGGCGTAGTGTCAAAGGGAACCGCGTCGTGGCCCGGAACAAGAGTATCTGAACGTGCGACGGTGTGCGAAGAGAGGAGGTTGACGGTATCTTCTGGGGTGAGACCTGCATCTTGCATACGTGCGAGAATCTTGTCAACTGGGTCTTGCGGTAAGGGAACGGTACCCTGCTGAGCAGGGGAGGTTGCGTTGGGACGACCTGCAAGGAACTCAAGGCGAGGGGCGCCTGGGCAGTTCGAGACCTAGAGAAACAATCAGTAACATCGCCGCATATCATGGAATATTGTCTACATACAGCAACTGCTCCCGCGAATTGGATGAGGTCTCCTGCGGAGACCTTGAAGTCGTGAAGGAGTGGTGCGAGGTTGTTGATGGCATCCTCAACACCGTCATTAGCATCTGTTCCAGAAGATACTTCAGTAATATTGAAAAACAATATGACCATAATACTCACGGTCTTGCAGTTCAGTTCCGTTGAAGAGCATAATGGAACCATCTGCGCCGGTTCCCCTGCACATGGGCGTAAGCAAAAGAAATCCATAGCGAGAAAATATGACTCACTTCAGTTTTCCAGACGCAGAGAACCCGATAGCGTCGTGGAAGGTAAGGCGAAGGGCTTCGTGAGCTGTGAATTGTACAACATCGTAAGTAAGTGATATTCACTACTCCAATGGGTAGATGCCTACCATCCTCTCCACACTCATTGTCGAACTTGTTGTTCTGTAACTCATCTGCGAGATCATAGAACACACAGCACTGCGGGTTGATTGCAGTGTTCTTGCTGTTCGGGCAGGGAGTCCTCTAGAAACAAGACAACCTAGTTAAAGTCTGGACTAATCACAGAGAGCAAATCGCGTACATGAAGGGTAGCTGCACTAGCCAGTGAAGCGAGTGCGACGAACGCAATGGAAAGCTTGAAGACCATTTTGATGAGGGCAACGAAATTAGAGAGAGAGCGTTTGCTTAGGACGAGTAGTAAACGAAGGAAAGAACACCCGAGTAGAGAACACTCAAGAGCTGAGGGATTCAAGGCCAGTACAAGGGCCCTTTTATACCTTCGACCTCATCTCGAGTCATAGCTATACAGTTCGCATCATACGTGATAGGTATGTGGGAGAGCACAATGACACAACACCAAACATAGCAGTCTCTCATCTCTCTTTCCAGCCACTCGCAAGCAGGATAATGCACCGCAAACAAGTTCTGACACACACACTCTCGTGCACTCAGGACACAAGACACAAAGGACTTGATCTACCACTGGATCGGAACCCGGTTCTTCGCATCCTTCGGAATTGTTCACCCAATACCTTGAAAGAGATTCGTCGAAGCGACCGCTTAGAGCCAGGCATCCGTGAAATTGTTTCCGTGGTGGTGGGTTTCGTCTCGACGGCGTCAACGTGCTCGAACGAGCATCAGTATCATATCCGTTGCGTCGGTGTGGAAGCAAGTCAACGAATCGGCTACCGATCCAGGAGAAGACGTCAAGTGAGGCGCGGACTACGAATAATGCCCGTTTTTGCAAAATTTGAATTCAAATTGATGTTGGGAGGAAGAACGTCGGTGATGTGCGTCGGCAACGAAAAGGCGAGTTTTCTCAGGCAACCATGGGAGCGGTAAGAGATGCCCATTCATGCCCTTGCAATGTTCAGCTCTACACCCAGGGTTCCGTACACATAGCATCTGCGCCGCCAGGAACGCGCTCCCGAATTGTAGCCGATAGCACCGCATGCAATTAATTCCAGGATAGCCGGATCCGCTCACTTGAAAGTGGCATGCGAAATAATAATATCGTTGCCTGCAGGGCTCTACACTTCGTACCTTACTGCCCAGTGCGCTTTCCAGGGGGCGGCGTTGAAATCTATGGGTGATTGGAAAAGGGAAATCTGTATTGATAATGACTCAAGTTCCTCGGTAGCGGAACCAGAGGGCGGGAAGTAACCCAAGTAAGCTATTAGGCTTGCACAGCAGAAGACAGATTTTGGCACTTCGCACGCTTCCGTTTCAATGATCTATTTCGCGTGTCCGGCACGGAATGGAAACACAGCAGCAGGAGCATGTTCCGAGTCTGCCGCTTGATTCTAAGAATAGAAATTCGCCGAAGAGCGACTGAGGGTGAGAAAAGATCAGAGCGGCCATGCACACAGCACGTCGAGTATCGAGGAATGACGCTGCGAAACGGAACAACCATGATCCCGAGCCCGAACCTGTGACTGCGTACCCCTGGTCCTTCAAGCTCACAAACACGTCTCAGAGCAAGTTGAAGAGCGGTTTCCCATGAGCACTTAACGCCTGGTCGTGAGTACTCGTATTGCACGGCGCTGCAATATTTCCATTAAGACTCGCCAGATGCAGACACATCTGGCTCGCAGGGCTAGAACGCCATTCACATGCATGTCCTTGTTCATTTATTCACCGATGAAATGACATTCGGTGAGAGTCGTAGAGGTGATGATCGTGTGTTTGTTGGAAGTTGTGCCTGTGTCGCGAAAATGATCCAGAGTGATCGGCGCATCGTATTTTGGTTTATGACATTATTGACATGCTCTTATAGCAATAAAATCCCACACATAGACCTATAACACCTAATATTTGGCCTTATTTTGTACGTACATTTCATTGGACTTGCATAAAAGCATATGAAAGGTCACTATGTTCATAAAGATGCTCCAATGGGTATATAGACACTGGACAGGGAGAAAATAAATCATGAAAAGTAAGGGCTGATAGTGCATCTGAACGCGTTGACTACGCAGATACTGATAGTTAACATTCTCACCACAGCCTCCCAAACACACTCCCTCTGCCCTCTCCGTCTCCACCATCATTGACGCTCATGCCCTGCCCGACGCCCAAGCCAGAGCCGGTAGTCAACCCGAGTAACCCCTGTATTGCTTTACTTACGGGCCTCATCCCCGTCCCATCCAACACATGTGGCGCTGGTGCTGTAAGCGGCTCCGCAACTCTCATCTCACCAAGCTCCCGTTCGTACACCGACATCACCCTCGGACCGGGCATAGTCAACTCGAGTTCAGAGGAGGGAGCGGAGAAGAGTGCGCGTGTTGTGTGAAGACGCGTTAGGAGTTGTTCGTAAAACGCTATCTCGTTGTCTAAGTGCATCTTTGTGATCTGCTCAAAGGTATCTCGTTTTGTAGAGTGGTATTCGTCCATTTCTGCTAGTGTGGTGTTGAGGACTGTCTCGCAGCGTGCTTGGGCTGTATTCTCCTCCTCCTCCTTTGTTCCCTTCTTATCAATGGTTTTCCCATCGTCAGTGTCCTTCCAGTCGTCGTTGCTTTGCGCATTGGAAGAGTCTGAGTTGGAATTTATCGGGCTACGGGTTAACTCTGACTCCGACTCCTCTTTATACCGCAGTAGCGTTTCTCTGTGTATATCAAGGATAGGCTAGAATGACAGTAAGGTATTCCGAGCCAGAACTTAGTTTGATTTCTTCCTAGTTTCTATGGCATATGATTAAACACGCACAGAGTAAGTTTTGTCCGGATGTGCAGCATCCTTGAGTGAATCTTCTGTCTCTAACATAGTTCGTCGAGCCTATATGCAAACCCAAACAAAAGAAGATAAGCAGAAATGGAAAGTCGTCAGTGAAAATTCGTAATTTTGTCGTTAAAGGAGATAATGCACTAGAGGAAAGAGAACATACGTGTCCATCGTACAAATCTGCCACACCCTGAAGTGTCTCGGCGGTCTTCTGTATGCACTTCGTAAGGCGCAGACAATCTAATTCACGTTTATAAGCGATAAGTAGAATCAAAAAAGGATGGATGAAGAACGAACCGGTACAATCCTCTCGCCAACACCACGCCCCTTCGGCGTTTTGCAAACCTCTTTTATTCCTCTTCTGTTGTTTGTGATGCCGCCTATGTCGTCCATTTGTTGCGTTAATTGTATTTATAGGCGAGTGAGCAGTGCTATTTGCTTCAATTTCGTTGTCGGATGGGGAAGCAGATGAGTCGGAGTCGTCGGAATCAGAGAGGGATAAAGAGCCAGTGAGTGGTTTGGATGTGATCAGTGAGAGGAGGGCGTAGGATAGTTGACGTTCTGCGTTGGACATCTCTGTTGTATCATAGTATTTTGATTCATGCACGTAAATGGAGATAAAATGGTTAGTTATCTTCATAATCGTGAACGGAGACCGGGAAACGGGAGAAGAAGAAGAAAAAAGTAACGCACCAAGCCTCGCACTCTTTACTCTCCCATACATCCCTCTCAATTGCTGTACACCCTGTGAAACTGCTCGCGTGTGATTTTCGAAGCGCTCAGCTGTTTCAGTCACTTCTTCCGCGTCAACTTGGAAAGGTAGATGAAAGACGTTAGAGTAAAAAGATGCCCCTGCGGGCCGTGTGTGCAAGTGGTAAGGGAGCTGACGACGCCATTCCTGCATAACATCCCAAATGAATCAGAATTCCTCTTTGACAATAGCAACGACAAATCAACATATTAAAGAGAAATATACAAGAGAAAATGAAATCAAAACAAACGGAAGTATTACACGTACCACTTCATCCTCACAGCTCAAGAAAAACGTCAACGCCTCGGAGTACCTAACAACCGGGTGTCGAACCAACGCGCGTAAGTAACGCTGTAAAGCTGCTCTTCGGGCTTCAACGAATGCACTACTCAATCGACCAGCGTATTGTTTTTCCGGAAGTGCGGGGAGCGCGAGGCCGGGTAGCTGGGCGGATATGGCATTGTGTAGGAGGACGAAGTGTGAGAAGCGACGGTGGACGGTTATTGGTTGGGCAATTGTAGCATTGGTAGTGACTGCTCTTGTGTCCGTTTCTTCGTCTTCATCATCGGAAGAGGGAGCGGAATTGAGAGGAAGAGAGAATGTGCTCGTCACGCTATACACGATGTAAGCTCCTGCGACCGACCTTCCTTCTTCCCCTCCGTTTTCTCCTTCTCCTGCGTGAACATGTGGATATCGCTTCTCAGGCGAATGCACCCTCACGTCGAATGGCGGGACCTTACTCCGCCATATCGGCCCTGCCTCGTCGACGTCGATGAAATGTACTTTGTTGTCCGTTTCAGGTGGAACGGCACTTGGCTCGCGTAGGTGTCCAACGTGAGGCAGGTAGGACGAGGGACGGAAGTTGGCACTGGTTGCATCGGAAGGAGGAAGGCCGTCTTCTGCACGAGCCTGAATAGAATTTGCAGGAGGGCCACCGCGAAGGATGAAAGCCTCTGCGCCAGACGTGACGAATCGAGAGAAACGGTTGAAGCTGCGTCCGCCAAGTAGACTTCGCCGCACTTGTTGGCGGAACCATTCACCTGTGTTTTGTGGAATGAGTGGAGGGTTGGAACTCTTGCTATTATTATCAATGTTATTGTTGACAATGGATGCGCGCGGAGTGGACGCGTCCTGCGTGTGTCCAGGCGCGTTGGTATCGGCCAGAGCGTCCTCAGGTGAGGAGATGAAGTCCGTTGTAAACTATTTTGTTTGGACGAAGTAAGTGAATATATGCGCAATATTATTTTCTAGAAACGCACCGTGTAGTATTCTCTGGGTACGAGACCTACTTCACCTCCGTGTTCTGAATCAGCGTCGTCGGCGTCTTGCTCGTTCCGTTCGTTATCATCGTTGTCGTCGTCGTCGTGAACGCGAAGTGGTATCCGCGCCAAACTCCATCCGTCAGCACTGTCAATTGTCTCGTGTAACACCTCCAACTCATCGCCTGCACGCACAGATAACTCCTTCGCTGTAGCCTCTCCGTTAAAGTCATACAGCACACGCGCAGGACGGCCACGTGTTAACGTCAACTCAACGCCCTCTTGACTCTCGTCCTGCTGTTCTCCGTCATCATCATCACGAACGACTTTCTCCTCGTCCGCGCTACCCAACGATAGACTATCCGCCTCTCCAACTGGAACCACATGAGCAAGTTCACTTTCACTAAGTGTACGTGCGAGGTCAAGGTGTTCTGTCCAGGCGGCAGAGCTGTTGAGACCGGCGTCGAAGTCGGATGTCGCGGGACGTGTTAGGAGAGGCTGCGCGGGTGCTCCTGCGCTTATGGTGGGGCCACCAGACTGTTTGAGGCGGCGCGGAAAGGTGGACATGGTGGACGCGCGTAGATAGAGGAATAGGGGCTTGAACGTCTGCTTGCCTTCTGGAAGTCACTCTGAGTTTGACGTTCTTCAGTTCGCTGACGTTTGGTTTATCGGACGATTCATTCAGTTTGTACATGGCTTCATTGTTATGATTGGGATATACGTGATTACTGGCATTGTTTAGGTGAGCTGAGAGCGAGTGCAAGTAAACTCAGAACTGGAACTTGAAAGAGATTCAACGTGCGACAGAAAAATGATGTAATTCATTTTCATCCATTGAATTTGTTCATTCATATTGACATTGAATCAACATGTCCCTGGCATCAAAGCTGCTATTCTGTATTATCACAGCCTCAGAATGTATTCAGAGCGTGGCTAACGTAGTGTATTGCTGCCTCACCTTGCCCTCAACCCTCACGTTGCGTCCAAGGTGCAAGCCAAGGTGCCGTTTTCCAGCACAGGCATACTACTGTCTGCCTTATCAATCGGTCGACTGTAGCATTACATAGTCATTTACCCATTTCTTGCAGGCTAGTCTCTCCTTTCCCTGTTCGGGTTCGAGCTAATTATAATAATAATGATTTTTAGACTCACGGTGAAGCTTTTGTTTAGAGGACAGCTGTAGAGGGTGTTCGGCTGCAAAATCCCCACGGGACATATAACAGCTAGGCTCTAGGACAAAGGAGTTTATCAGGTAATGCACGCATTATTGCTTGCTGGGTTCTTTAATCTGAAACCCAGGGCGTAAAAAGAGGATTGGGATTATTCCAAAGTGTTGCCATTATTTGGTGCCAACATGGAATTCTTAGTGGACCTCGGTTCGATTTGTCAGGCACTCAACCAGCTAAACTATAAACACTGGAATCATTTTAAGCAATCAGGCGAACGAGAAGACCTCGATAAGTCTATTAATTATACTCGGACTCTACTAGGACTTCTTGCAGAAGAAGAACCGAATCGCTCTGGCGTACTATGTAATCTTGGGCTCGCTCTTTACGAGCGATTCAATCAATGGGGGAAATTAGAAGACTTAGAGGAGGCGATTGGGCTCCACCGTGCAGTCTTGGAACGTTGTCCAGAAGGCCATCAATTCCGATTGCATGCTCTGGATGGCCTTGCAAATGCCCTCCAAGCTCGGTTTGAACAAAGTAGACAGGCTATGGACCTCGACGAAGCAATCGAGCTTAGCCGTTCTGCGTTAGAACTTCGCCCCGCCGGTCACCCCGATCGTCCACAGTCTCTGCGCGACCTTGCAGTATCCCTCCAGACTCGATTTCGGCGGCATGGACAGACCACTGACCGTGAAGAGGCCATTGACCTTCTTCGCTCTGCCCTGGAAATTAGCCCAGCCAGCCATCCCGATCGTTCCACGTTTCTAAATAAGCTTGCGGTGTCCCTTCGTTCCCGGTTTCTGCAGCATGGGCGGATCACGGACCTTGAGCAGTCCATTGAGCTCCACCGTTCTGCCCTGGAACTTCGTCCAAACGACCATCCCGATCGTCCCGAGTCTCTGAATAACCTTGCGCTTTCCCTTCAGACTCGGTTTAGTCAGTATAGGCGCATCACAGATATCGATGAGACTATTAAACTTCACCGTTCTGCCCTGGAACTTTGTCCCAACGGCCATCCCGATCGCGCCGAGTCTCTGAATAACCTTGCACTTTCCCTTCAGACTCGATTTAAAGAGTATGGGCGCATCACGGATATTGATGAGGCTATTGAGCTTCATCGTTCTGCTCTCAAACTTTTGCCCAACGGCCATCCTGCTCGTCTTATGCTTCTGAATAACCTTGCGGTTTCCCTTGAAGCTCGATTTAAGCATTGTGGACACACCACCGACATTGATGAATCTATTGAGCTTCACCGTTCTGCAGTGGAACTTTGCCCCAATGGCCACCCTGCTCATTCTACGCTTCTGAATGACCTTGCAGTGTCCCTTCAAAATCGATTTCGACAACATGGACATATCAAAGACATTGATGAGGCCATCAAGCATCATCGCGCTTCCCTGGAACTTCTCCCCCATGAACATGCTGGCCGTTCTCAGTTTCTGGGCAATCTTGCAACTGCCCTTCAAACCCGATTTGAACGACATGGACAGATCGTAGACCTTGACGAGGCCATCGTACAACATCGTACTGTCCTGGGACTTTGCTCGCATGACAATCCCGATCGACCCTTGTCTCTAAATAACCTTGCCGTCTCCCTTCAAATTCGATTTCAACTACGCGGACAACCTGCGGACCTTGATAAGTCCATTGAGCATCTTCATGCTGCCCTAAAGCTTTGCCCAGACGGTCATCCTCGTTATTCCATGTTTCTCAATAACCTTGCCAATTCCCTTCGAACTCGGTTTGAACGATATGGACGCGCCACAGACCTTGACGAGGCCATTGTGCATGTTCGTACTGCCCTGGAATGTTTACCTGTCAGCCATCCCGATCGTTCTTCTTCTCTGAACAATCTTGCAACAGCCCTCCAAATTCGATTTCAACAGTATGGACAGACTGCAGATCTTAACGAGGCCATCGTGCATCATCATACTGTCCTGAAACTTCGCCCTCACGACCATCCCGATCGATCCATGTCTCTAAATAACCTTGCCGCCTCCCTTCAAACTCGATTTCATCAGCACGGACAAACCACAGACCTTGACGAGGCCATTGCTCATCACCGTGCTTCCCTAGAACTTCTCCCCCATGGCCATTCTAATCGACCCGAATTTCTGAGCAACCTTGCGGGTTCCCTTCAAACTCGGTTTGAACAACATGGACAGACCGCGAACCTTGACGAGGCTATTGAGCACTTTCGTACTGCTCTGGAACTTTGTTCCGATAATCATTCCCATCGTTTCGGATTTCTAAATAACCTTTCCAATTCCCTTCGAACTCGGTTTGCACAATTTGGACGCATCACAGACATCGACGAGGCTATTATGCATCTTCGTGCTAGTGTGGAATTATGCCCTATCGGCCATCCCGATCGTTACATGATTCTGAATAACCTGGCACTTTCCCTTCAAAGTCGATTTGAAAAATCTGGACGCACCAGAGACATCGATGAGGCTATCGAACTACATCGTGCTAGTCTATGCCTTTACCCTGAGGGCCATCCTGACCGTTCCACGTCTCTGAATAACCTTGCAGTTTCTCTTCAAACACGCTTTGAAAAGCATGGACAGTCCACGGATCTTGAAGAGGCCATCAAGTATCATCGTTCTGCACTTGAGCTTCGTGCCGACGGACATCCCGAACGTTCCGCGTCATTAGGAAACTTAGCTTCTTCGTTGCTCTCTCGGTTTGACAGAACCGGGATCAAGGACGATTTCGAAGAGTGTATCCAGTTACTCAACCAAGCCACTGTACACAAGTTTTCGAGCTTCGTGACCCGGCTCGCGACGGCCAAAAGGTGGGCTGACCTGGCCCGGAATCATTCGCACCACACCACGTCCAGAGCTTACAAGGAGGCCATGTCGCTCCTGCAACGTGCCCTCATTGTTAGCCCTACTCTTCATGCACAGCACGACTTCCTCAGCCGGAAACACTACTACAGTACGTTCGCATTGGATGCAGCTGCTTATTTTGTTGAGGAAAACAAGTTCGACGAGGCTATAGAGATACTTGAGCAAGGAAGGGGTTTACTCTGGTCGCAGATGCATGGCTTTAGGACACCTTTAGTTGACCTTGCAGAAACAAACAGGGAGCTCGCTGACCGGTTCAGAAATGTTAGTCGTCAGCTAGAGAATCTCGCAACATCATCTTCCGCGCTGCAGTCTGATTCAAACGCTACCAAAATTGGGTCATCCACACTAGATGTGCATGGCGAACGGAAATTGTTCGAGGAGAGGACGAAGCTGAAAATGGAACTATTTAGCGTGCAAGAAAATATTATCAACGAGATACGACGGGTTCCCGGGTTCGAGAACTTCCTTGCGGCCACGCCATTTGAAGTACTACAGCAGGTAGCTTCAGAGGATCCAGTGATCATGATCAACCTCTGCAAATATCGATCCGATGCTCTTATTATACTTTCACGCAAGTATCAAGCGGTCGTCTGTGTTCCACTAGACGGGGAGTTCTACAAGGATAGTATCGAATTATACATCAAGCTCCTGGAAACACGTAAAAACTCTGGGGTTGATTCACTGGACTATGACCAGATACTCCGTCAAGTGATGAGGATGTTATGGGACAGGGTCGTCTCCGAAGTCGTAGACAAACTATTTGAGCTCGGAGTTGCCGAAGGATCGCGCATTTGGTGGTGCCCTACGTCCGTGTTGTCTGCGCTTCCCTTCCATGCCGCAGGTCCATTCGAGGACGTAGACGGCACTACAAAGTATCTATTAGATAAATACATCTCGTCATATACTCCGACACTTGGGGCACTTATTAATGCACGATCAGGTGGGATTGGAGGAGAACCAACAGTGCTTGTCATCGGTGATCCCTCACTTCCGTCGGCCAAGGAGGAAATTCGCAACATCAAGAATTGTGGTATAAGCACTAAATTACTTCTCAAGGAGGGGTCTCGTAATACAGTTGGCAAAGCACTTAGGAAGACCACATGGGTCCATTTTGTATGCCATGGGAACATAGATCCAAAGCCTTTCAACTCTTTCTTCAGGCTCTACTGCCACAAGAAGGACGACGAGCGGGACCACAGGCTCACTTTACTTGATATTGTTCAGGCAAATCTTCCGAACGCGGAGTTTGCGTTCCTTTCTGCTTGCCATACCGCTGAACAGGACTACAATGTCGCACATGATGAAGTGCTTCATTTGGCTGCGGCAATGCAGTTCTCTGGATTTCGGAGCGTGATTGGGTCGATGTGGGCGTTACTTGATGAGGACGGGCCCTTTTTCGCCAGGACAGTTTATGGGTACATATGTGAGTGTGATGAAGGCGAGGCAATGTACAAGCGGGCAGCTGCTGGACTTCGAAAAGCAGCTGTAGAACTTAAGAAAAGGGCCGACATTCGGTCTGAAAGATGGGTCAACTCGGTCCACATAGGTGCTTGATTTACAAGTCAATTCCGGCATCGGCTCCTCTTTGTGCTATTAGCGTTTTCTTCGTGTGTATTAAGATTGGGCTGTTATAAATATGATAATCATTAAACGTTGTCTATTAGTCAGATTTACCTTCCGTTAGTTTCCTTGTCTTGTATTTAAGTTCGTTATCGTTGTCGTGAACGCGAAGAGGTATCCGCGTCAAACTCCACCCGTCGGCACCGTTGATTGTCTCGTGTAACACCTCCAACTCGTCGCCCGTGCGCACGGATGACTTCTTCGTTGTAGCCTGACCAGTGAAGTCATAACACCCGCGCAGGACGGCCGCGTGCCAACGTCAACTCGACGAGCCCCTAGCCCTCGTTCTCATACACACTATCATTATCACGTACGAATTTTTCCTCGTCTGCACTATCTAACGATAAACTATCCACGTCTCCAAATGGAACCGCACGACCGAGTTCGCTCTTACTGAGTGTACGTGCGAGATCAAGGTGTTCTGTCCAGGCGGCAGAGCTGTTGAGACCGGCATCGAAGTCAGATGTCGCGGGACGTGTCAGGAAAGGTTATGCAGATGCTCCTGCGCTTATGGTGGAGGCACTGAGTTGTTTGAGGCGGTGCGGAAAGGTGACATGGTGGATACAAGGAGGGGAGATGCAAGATAGAGAAATAGGGGCTCAGACGTCTGCCTGCCTTCTGGATTCTGGAAGTTACTCTGGAATTTGACATCCGTCAGTTTATAGACGTTCAGCCTTTTGGTTATTTCATTCTGCTGTACATTGCTTCATAATTGAGTGTTGGTGAGAAGATACCCATGTCCTTTGTTCAAGCGTGATAACAGTAAGACAACCAGTACTGGTGAAATGGTCCATGGATGTCGGACTCTGGAGGCCATGAGAATCCAGTATCCGTGCTAAACTCTACGCCTTCGATGTTCGAACGTTCCGCACAACAACTCCAACTCGTCATTCAGATACACAGGTAACTTGATACACTCCTGGTTCACACTCTCGGATGTGTGCAGCGTGATCACAATTCACTATAACTTCTCACCACAACATTCAGATACCATAACTGACACAAATAAATTACGTGTGCAACTTATGTACAGTCCGCATTGATCGTTACTTGAACTTCAACGTGTTTCCAGCATGGTCAATAGGTATATAAGTGCTTATCTTTTACCCTCAACCCTACATGACACCCAAAACTCAAGCCAAGCCTCCAGTACCTAAATTAGTACTACACACTACCTGCTCAATCATCGTTTACTTATTTCTTCCAAGTTAGTCTCTTTATCTTATATGCTTTATCCTAAAAATGACAGTGAAGAAAGGTGCCTTGGCTTTCAGAGAATCCTCTGACAGTTAGCATATAGTCAGACTTTGCAGACCAAAAGGGTCTTAAGGTAATGAATACTTTGTAATTTGCCTCCTTCTCTTCTCATTAATCATACATTTGGCTGAAATTTAGGCTTATTGATAAGCATTACCGCAATTCTGTTCACATATGGAGTACTCAGTGGACCTCGATCTAATTCGTCGTGTACTTCTTAAGATGGTCGATAAACACTGGTCGCGTTTTTGCAAATCACAAGAACAGGAGGAAGCTGACAAGGCTGCTTTTTATGGTTGTATTGTGCTTGGACTTTGTCCTAAAGGAATCCTACTGCACTTTGAAATATTGCATAACCTTGGAGTTATTCTTTATCAACAATACACACAATGGGGAAGAATAGAGGACCTCAACAGGACCATTGAGTTGCATCGTGCTGCCCTGGAGCTGTGCCCCAAGAGTCATTCTGACCACTCAACCTTTCTAAACAATCTTGCAGATACCCTTCACATTCGGTCAGAACGGTGCCAGCGAATCTCGGATCTTGACGAGGCTGTCGATCATTATCGCACTGCCCTAACACTTCGCCTCAATGGGCATTCCAATCTTTCTACGTCTCTGGGTAAAGTTGCAGCTTCCCTTCAAACCCGATTTGAACAGTCTGGACAGAGTTCATCTCCTGACGAAGCCATTGGGCTTCACTGTTCTGCGCTAGACCTATGGTGCAATCCCGAACATCTGCATCAGGCTGCATTATGCCTTCAAGCTCGATTTAAAGAGCGCGGGGAGGATTTGGATCTTGAAGATGCCATTTTGCTTCACCGTTCTGCCCTGAAACTTTTGCCCAACAACCATCGTGATCGTGACGTGCATCTGGGAAACCTTGCATTTTCTCTTCGAATCCGATTTCAACAGTATGGGCAGATTGTGGACCTTAACGAGGCTGTCAAGCACTACCATGCTATCCTGGAACTTCGGCCTGAAGGCCATCCTGGTCGTTCCGTCCCTCTGGTTAACTTGGGATGTTGCCTTCGATTACGATTTCTACAGCATGAACAGACTGAAGACATTAACAATTCGATCGACCATTATCGTGCTGCCTTACAACTTCTCCCTGACAACCGTCCTAATGATCCTAATTATTATGGATTCCTGAATGATCTGGCAAATTCGCTTCAAACTCGTTTTGAGCGGACTGGACAGATTGCAGACCTCAATGAGGCTATTGAGAATCGTCACGCTGCCCTAGGACATTGTCCCAACGACCATCCCAGACGTCTTGTGTTGCTGACTAACCTTGCAGCATCGCTTAACATGCGATTTGGACGGCATAAGCAGACAACAGATCTTGATGAAGCCATCAAACTTCTTCGTACTGTCCTAGAACATTACCCAAATGGGCATCTCTATCGTTCCGTAGCTCTGGTCCACCTTGCAGCTTCCCTTAATGCTCGCTTTGAGCAGTGTGGACAGGCCATGGACCTCGACGAAGCTATTGAAATTCGCCGCTCTGCCCTGAGACATCATCCCATTGGTCATCCTAGTCGTTCTTCGTCTCTGTCCAATCTTGCATCGTCCTTGAGGACTCGATTTGAACAGTTTGGAGTGGCTGCAGATCTTAACGAAGCCATCGAGTATCATCGCGCTGCCCTAGATCAGTGCCCCAATATCCATCCTGATCGTTCTATGCGGCTCAATAACCTTGCGGTTTCACTTAAAACTCGATTTGAACAATATGGACAGGCTGCAGATCTTGATGAGGCCGTCGAGCATCTTCGTACTGCTCTAGAACTATGTCCAGGCGACCATCCCGAACGTTATGCGGCTCTGAGTAACCTTGATAACTCCCTTCAATTACAGTTCAGACAATATGGGCGGACCGCAAGCCTTGATGAGGCCATCGCGCATCATCGTACTGCCTTAGAACGTCTTCCAGACAGCCATCCCAATCGTTCCACGGCTCTGAATAACCTTGCGACTTCTCTTTGTACCCGATTTGAGCGTAAATATGAGCAGCCTAATCAGGTTCAGGATCTCAATGACTCCATCAAACTTTATCGCTCCGCACTGGAACATCGTCCCTTCGGCCATCCCGGCCGTTCCCATTCTCTGAGTAACCTTGCAGGTGCTCTCCAAACTCGATTTATTTATCGGCAGACTTTGGGTACAATGTTTGCCGATCACCTTGCTGCCATGGGGCTTTGGTCCAGCGCCCATCCAGAGTCTCCCTCAATCCCGAATGTCCTCTCAGGTTCCCTTCATACTCAATCTAAACAGTATGGACAAACTACAGACATTGATGAGGCAATCGAGCTTCACTATTCTGCCCTTGAACTTCGCCCGGTTGGCCATCCTGATCGTTCCTCGGCTCTGAACAATCTCGCAGGTTCTCTTAAATATAGATTTGAACACTCGGGAGAGACAACGGACATCAACAAGGCCGTTGAGCATTACCATGCTGCCTTGGAACTCTATCCTGCAGGCCATCCTGGTTGTTCCAAATGGCTGGTGAACTTAGCTCGTTCATTGCTTTCTCGATTTGAGAAGCTTGGGCTCATGGATGATATCGAAGAGTGTATACAATCGCTTGAATGTGCCACTCTACATGAGTTTTCGAGCTTGGTAAACCGTCTTGAGGCAGCTTGCCTATGGGCTAACGTTGCGCGAAGCCATTCCCACCATACCACATCCAGAGCCTACCAGAAGGCAATGCTACTGCTGCAGCGTGCCCTCGTAGTTAGTCCTACTCTTCATGCACAGCATGACTTCCTTGACCAGAAACACAGGTACGGATCGTTTGCATTAGATATAGTAGCCCATGCTGTAGAGGGGAATAGGCTTGAAGAGGCCATAGAGCTACTTGAGCAAGGCCGGGGTTTACTCTGGTCACAGATGCGGAGTTTCAGGACACCTCTAGATCGCCTTGCAGAAACAAACAGAGAACTCGCCGAGAGGTTCAGAGATATCATTCGACAGTTGGAGAATCTCACAACATCGTCTTCCGTGCCGCAGTCGATTTCAAGCTCTGTCGAAAGCGGGTCGTCTATACTGACGATGGCCAGGGAACAGAAATTGTTCGAGGAGAAAATAAAGCTGAAGGAGCGACTCTCTAATGAACAGGAAGAGATTACCAGGGAAATACGACGAATTCCTGGATTCGAAAACTTTCTCGAAGCCACACCTTTCAAAGAACTTCAGCGAGCGGCGTCGGAGGGTCCGGTGATTGTGGTTAATCACAGCCAATATCGATCCGATGCGCTCATTATTCTACCCCATGGAGATCGTCCAGTTGTCTGTGTCCCACTAGATGGAGAGTTTTATAAGGATATCATTATGCTGTACTCCGGACTCGTGGCAGGACGCACAGGATTTGGAGTTGGCTCACAAGAATACGACAGAATACTCTGCCAAACGATGAAAACACTGTGGGATAGGGTTGTTATCAAAGTCGTCGACAAACTTAAGGAGCTCGGAATCGTCGAAGGATCGCGCATTTGGTGGTGTCCAACATCCGTGCTGTCTGCACTTCCCTTCCACGCTGCAGGTCCGTTTGAGGATACAGAAGGAACTACGATGTATCTGTTGGACAAGTACATCTCGTCATATACTCCGACGCTCGGGGCACTCATTGATGCTCAGTTGTCACGTGGAAAGGGAGGAGCACCAACTACTCTTGTTATTGGAGATACTTCACTGCCGTCAGCTAAGGAGGAAATTCGCAGGATCAAGAATTGTGGCGTAAAGACTAAACTACTCAGCAGTGGAGCATCGCACAACGCAGTGGTTGAAGCTCTTCGGAAAACGACATGGGTGCACTTCGCTTGCCACGGAGGCTTGGATCCAAAGCCATTCGATTCGGCATTCAAGGTGTCCGACCGCGGGCTGACTTTACTAGATATTGTCCAAGCGAATATTCCGAACGCAGAGTTCGCATTCCTCTCTGCTTGTCATACTGCCGAACAGCACTATAGCAGTATACATGATGAAGTACTTCACCTGGCAGCGGCAATACAGTTCTCTGGATTTCGGAGCGTGATTGGGTCGATGTGGGAGCTGCTTGATGAGGATGGGCCATTTTTCGCCAGGACCGTTTATGAGTACATGTGTAACTGCGACGAGGACCAGGAGAAGTACAAGCAGGCGGCTGCTGGACTTCGTGAAGCAGCTATAAAGTTAAAAGCACGAGATGGTATTCGGACTGAGAGATGGGTCAATTTGGTCCACACAGGTGCTTGATTGGCGTTGGAAGATCTTACAAGGTCTGGTTTGGATTCTGGAATTCACTCATTTACTGTCTTGTGTATACGGAAGCTGTTATAGTTTTATGACGGATCAATATCGACTGCACGTATAGATAGACACTATAAAGTTACAGACTGGCTTCATTCTGAACTGAAGAAAGGACAGAGAGGACAAAACAATGAAGTAAAAGAAGTAGCTTAGTAAGGTCAAGAGCCGATCTGCGTGACTAATCAACTTTACGCGTGCCTTGCCTTGAGCTTGTTGAGCAACTTGAGCATTGAGCAAGCTGCAATTGCAGCCATGAACGACCCACGTAGTATGGTCAGTCTCTTTTCTGTCCTCACTTCTGGTGATTTTGGTCTAACAAGACAATATAAGATGATTGGATGGGGTGCACTGCTCTTCGCAGCAGGCAGCGGGTACTACTTCGCTCGGAAGGACCTGAACGAGCGAAGGAGGGAACAGGCGAGGCAGGGCCTGAGGGGACCTGCTATGGATTGTATGTCTTTTCTCCCATTCAACTTTTCGAATAGGGTGTTCTAATGAATTACGGACACTGCCCAGGGCGGGAGAAAATCGAGCAGAACAGTGACGCTCTGCAGTCCGCGAGCGGTACTAAAAATAGCGCAACGCCTAGCAGCGGGTCAAAAGTAGTACCTACTCCAAATCCGAAGGAGCCGCCTGAGGGAAAACCAAGCTGATGAACTTACTCAATTCTCGTGACAAAAATATTGATTAATGCTTTCTGTTTCGGAGTACGGATTCAATGGTAGGATTTGACGATTGACTGGCTATCCCGATTCAAGATGTATGTCGTCATTCTGAGACACCCATAAAACTGCAACGACTTCTTTCAAGATAGATGCACACTGTACTCTATATTCTCCCGTCGACAATTTCATCCACAACACCCGATAACTTCTTTTAATTCCGCAAATATGAGCCACTATACTGGTCACAATACACCTACAGGTCCGCCACCCGCTCGCGTGAGTCTACTCTCTCTCATTGGTATGAACGAGGTGGACTAACGAAATTGATGGGTTTGTCCAGGTGGCATTTTTCGGCGTGACTCTCTTTGCAGCGGGCTACATCGGTTTCTACACTTTCCTCAAGAAAAGACACGAGCGCAAGCATATGCTCGACAGAGTGTCTGATACGGAGGCTAGAATTTCTAGTTGTTCGTCTCTCTTTCCTTTCCCTTTATTCCTCCCACACCCTCAACTCTAGTTCTCCTTCCTCATCTCTCTCTTGATTTGGTACTTGCACTGATGGTAATGCGCTTAGGGGAAACTCGCATGCTTCAACGCGCCACCCCAGTCTCTTCCTCTTCCTCACCAGAAGCTCTCCGCGCAGCGCGCATCGAAAATCGCAAAACGAGCCTCCCACCGCCTACCTCCATGCATGACGCGCATCATCGTACGCTCCTCAGCGACGCTTCCTATACAAACGGCACACGCAATTTGAGCCAGCCAACAGCGCAAAAAGGGTTCTCAAATGGAAGGACGGAAGTGTATACTAAGAACCCTGGGTGGCGTGAGCAAGCGCATTACGCTCTACCTTCCAAAGCGGACGGAAACGGTGATGGTAATGGTAATGGTTTTTTTAGTGGAGGAGCGGGGTATGGGGAAGGAGAGGCGAGCGCTGCGGGAGAATTTGTGGATAAGGTGGAGGAGGGAGCGAAGGAAGCGAAAGATAGCATTAAGCGTGTGTTCGGGAAGTGATTGATGAGCGGGGAGTCGCCTTTGTCTTTTTCTTTTCCACGTTTTTTTTTCTTTCTGTGTAGGTATGAGATTATGCTTCCTCCCTCGTGCAAACCGGTAGACAGTACTATATTAAATAAGTGTATTTATTTAATCTAATAATTGGTGTTTCCCACGCATACATTTTGAATTCCGGCAGAACGAAGCAGTCGCAGCTCGACTTTATCATTTCCATTTCCTTTTTCGTTCTCTGAATCTCTCAGCTGAGATACCCGGCTTATTTTTATTAAATGTCTGTTGACTCAAAATGGTCCGCTTCCCGAAATGTTTACTTTATCTCTGAATATAAGCGCTAAAAGAAACTCAAGCAGATAGTGTGCGTGGTGATTGTGGTGGTACAATCATAGAATATGATGCAGCTGCAGACAATGGCTTCTGTGTTGTATGTGGGACGGTCGTCGAAAAGAATACGGTCGACAAGGATAGGGTAGCGATAACTGAGCATGCGGAGGAGGAAGGTGGAGAAGTGGATGGGGAAGGTGAGGAAATTGAGCTCAGTGAAAACACTGAGAAGGGGGAGGACAAGCATTTTTGGGATGATAGGTATGAGCAGGAAGTATAGTAGTAGTACCGCCGTCAGTAATGTTAGAATAGAAGGTCTGTTGGTATAACACAGGACATGGTAACATTTTCCTGCTGTTGTTATCGCTGTACTATATGTAATTGAGAATAAAAACGTATACTGATCTTGTTATTAGTATATGCCATCCGGTTTAACTGTTCAGTACTTTTATACTTTTCTGGTTGTCTGTAATCTCAGACAACTAGAGCAACTAACTTATATGTTGTAGTCAGCTCAGGATGACTGAGGCTTGTATCCGGAATCACTTCTCTTTTTTTTACTGGAGTTAATCAGCAGGTTCTCCGCAGACATGTGCCAAAACTACTAACATTCTCTACAGGTTTCATAGTATTCCAGACTTATACAACATGCATTAGCTAATTCTCACATGCTTGAACTAAACGGCCATCAACATAGTCTCCACTTGCTTTGTGTCTCGAGGAATTATTCTGCATCTGAAAGCCTTTGGATACCTGTCCATAGTAATTCTATTTAATTGACTAGGAATTGCCTGTCAATAGTTGTACTCACGCTATAAACCCTTCACCATCAATTTCCAGTTTCGGATTCTCTGCCTTTCCTGTATCCGGATCCACGTAAGGCAAGATGTCGAATAAGGCAAGCACGTTCGCTGCGACCAGCCAGAGGGTTGAGTCTGCGAGATATTTACCAGGGCAAATTATAAAGAACAGAATATTTAAGAAGATGCATATATGCAGGCAAGAATTCGATGACCTTCTGCCGAATCCAAACACAATGTTACTAGGATCATCATCGGCGCCGGCGGGAATGTCTTTGTCAGATACTCTGCGTGAAATGTTCGACTCAGCCATCACATTTGCCATGTGGCGCTCAGGAATGAAGGCATCTGGATCTGGAAAAGACTTTTCGTCTCTCATCATGCACCTGAATGGAAATTCTGTAAGTGATATATGTAGGTAATGCCAGAGTGACTGCTCGCACCATATGTTTGCGATGGCCATTGATCCTGCCGGGATGGTCCATCCACGATACTGCTCGGTCTTTGTGGATCTATGCGGAATACCTGTACAGTTGCACTAAGATGCATTGAACGAATTAAGAATAACGGGATAGCAAACCAAGAGGTACGACAGGATGGATCCTGACGAACGTAAATACAGTGATGTTGTGTTTTATTGACAAGTTCGAGTTCTGCTCACGTACCGGTACATTTCCTTCAATACACAATTCAGGTATGGAAGATCGTCTCTGTCTTCCAAACGAGGTAAGCGATCCCTCCCAACGACTTTATCGATCTCCTCCTGGACCTTCTTTGCAACTTCTGTCTGGATCGTCATATTCAGAAAGAGTGCCTTGAGGGTGGTTTTAGTCTGAAATAAATTGTATTAGCTAGTGAGAATATTATCCCTCGATTAAGCTCTCAGAAGTGTACCGTGTCCGACCCGGCTAATCAAAGAAACAGTAAAGGCGTGTTGGAAAACATGCATGTTAAATGAAATCTCTTACCAGCATAGATTGCAAGTCCAACATTCATAATATCTGCTTCGTGTTCAGGGTCAAACGCTTGCATTTCTTCGTATTGGTCTAGCAGATCAGACATTATGCATGAAGGAGTAACGCCCTTTGCCTGGCAATCAGATGCATTCAGGACCTCTTGCACTGTCAGGGTCCAATGAGTTACACACCCTCTTTGCTTTTAACTCCTCGAAGGGTTGTGTCTTTACACGATCAACGAGCTCTCGTGCTCTTGGAATGAGTCTCTTTACTCCCATTCCAGGCAACCAAGAGGGTGCGTAACGCACTGTAAGGGAGTGAGTCGGATGATAAAGTCGTAACGTAAGAAATACTCACTGAATGGAAGAATGTCAAGGACCGTTGTGCCAAGGTTGCCAAAATTTGTTACTCCTTGCACAGCTCTCTCAATAAGCTGGACAAGCGGATCAGGTTCAGCTACCACCTCATGACCATATGTTATTGACACAATTATTCCAGAAATCAAGCTAGGAAGTTGGTTAGCCAGGTACAGCTGAATCGTAAAGTCATTTTACCTGTGTATATGCATGATGAAGTCATCTGGACTAATCAATAGGCAACGGAGGAACTTTAGAAGTTCACGGTCTTGCGTATGTCGAAATGCTGAAATTGCCTGAGGAGCAAAACAATGCTGAAAAATTCGGCGGTGCTTTCGGAATCGTGGGCCGTAGCGAAGGAACGGAAGAATAAGCCCCCATCCCATCCTATACAGCACATTGATTTACCTTTTCACGACCAACAGAAGAGACAGTGCCTACATATTACCCACAGGCAAGTACGGTCTATCAGAAAAGACATTGCTCTTCTTTTCCAGAAGGTCGCGAGCTGCAGTAACTGAGTTAAGGATAACAATGGACTGGCCAAAGGCCTCAGTGTAGATGACGTCGCCTAGTTCTCTTTTAGCCTTGAACGGACAAACGAGCTGGAATGATAGACGGACCATAGTCTTTGTTCCACTTCCCGTATATTCCCATCCTCTAACGGATGGAATTTTTCTCGCGTGCCCAATCAAAATGTCCTTTGGAGGACCAGGGGGATAAGGAAGGGCTATCGAATGTCCCCTTGTGTAGAGAATGTAAGCAAACGTGATAGCAAGAAGTGCAACAGTGATATCCCATGCGAGAGTCATGTCTCCTCTTAGTTGAGTCTGGGGGATAGTGTAACTCACTTTTCGTCCTTTATACTATGAGGCGGACAGAAGAGACCCCACTCCACATTATAGAACCTTGCAATCCGCTAATGGCCAACTTGAATTCAAGTACCAGAGTCTCGTGGCGGATTGATCGTCGTACCCAACTAGGGACTATTGATTTCTATAGGAGATCCCGCAATTTGTAACAAACCCTATCTGCTTCCGTTTCCGATCCGTATGCTTGGCAGTTGAGTGGGTGCTTGTGTATCTTGAATGACTCACAGCCGACGTAATGATTGAATAGTATATGCATTGCTATTTCCACCTAGTTTGCTTTTCTATGCCTGCTGCCTGCGTGGACTCTTTAGAACATGAATATTTGAGCTTCTGTAGGAGTTGCCAAGTTGATGAGGATTAGATTGTACACATTGACGTATTTGCTGTAATATAGAGAGAACTAGTGAATGTAAATAGAGTAAGATAATATCACTTACCTCGTTTTTTTATGCATATGATTTGAAATCTAGTTTGAAAACCCGTGGATCAAAAATAGGCGGATTTCGATCATCAGCCCCAAACTTCTGTGAAATACCTATTTTATGTCGATGGTCTTAGTTAAGTGCAATAAGCACTCCGTATTGGGTGTGAACAGACGCATTATCTCGATTACGTCCTGCCGCCCAAAGCAAACGGAAGTTTCAGCGGTAGTGGTGATTCGGCTGGAGGAGTAGGCTATGGTGAGAGCAAAGCAACGAGTGGACTGTGCTTTATTCGAGGTATTTATTGTACGTACCTGAAGATTTTCAGCCAGCATGCACACAAGGAAAGGAGGAGTATGATGTCTTTCGATTCAATTTCGTTTGTTTCCGCCAATGCGGCCAGCCAACATAGTAGCTTTACATATTCTTGGTGCAATTGTTACAGCGTATGAAACGCATATCATTCTCTCTTTCTTCACTAATTACGTATTTATGTAGTTACTAGTATGCATTTGATGCCTGATGTGAGAAATTGCTGGACTGGATTGGCAAATAGATGCTGATGAAGCATTAGCATTTGCATGCAATTGTATCAAAACGCCTGTTGAGACAACATTTTGATAAACAGGAATATATTTATGTATTACGGATCTTATTTTTATTACAACACAAGTCAAGCACCTATGTGCACAAGATTAACCCACCGTTCAGCCTGAATCCCATCTCGAGCTTCCAGCTCCAAAGCTGCTTTCCGAAGACCTCCAGCCGCCCTCTTATACCTCACTTCGCCGTCCTCGCCGTCATTTATGTATTCATAAACGGCTTTGGCTAATGCGGGTCCATCCTCGTCAAGTAGTTCCCACATTGATCCAATTACACTTCGAAAACCGGAAAATTGCATGGCTGCGGCGAGGTGCAGGGTTTCGTCGTAAGCGCCGTCATGATGTTGCTCTGCAGTATGGCAGGCAGAAAGAAACGCAAATTCCGCATTCGGACTACTAGCTCGGACGATATCGAGCATTGTTAGGCCGCCATCTGATAGGTTGAATGAAGAGCCAAAAGGCTTTGAATCTAAAGATCCATGGCAAGTGAAATGCACCCATGTTGTTTCCCGGAGGGCTTTGAGCACTGTACTACGAGACGGGCTGAGCAAATTGACGTTCATCCCACAATTTCGGATATTTCTAATCTCCTGCTTAGCCCTGCGCAACTTGCTACTAATCCTCAAGTCTCCAATGACAAGCAATCTTGGTTCTTCCTCGACACTCGCTACTCGTGCTTTGATGAGAGCCTCGAGAGTCGGAGTATAAGATGAGACGTAATCATCTAGTAAGTATCTCGTAGCACCATTAGTATCCTCATATGGGCCTGCAGCATGGAAAGGAAACAGGGATAATATTGAAGTTGGACACCACCAAATGCGACTTCCTTCGGCAACCCCGTACTCGTTAAGTTTGACGACGACGTTTGAGACAACCCTTTCCCACACCATCCTCATCGCTTCGTGAAGCTTCACATCAAATTCCGACGAATCGACACCGAACTGTCTGCGCGTTTCTGCGAGCTCGTTGCACAGCTTCGTGCTATCCTCGTAGAATTCATTGTCTAACGGAACACAAATGACTGATGTATTGTCGCGGGGCAGAACGATGAGGGCATCGGAACGGTATTTGCAATGATTTACCATGATGACCGGACCCTCCGAAGCTGCCTGCTGCAATACCTTGAAGGGCGTGGCTTGAAGAAATCTTTCGAATCCTGGAAGTCGCCGAATGTCGTTAAGGATCTCCTCTTGCTCATTCGAAAGTTGTCTCTTTAACTTCAACAGCTCGTCAAATGATTTCCGTCCTAGTTTGCCATCCAGCCCAAGCGATTCACCTCCGTTCATGGTTGACTCAGATGCTAACGCTTCCTACGATGTTGTCAGATCCTCCAGTCGGCGACTAACATCCCTAAACCTGTCGGCGAGTTCTCTATTCGCTTCTGCAAGTTCATCCAGAGGAGTCCTGAGACCGCGCAGCTGCGACCAAAGTAAGCCCCTTCCTTGCTCCAGAATCTCCACGGCTTGCTCCAATCGATTTTTCTCTATTGCGTAGGAAGCGGCTTCCAAGGAGAGTGCTCTGTAATCGCTATTCCTGAGAAGGAAGTCGTGTTGTTCGCGGAGCGTTGGATTTATGGTAAGGGCGTGTTGAAGTATCGATATGGTTGCTTTGTATCCCGTAAAGACAGAGGTGTGATCGTGCAATCGTGCGAGTGTTACCCACTGTCGTGAGGCAGTAAGACGGTCCAACAACCCCGAGAATTCATGAGTAACAGCAAACTCCAGCAACTGCATGCATTCTTCGAACTCTTCCGGGTGCCATTGTTTCTCAACATGAGCGTATAGAGCATTTGCAAGGGTCCTTAATGCCAGTGAACGAAGGGGATGGCCTTCAGGTCCAAGCTCGAGTGTGGCTCGAAGCGACTCGATGGCTTCCTCAAGGTCTTCAGTCCTTCCTTTCCACTCGTATCGAGTCTTCAGAGAGACTGCAAGACTGCCGAAAGTCAGGAGACGATCAGGATGGCCTTCGGGTTGAAGCTCAAGGGCGGCTCGATCCAACTTAATGGCTTCCTCAAGGTCCTCAGTCATTCCTTGCCGCTCATATCGAGTTCTCAGAGAGATAGCTAGGTTGTTGAGAGACATAGAGCGATGAGGATGACCTTCGGGGCGAAGCTCGAGGGTGGCTCGGTGCAACTCAATGGCGTCCTCGAGGACCTCTTCCCTTCCTTGCCGCTCGTATAAGGTTTTCAGAGAGACCGCGAGATTGTTCAGAGAGAGAGAGCGATCAGGATGGCCTTTGGGTCGAAGCTCGAGGGCGGCTCGGTGCAACTCGATGGCGTCCTCGAGGTCCTCTTCCCTTCCCTGTTGCCAGTATCGAGTTGTCAGAGAACTAGCAAGGTTATTGAGAGAGATAGAACGATCAGGATGACCTTCGGATCGAAGCTTCAGGGCGACTCGGTTCAACTCGATAGCCTCCTCGAGGTCCTCAGTCCTTCCTTGCTGTTCATATCGCATTGTCAATTCGTTCGCGAGATTGTTGAGAGACAAAGAGCGATCGGTATGGCCTTCGGGTTGAAGCTCGAGTGCGGCTCGTTCCAACTTGATGGCCTCTTCGAGGTCCTCAGTCCTTCCTTGCTGCTCATATCGGGTCCTTAGAGAGTTTGCAAAGTTGCTGAGAGACATGGAACGATCAGGATGGCCTTCGAGTCGAAGCTCAAGGGCGGCTCGGTTCAGCTCGACGGCTTCTTCGAGATCTTCCAAATGGCCCCACCGCTTGTATCGTGCATCAAGAGATACTGCGAGATTATACAACGTTCGCGAACGATCGGGATGTCCATTAGGACGAAGTTTGAGGGCAGCACGATCGTGAATAATAGACTTTTCGAGTTCGTCCCGTTCCCCAGATTGCTCGAAGCGCTCCCAGTGTTCCAGCGCTAGGTTGTGATGTGTCTGCGGATCAAGGTCGATGAAATCTTCGGGGGAAACCCAACTTGATGTAGTATTTGATTCCATCTCTCAATGTGAGCTATTCATCTGCATGTTAGCCAAAACATAAACCTTACAATAAAAAGAAGGCAGAATACTCAGCCAAGATGCATTGCCTAGTGGCCTGGTTTCAATCTATCTTTACACTCCTGCTTTAGATGAATAAAAACATTGGACAACTTTGGCAGTTTTTCTGCTAATGATTCAGTCACTTGGCAAGTACTGTGTGAAGAGGTTGGCTTCTAATGAAAGTCAGATAGGCAGGCTGCCTTTGTGGACCGTGGATCGTGTCAAGAACTAGGGACGATGCTGCGGTTATGTAAGGGCAGGGATCGGACTGTTATCGTGATTCGTCATCATCCTTATCTTATCTCACAGTTTCGCGTATCTTTTTATTTATTTTATCTTTCCTTTCCTTTCCTTTCCTCTGACCGCTATGAAGGCCAACTACAGGGTGCGTCCACCGTCAGTCATTCTCGATATTAAAAAAACAATCAATTCTAATGCAACGAGGCTGGATTTTGTACTGTTAGTTCTCAAATCTTTGTGGGACGGTATATCAACAAGGAAACATCCTCTTCACAGCTGATGGAAACTCTCTGTTGAGCCCGGTTGGGAATCGAGTGACTGTATTTGATTTGCTCAAGTACGTGTGTCTCTACCCTTCCTTATAGCTGTAATTAAGATATTTTCATGATTTAAAAAAAAATGAACAGCAACAAATCGTATACACTCCCTTTCCAGACACGGCAAAATATCTCCTTAATCGCACTCAGTCCCTCCTCGAATAACCTCCTCATAGCGGTTGACCTCTCCGGTCGCGCACTTTTCGTCAACTTTCGTCGTCGAACGATTCTCCACCGTCTTAATTTTAAGAAACCTGTGACGTGCTTAACATTTTCTCTTGATGGAACACACTTCGCTGTTGGGCTTGAAGAGGAAGGTGGTGTGCAGGTGTGGAAGGTGCCGAGGAGTTTTGGTGTGGTAAGGGAGTTTGTTGCTGTTGAGCTCGTTAGGAAGTATGTTGGGTTTGGAGACGGTGTGCAGAGTGTTGAGTGGTCGAAGGACAGTTCGTGAGTTGATAGTTTTTTCTTTCGGAAAAAATATCTATTTGTTTCTTTGGTTGATGAAGCTGATGGAATATACGTGTTTACGCTTTAGGTGCTTCATCGCAACTTCGAAGGACATGACTGCGCGGTTGTTTACGTTGAATCCATTAAAGGGGTTTCGACCGAAGACTTTTGCAGGGCACAGAGACGTTGTAATCAATGCATATTTTTCTTCGGACGAAAAGACGGTGAGAGGCGTCTTGGATGACATAGCTGATTCGAAGAAATTTATTTTTTGCGGTTGATAGATTTACACGGTCAGTCGGGACGGCGCAGTTTTTGTCTGGAGAGCAAAGCCGGTCGAGGACGAGCCAGATGAAGGATCAAGCAGCGAATCAAATATCGAGCTCGATGCACACAATAAAGACTCTCCAGAAGCAGAAACGAAAAAGACGAATGCGATAGCAAATACCCGTTGGGGCATCTCAAAACGTCACTACTTCAACCAACCAGGGACGAAACTCGTCTGTAGCACCTTTCACTCCCCTTCCAACCTCCTCATCGTCGGATTTTCCACTGGTATTTTCGGACTATATGAATTACCGGACTTTACGAACATTCACACACTCAGCATCTCACAAGAGAAAATTTCCTCCGTCGCTGTCAATGCGAATGGTGAATGGCTTGCGTTCGGCGCGTCGAAGCTCGGGCAGTTATTAGTATGGGAGTGGCAGTCGGAATCGTACGTCCTCAAACAGCAAGGACATTATTTCGATATGAATACGCTAGCATATTCGAGTGATGGTCAGTACGTAGCGACAGGTGGAGATGACGGAAAGGTGAAAGTATGGAACACCAGTTCCGGATTTTGCTTCGTCACATTTTCTGAGCACTCTGCTGCTGTGTCTGCAGTGGAATTTGCAAAACAAGGGCAGGTGTTGTTTTCTGCTTCGTTAGATGGGACTGTACGCGCGTTCGACCTTATACGCTATCGGAACTTCCGGACTTTCACCTCTCCTTCACCTGTCCAGTTCTCGTGTCTTGCGGTCGACCCGAGTGGGGAAGTTATCGCGGCTGGGTCGACAGATTCATTCCAAATTTTTCTATGGTCCGTACAGACTGGGAAACTCCTTGACATATTAAGCGGACACGAAGGCCCCGTTAGCTCTGTTGCGTTTTCACCTGCGGGAAACGTACTTGCAAGTGGGTCATGGGACAAATCGGTAAGGATATGGAGCGTATTCGATCGTTCGCGGAATGTCGAGCCCTTTCAGTTGAACAGCGACGTGTTGGCTGTGGCGTTTAGACCTGATGGGAAGGAACTCGCTGCTTCCTCTCTAGACGGACAGATTGCCTTTTGGGACGTCTCGCTTGGGAAACAGACCACTCTCATTGAAGGAAGAAGGGATATCGCTGGTGGTCGATCAGCCTCGTCTTTTCGGACTGCTGCGAATAGCTCAAGTGCGGGGAAGAGCTTTAATAGTCTTGCATATACGGCTGATGGGTCATGTATCCTTGCTGGCGGGAACAGTAAGTACGTGGTGTTGTACGACGTGAGGGATGGAGTTATGGTGAAGAAGTACACTATTAGCGAGAACCTAAGCTTGGACGGGACAGAGGAATTTTTGGATAGTAGACGATTCACTGAAGCAGGGAACCTTGACCTCATCGACGACCGTGGAGATGAATCAGACTTGGAAGACCGAATAGACGACACACTTCCAGGCGCACAGCGTGGAGACCTATCAAAACGTCGATACAGACGCGAAATCCGAACGAAGGGCTTGCGGTTCTCACCGACGGGAACCGCCTGGGCAGCAGCCTCCACGGAAGGCCTACTTATTTACTCTCTCGACGACACACTCACTTTCGACCCGTTTGACTTGGACATTGACCTGACCCCCGAGGCTGTCGTGCAAACTGTGAAGGGAGGAGAATACTTGAAAGCGCTTGTTTGTGCTTTTAGACTGAACGAAAGTTATCTTCTGAACTTCTCGTATGAAGCGGTGCCGCGCGCTGATATCTCCCTTGTCACCCGACAATTGCCGGTTGTGTATTTGGAGAAGATGTTGAGGTCTGTTGCTGGGAGGTTGGACCCTTCCTCATCTTCGGTAGCGTCGGATTCTAGTTCCAGTATGCGCTCCCCGCATCTTGAATTTGATCTTCTGTGGGCCCGGAGCCTACTCTTCGCACATGGTCGCTACCTCCGTGATCATTCGATGGAGTACGCGAGTGTGTTTAGGGCGTTGTGGAAGGGACTTGTGGACGCAGAACAGAGCATAGCGAGGTTGTGAGTATTTTCTTTCTAGTATATCCTTTCTTTTTTCTTGTTGTTTTCCAGACATATAATACTAATATTATTTCGGAATTTCCTTTCTCTTTTTCGTTTCAGGTGCGACGAGAACTCTGCTACATTGGCTTTTCTCATCGATCAGGGGAAAGCGAGGCAGGCAAGGGAGAAGGACCAGGAACAGGGTACAAGTGACGGCATGGCTAATATCGGTGGCGATGGGGATGGCATGCAGGTGGATTCTTCATGAATCGACATCGTTTTGACACGTGTATTTTTTGTATGCAGATTATCAAAAGTATAGTGTAGCAAGTGTTTACTTTGATTCTCAAAGGGTGACGCGAGCTAAATATCGAATTATGTATTTGCACCCTACAGAGATACGAAGTACATCTAACTCTGCTCTCCTTTACATTTTCTTATTAACATGATTTGTTTCGGATTGATGAATCCGAGATATATGTATTGGTCAACAAAATGCAATAAGCAATAAATACTAGTACATCTTCAGAAGGAGGGTAACTACATACATGTAATGAAGTATGTATACATTCAAGCTGACTCAAAAGATGTATATTTTGAGCCAGAGGTTTGGTGGGATATCTAATGAATTGGTTAGTGGCACACGTTAAGCGTGACCAGTAATAGGGCATTCGGACCAGGAAGAGGCGCATTTTCTTGCGCTTAGGAGCGAAAAACGAAAATGAAAAAAGTCCATTGCAATGCGAAAGTAATCAAGGTCAGTAGTGTGGTGCCGGATCAACGTGTCCATCACACTTTCTCTTCTTCCCCGTTCGCCCGACATTGCGTTCGTCAATCCATCATCTCGTTCGTTAAACTTTATTAGCATCGTGCTGCGAAGACGACCGTGACTGTGAGCCCTTCTCGTCGTCCTCACGTATGTCTCCATCATTCTCATTCGCCGCCTGAGCAGCGGCCTGTTGTTCGATCTTCTCCAACGCTTCTTCGCCGTCGAAGAGGGCGGAGGTTTCTTCGAGCGTGAGGTTCTTCGTCTCGACGATGTAGATGTAGCAGAAGATGAGCTCGAAGGCGAGCCAGCAGCAATATACGATCTGTAAAGGATTATTTTTTATTAAAGATAAAGTATCATTGGAAGATTGAATGGCGTACGTAGTATTTCCATGCAAGTTTGCCTAGTGCAATTGGGTTGACGTATTGGTTGAAAATAAGAGAGACGGAAACGGATAAGTTGAAAATCGTAAGGCCCTTTGCGCGGATTTCGTATGGTAGGATCTCCACAGTGTATGAAACGATTAGAGGTGTGAAGGCAATACTAGATGTATTTCCTCAGTTCGCGAATCCGTAAATCTTAAGCGGATAGACTTACTCATATGCAGCGTAGAAGAGGAATATGAACGCAATAACAGCATGCGCAGAACCAGGGTTACCACGCTCGGCGAATAACGCAGAGCATACAGTCTGCAACGTGAAGAACACCAGCATCCCAGCGCAAGATGAGATGAACAGCTTCCTTCGCCCGACCCGGTCCACTAGGAACGAAGCGCATAATGCAACGGCCAAATTCCAAATTTGCAAAATCCCGTTAATCAGGAGTTGGACGGTCGGGTCGGTGATGCCGATGGCGTCGAAGACTTTGTTCAGGTAGAACGAAACGAGTCCATTGCCAGACCATTGTGAGAAGACAGCAATAGCGACGATAATTCGGAGACGCTTGAGATTGCCTCTTTTCCGGAAGAGAGAAGAGTAGCCGACGTTCTTTGTCACTGTGCGTTCAAAGCCGATGGCTGCTCTGATTTCTTCGAACTCGTACTGGACAAGTGGATCGAGCCTAGAAACATTAAGCAGAGACTGGGTCAGTAAAGTAACACCCTTCGATAGCCGAAAGATTTACTCGTTTCCGTCAGCGTGGTAATATGCGAGTGTCTTGAGTGCCTGAGTTTCTCGTCCCTTCGCAACAAGCCATCTCGGAGATTCAGGAGCGAACCATATTAAGCAGACTTGCAAGACAGACGGTAAACCCTGCAGAACGGATGGAAGTCGCCATGCCCAGGATGTCGGGATCTTAAAGCTTCCGTATGTCGTCCAGGCGGCACTATTATCAAATTTTCAGTAAATATAATTACTCCGGATATTAGGCTGAAATTGGTTCACATGATTGATCCCAGATACCAAAGCGAATTGTACATAGAAGTCGCAGGAGCACGATGAGGCGGGTACGCGACTTCTGAAACAAGCATTGGAGCAGAATTTGCGGCAAATGTCAAGCCGAACCCGATGAGAAACCTAATGCGAAATATCATTTTTGAGCTATTTAAAAATCAAGCCCGGCGGATTTCTAACCGTGCTCCAATAAACATCCGGACGCTATTCGAGGCCTACGAAACTTATTATTGAGCATCTGGGTAGGAGCTACTAGATATAGAGGATGACACTCACGGTCTGTATCGCTGTCGCAGCGCACATGAGCAGTGCTCCAAAGAATATCGTTGGCCGTCGACCGATTCCATCGGATAGATAGGGGGCAAAGGGATATGCACCAAGTGAGCCGATGTTCTGTCATAAGTGCGCGTGTTAGTCGAGTATGACGTGGCTTAGGTGGTAAAGCTCACTTGGATGGCGTTGAGCAGTCCCAGCATTCCACCCGTCGGATGGTTGAAGTCATCCTCCCACTGAGTCAGGGACTGGAGACCATTCATCATACTCCCATCGTATCCATTGGTCGTGGATGTGATGAGGCTGTGGTGACGAATGTTCATATCTAGTGAAGATAACAGATAGTGATAGACATACAATAGCAAGATCCAAAAGTTGAGACAGATAAGTCTGGATAACTCTCAACGTCAGTACACTCTAGCATAACCGAACGTTGGACAAGCTCACCTCCAGTTGTTGTGGTACTTGCGATTCGGATCCAAGAGATCCACCCACGCACCTCTCTCTCCACTAACGACGGCGGGACCAGCGCCCATGATAACAGATATCAAGCAATGATCGGTACGGAAAGATACAGACGGAATCAGAGTACGAGTACAAGTACCATATTTATGCGACTCTGGTGAGAGGAGACCCCGGAATCGTTGGAGAATCGCCAAAGTTTTGCCCCTTGCGCATGTACAACTTCGCTCCAGACCAGGAAAGAAACCGATAATCGCATGGCTGAAGAACTAGATGGTTCTTCCATGTTTGAAGATATTTCGGAATTTTTCAATCGAGGATCGGTAGCCGGTTGCAACGTCGTTACATTCAAACAATGTATGAGATCAGTCAACTGATATGTCGTCGGTGTAATCAAGCTTCCCGCGCATCGTTGACGAAGCTGACTTTCTTCCGAGAGATAAAGAATCTGTGTCAAGTATTGTTTGACAAATTCTAGAAAGGGTGACAGTGGTACGTGGCGATGGGCCTTCGGTACCTTCAACCTCCAGAGTTTCACCGAGGAACTCGAAGAAAGGCGCTTCTAAAGGACACGAGCGGGCTCGTACTCTCAAGGGTCGAGGAGCCGACCTCGCCGTCAGGTCGAACACTCGCATAGTCGTGGAGTCGTGAGTTTGACGAAAGTAACAATGACGAATGGTGCACGATCCTATCAACATCCATATTCTTCAATTGTGAGTAATAGGCGCCTATAACCGAGAGATCCGTCATAAGGGTGGATGAAGCCTAATTAGCAAAGGTATTGGGTTCCAGAGGTTAGATTACGAGCAGAATCAACAAGCCAAGTCATACAAATAGATACTTCAATCAAGTATTATCTCGAAACAACAGATTAACACAGGCAAATAGATGATGTCAGAGTCGCCAGTCAGAAATGCACTTCTTAAAAGGTCACCGAAGCAACGAGCGTTATTCGAGGGTTCCGCCGAGCTTCGCAGGTACGCCTGAGCAAAACAGTCTCAGCCGTCTTCTCCTTGAATGTCTATGCAGTTGACCGCAGCAGCCAAGAGGAGCGCACAGATTAGCTTGCGGTGGATTCTCGGGACAATCGGAAGATATCTATTTTTACGCTTGAGAGTCTCATTAGAATCCGTTCGTTAAGACAAATAGAGCTGAGAGTAAGCGGAGGACGTACCCGTCTCATGATTACGACAATGATAAAACGGCTATCGGAGGGCTTGCGTCATTCGTCATTAATATCGGTCATTTGCTATCTAGTTAGGAGGATGACAACCAAACATCTAATCTGTAGAGGTACGATGGATTAGCTTTACACGTTCACGATAATGCGTAGATACGACGGAGGGATAGGCTCCTCTGAACAATGGATAGTGAGATAAGATCAAAAGATCAATGCGGGTTAACATGGAACAATAGTGATAGCTAAATGAATGAGAGTGCAATATCGAAATGGCATATATTATACTAGAACCGGCGTAAAGAGAAGGAATTACTGATTATGTATCGAACTTCTTCAATAGCTCCGAAGCAGGAGTTGGGTGTTCGGCGATGCCGGCTTCGCCCGTGTTCGCAGTTTCGACGGGAGAGCTTGGAGTTGAGACTGAATTCGGATCGGGATTCGATGAACCCGCGTTAACCACAGATTGTCCGGAAGTAGTCTGGCCAACTGAGTCCGAATCAGCGGCGGCTTTCCTCCTTCGTCCGAGTGACATCGACATGTTGAACGGAAGCAGGCTTGCGAGAGCACTCGTCGCTGTTGTACTTGTAGTCGTGCTTCCCGTCTTTGAAGCATTACTGAGATTCGTAGGTGATCTCTTACTAATCTTTACTAAAGTCGTAGGAAGGACGTGCTCTGAAGTCGTACGGCGTCTATTCATGAGTACATTCGACATGCCCTCCGAAACTGATTGCGTCGGGGATGGCGCCGACGAATCGACAGGGCTGCTCGCGTAACGGTCGTGTTTTCCAGTTTCATCCACCGAAGATCTAGTCCCGGCCATAGCCCCGGACGATGTAGACGGCGTTGGCGGAGAGTTGACGGGATGCTCGGAGGACAGTGCAGTGGTAGGTGCTGCTTTCGATGACGAGCCTGCCACGGCAGAACCTTTAGGGAAAGGTGCTATTCTCCCTCCACTAAATGATACCCGCGACGTAGAACTTGCACGAGAGCCAGGACGTAAAGGAGAAGGAACGCTAGGCGAGTGAGCAAGAGTTGCCACGCGAGTAGGAGAAGGTGGAGGAGGACCCGTGACGCGATTCGACGGTGATGGTGTTCTACTTCGTGACTGTACAGGTGGAGTCCCAGGAATAGTTTCTAGCGCATTTTCTGTTGGGTTTGCTTGCGCAAGGAGACGCGACAGCGAGGAAGGTCCTGCCGATGCCGAATTCGAACGGCTACGGACGGGAAATAGATGGGAGTTTGGCGACCTTGTAGCACCAAGAGGTTCAGCCGCGGATGAGCTAGTCTGCGCACTGTCATCCAAAGGTGGACTGATGGGTCGTTCAAGAGGTGGAGAGCTGGACAATTGTTCTTGAGTCTGCTTGGCGGATGATTTCCTACGTTTCGCGGAATCGGCACCAGGACGAGTCCAGTCCTCGACCTCGAGCATGTAATACTTGATTCCGTCTCCCAATCCATACGGATTGCTAGTAGGATCCTGCGTAACAAGTTAGCATCTAACCATTGAAGTGCGTTGATGACGGAAGACAAACCCTTGCATCAACTATTCTTTCGTTGATGGATGTAATGCGTGCCACGATCCATTCCCGAGATTTAAGCTGTTCGGCAAGACGCCCAGTCGCATTGAGGAAATAATGTGGGAAGGACACTATTCAGAACATTAATTTTGAGTTAAGTTTCTCCATATCAGGAAGGAAAGAAGAAAAACAAACCATTGAACGCTGCCCACGGCTTCGACACCGAATTCCTCGTAGGCAAGAACAACGCAAGGTCACCCTTCGCGAAGTTCCGAAAAGTGATCTTTCCCTTGGCACGCTCACGATACTCCCTACATTGTTTCTGCCACTTGCGCACAACAGACCCTACTTTCGCAACCGTCTCCGAGAATGAGTCTAAATCATAAGACCGGAGAATCTCCAGCGCGGCAGCGGGATCCGTCGGATCAATTGGTGTGGCGTCTTCGCGCAGTGGAGATGTGGGTAATCGGGGCGGTGATAGGACAACTGACTCAGAGGGGTTCACGCCGTTTCGCATTGCTGTTGAGGGGTGAACAGAAAGAGGTTGCAAGGTAGCAAAAGCCTTCGTATGGCAATCACGGAACGCAATGGCTACATCAAGTATCTGGGCGACAAGACGGTCACGGTCTGCTATCTTCTGCTCAAAGTCTGACTGCGACGCTCGCCCTTCAGAGAGATCATTCCTAAGGACTCGCTCGACATGTCGTGCTTCCCGTAGTTCGTGTTCCGTCCTCTGCAGCTCCTCTCGACATGTGACAGCATCTACGTGTAAGAGTTCGATCTCAGTACTAGCTTCCTTCAGTTGACGTTCGTGTTCTTCGAGTTGTGCGCGAGCCTCGAAGAATCGCTGCTCAAGAACAGCACGATCCCCATCAGCCTCTGCAATATGATCCCGCATGATACGATCATGTTCAAGTGCTTGCGCACGGAGTAACCGTTCCTTCTGCTCGCTGACTTCCCGTAGTGTGCGATTTGCAGCTGCATTTTCACTCCGTGCCGCCTCAATCTGTGCGCGTAAGTCCTCTCCACGCCCCCGCGCATCAGCGAGACTTCGCAGTGTCTCCGCCTGATCAGAGAGTAATTGTTCTATCCTCTTCGCATGCGTTGCCTCCAGCTTCTTGACTTCATCATGTTCGTCCCGAACGCGTGATAATTCAAGTTTTAGCGTCTCAACCTCCTGCGTACGATTAGTAGCTTCCGCAAGTGCCTCGGCCTGACCCTTTTGGAGCGCCTCCACGTTTGCAAGTAGTTCTGAATGTCGCTGCTCCAGGATCCTGCGAGCAGCTGTCTCGGATTCGTTTTGCGTTCTGAGAGAATGCACCTCTCGAGTAAGAGCCTCGGCTTGTTCGCGCTCTTGGTCCGCCGAACCAGAAGAGTTTTCGAGTTCCGATTTCAATCGTGCAATCTCGGCTTGGTATTCCTCTCGCTCTTTGTTGAACGCGTCGTCTTGTTCTCGTTTCTCCCGTTCGAGGACGACGACTTTTTCTGAGAGCTCGTGGAAAGCGGCTTCGTCCGCATCAGTCACTGGAAATATTAGGATTAAATTGTGACGGTGATGAAGAAACGTGAGATTCTTACATCTCCGTCGAGAAAAAGACATCCGAGAAGATGAAAGTACTACATAAACGGTCAGTATATAGAAAAGACCAAACGAAAACGGAAACTACTAACGTGATCGTTCAACGACCTTCTCAAAAGATGCTTCTATTCCATCCATCCGCTCGATTAGCTTTAGGAGTCCTGCACGAGTATCTTGTAGAGAATGAGTAGCAGTCCGAGGATCTGCTTGCAAGTTCCGTTGGAGGTCGTCGATAACTTGAATAAAAGCATCCACATCCGAGCGCTCAAGAGAATATCCTTGTTCACTATCCAGATCCTTTCCACCGGAAGGCGAGAAATCAATACTCGGGACCGAATCATCCAACCCACGCGTCTCAAAGGGTAGTTGCCGTTGGACCTCAGCACTATAAACCTGTCTCCGTCGTCGTTCCGCAGCAGTCAATTTCGCCATTACCTCCAAAATCGTCTGTGCACGTCGATAAAAGAACTGCGAGAATTCTTTTCTTCGGACAACTTCTATGATCGTTGCACCGTATGCGTAGACCATGTTGTGTAGACGCTGGATATGCGCGAAGCTTTTAAGTGAACGAAAGTCGTTTTGGAGCTTCGTCATGAGGGATGGAAGTTGTACGAGGTCAGCGTTGAGTACGCTTATCCGTCGAAGAGCGCCTATGCATAGCTCGGTTGAGAGGTTCTTAGTGTCCGTGATGCCCTCCACTTCATTCCGCAACAATACGTCGGCTTGTTTTAGCTCGGGCAGTAATGTATCAGAGTTGGTAGTGTCGATGCGTGATGCGATATCGTTAATTTTCTCAAATGCATCACGAGCTCGCCGCTCGCTAGATTCTGCCCTTTCCAATACGTGATTCGTCTGCAATGTTGTCCGGATCTGGTCGGCGCCCTCAATTAGCCGCGTCATGCATTCCTCTGCTTGCACGAATTGCATGAATAAGTCATCTGGGAGTTTGTTAGTCAGAAACAATATTCAGGCACTCAAGAGAGGAAAATAAGTCGTACCTCTAGCCTGCGCGCATCCTTGCGCAACTTGACGCATTTTGTCATTTGAGACGTAATTACCCAGCGTGCGCGCCTGCTCTCCCGCTTCAATTGCTTTCCGCGTGTTTGACCTTAAGAATGCCGGATGTATGCGGACGCCAGCAATAGCTGCGAGGTCTGCATCGAGCGAAGCGAGAAGTTGACTCTGGTTGTCAAGCGTCTGCCGCGCATTCTGAGCGAATGGATCGAATGCATCTTGGAGTGCAAGAATATTGAGGTCCAGGCTATGAGATGCGATTTTGAGCGCGGCACTCTGCTGCCGTACTGAACCCGCTGTGCGCTCCACGAAGTTGTAGTGTGCGTTTGCGGTGTGGAGGTAAGCTGCGGCGAGCTGATGGGGGCGGAAGGGAGGTGTTGATGAGATGGTATCTTGTTCTAGTCAACAAGAGATGTTAAATTGTAATAACGGAATGCGGTAACGTACCTTCTATAGGTGGTTGCAAACGAGGCTGAACGCGTAACTCGCGGAGTACTTCGTGCATGGCATAATCCAAATAGTATTTATTGAATACAAATATCGTCTGCAAAAGGAAAATCAGTAAGAAGGGGCCATGAATAGAGTCGGATAGTACGCACATCATCTTGAGCTCCAGCTAAATCCCGTATATTCTCATTCGTCAACCGGCGACCGTCCGAGAGATATGCTAGGGCCGCCTCCTGGTCAATGCCTGTCTCATGTTGAATGAACTGTTCCAAGCTATCACTCCTAGCAGCAAAGTCAGGATATGATACCGATGAGTTTGTTAAATTAATACCTCTCGATGTCCTGAAATGACGCTTCAACCTGAGCAAGGCGTGAGTTCTGAGTCGAGTTGAAAACACAACTGATAGACACACCTGGAATACCTCTCCGTCTTCAGCCCGACAAATATAAAGCATGAAGGTCCACAGTCTCTACGAGCCCTATGATTACCGCTGCTATGACGGCGGTCGTCGTCGCTGACCAGTTGTGCGTATGTACACGTCTTGAGCAAGGCGGCGTATGACGTTCAGACTCAGAGCGCGCGTTAAGACTCGTTCAAAAGCGGAAGGCGCGAGTCGCCCGATTTGGCTCATCGCGTCTCCTCAGCGACAAGGGTTGACTCAGAACCTCACCGCAAAACTGATTGCTCTCCTGTTCGAGCGTGAAATGAAGGGTGGCTATAGGCTTGTTGCATAGAATGTTGGGTGGAGGCAAGAAGTTGTCTTAGATGTTCTAAGTAACAGAAGAGGCAAAGGGTGCTACCCAATCTGGCTTATTAAATTCTGTAATTTCCAACCCTGAGTAGAATTGCTAACATGTTGCTGCTGTGAACACTGAACGTACCTCTGGCCCTAGGAAGCAGGCATGTAGCAAATAGTAGCCATTAGACTCCCACCACTCTTAAAATACGCATTTTTTTAGCCATTGGACCGTGCCTTCCTGTCTACCTTCGAGAAGTATCAACTGTATGTGTCTTCTGTGAAGGCGCTACCGAAGTTATTCGGTTCTTTTTGCCTCATTTTATCTATGACCCATACCTGTTCCATTTACTATCTGGAACATTTCGAACTCCTGCAAAGTCATCAATGCATACATATGATGATTGCATACTGTCTCTTTTCCATACCAGAATGGACAGCTTTTTTCTTTTTCTTTTTGTTGTTGTTATTAGTTCGGTCGGGATTACGTTAGATCTGTGTCAGTCTGTCAAGCGATCGGTGTCTAGTTCGGTTCATCAGAGTTCTTGATGCACACACCCCTCAAGCATGGCCCGTGCATTTATATTAGAGGCCCCAGTTGACCTGTGCATTCCTCAAGCACCCCTGCTGTAGCTGTACACAAACAGACTCAAGATACAGGCACAAGAGCGGGAAGATGGAACCAAACTGGAGGAACCTCGTTGATTCTAAAATTGTCCCAAAGATTGCTCATCTTGATCTTTCAGGAAAGCTTACTCAGATAACAGATTTTTCACCTGGAGGAACGTACGGGGACATATGCAAAGGTTGTTGCAGCATTGACGAACATGGAGTGGTGAGGGTGATGAAGGTTGCCATCAAGCGTCTGCGATATTATATGACAGGAGATAACATTAAGCATGTGAGCATGTTTTTCATTTTCAACGATGTAAGGTCATATATGACGGACAAAATAGTTATTCGAAAAGGAGATTTACGCTTGGAAAAGGCTTAAACACGACAATATTCTACAGCTGCTCGGATTCGCTTTTGATCATGAATACCCGCTGCTAGTATCAGAATGGATGGAATACGGTTCGGCACGGAAGTATATAGAAGACCACCAAGATACTAACGTCATGCATTTGGTACGTCCGTTCCATAGACCTTTTCATGCGGAAGTATCTTAATGAAGTCCAAGGTGGCTGGAATTGCCCGTGGCCTTGCACATATGCATGCACAAAACGTCATTCATGCTGATCTCAAGCCAGTGAGTGCTGTCGCTTATAAGCAGAGAGTAGTGTTTTACTTATTCTGTTCTAGGACAATATCGTTATCTCATCTATGGGGGAAGCTCTTATATGTGACTTTGGTTGTTCTCGTGCAATAGATGCAAGTCTAAGCCTTGCAGAACCCACTCTCGGACTCAAAGGAACTTGTCGTTACTTTGCCTATGAACTTTTGCAACCAGATTCAAAAGGACATACCAAACAAACCGATGTGTGGGCATTTGGTGTAACTGCATATGTGAGCTTTAGAGAGAAAATCTATTTAATATTCTATCTAAATTTCCCGAATAATATAGGAGCTCCTAGTAAGACAGCATGCATATAAGGGCCTTACTTACTTGCAAACCGTAATGGCAATACAACAGGGTTGTTTGCCATGTTCTTCTAGTCGTCCAAATTCATTTCCAAACATAAATCAGGAGGTTGGCAACTTGGTCATGGATATCTGTCTATTCTGCTGGAAACATGACCCGCTCGAGCGACCTACTATGAATTTCCTTGCGTCAAATCTGGACCATTATCTTCTCATGCAAGAAGTTATGTATTCTCTGTAATTAACTTCTTCGCATGCTGATTTTTTGTGTAGTCCTTTCGTCTTCTCAGAAGCCCTCTTCTCGCCGGAGATGTAAGATTCTTGGTCTCTGCACTGCCATCACGGATGTTGATTACAATATTCCCTAGTGACTGGGGCAGACGAAAGCGCCTTTCACGACCTCTCGGAGAAAGTCGTAACTGTCGAACGAGAGAAACGAGAACAAGACAATGCATTCAATAAAGAACGGGAAGAATATAAAGCCGAGATTACACGATTAAAATTGGAACTCCAGAAATCCAGTGGTTTAGTTGACCAAGAACGTGAACGGGCAGAGATTCTTACACAAGAGGTACATTCTCTCAAAGCACAGAACGAATCCGAGACAACTGCTTGTAGGATCCTAGAACAGCAAGATTCAGAACGACTTGCAGACGTTGAGGAGCTTCGAAGGGTTCAAGCCGAGGCTTTTACTGAAGCTATTAATAGTACACATGCAGTGCAGACATTGAAACGTGAACTGTTGCACATTCGTGATCAGCATGAGGAAGTCAAGAAACTCGAGGCAACTCATACGAAGAAGGTGGAGCAATTACTCTCTACTCAGACTGAGGCATTGCAGGGTCTTGCCGAGGCACGTGAGCGCGGAGAGGACTTACGCGCCCAGATTGAGGCAGCACGAAATGAAAATGCAACTGCGAAACGTGCGTTTCGGGAGGTGAGTGAGCAGAGGGAACAGTTACTTCATACACAAGCACTCGAGCATGACCGGATTATGCGAGATTGCATTGCAGAGGCCGATGGAGATCGTGCCGCTCTTGAGCATTGGCTTGTCGAGGCCCACGCACAACGTGAAGGACATGAACGACAACTGAAGGAAGCTTGTGCTAGGATTGAATCGTTACATGCTGATGCTGTTGGCCTTCGAGAGGAACTTCAGAAAACGGAACGCGAGCTACAGGTGGCACGACATGCCGGACGGGTTGGTAGGAATGACTTGTGCGAGGGTCGAGCACCGCAGTCAGACTGTGAGCAAAAGGCTGCAGACCGCGATCACCTTGTCGTCCAGATACTGGATGTTGCCGTTGCATTCCGCGATTGTCATACAAAAGCTTTTGCCACTTTGCAATCCGTTCCCGTCTACCCAGCAGTCACGCGAAACGACGTAAACCTATCTGAGCCAGTTGTTCTGTCACCGCCCCAGTCGTCCACGTCCCCGCTGTGCGAAGATGCTGTTCAAATTGATCCGAAAGATCCTACGACCGCGCTGGAGATTCTCCGGTCACACGATTTAGAGTTATTCTCGGAGACGGTTGCGAAAGTAGGGTCTATTGTGCGCAGGTGGCAGAAGCAATGTAAGGAGTATCGTGAGCGTGCCAAGGGAAAGATTACCTTCAGGAACTTCGCGAAGGGTGACCTTGCGCTGTTCTTGCCTACGCGAGGTTCGGTCTCGAGATCATGGGCAGCATTCAATGGTTTGTTTACTTTCCCTTATCCTTCCTGACATGCAGGAAACAAGCTCTAAAACGGCTTTTTGGTAATTTGATTAGTGTTGTACCCCCATCATTTCCTTAATGTAGATGGACGTCTGGCCGAACACCTTAAACATCGAGAATGGCTCGTAGCACGTATCACATCCATTAGTGAGAGGATAGCTGACACAAAGGTTTGTATCTTGCTTTTCGTCTGCTACACATCTTTTACTGTCTAAATTCTCATTCGTTATATAGGATCCCACTGGCAATCCGTATGGGCTAGGAGACAGAATGAAGTATCACGTGCTCGAGGTCGAGGAGCCTTTGTTCCGGTGACAATGATATAAACTGTACGAAATCACTCTTGAAGCAGACTCAAGAACAATTTGCAGAACAATTGTACAGTTCTCTACCAGTTGAACAGCTTGTCAGTTTGCTTTTGGACATCAAAGTGAAGAGTAATGGTTCTGGTATTGTGTTCATTGTTAGAGTGCTAGACTTACTAGTAGTACTATTATTTGTGCCTCTAACATTATTTTGTGCCAAAGTAGTCATACAAATCACACTGTTGAGTTGTAGAACATAAAGACGTTTCCTACTAGTGGTTCATAGACAGTTCATGTATAGCTTAGCAGCAATTCATTTCCAGCCCAATAATATCAGATTGTAATTTTTTGGAATTACAGAAGTTACTGTAAATTCTCACAGTCATTTATTTATTTACTCAAAAGTAAATAGAGGAAAGTTAATTAAAGGAAAAAAAAGTTAACATAATAGTATGTCTTAAAGACCTCATCTATCTGTAAAGAGAAGAAAAGTAATACAGATTAGGTCCTATTATAACACATGCTTTTATACCTCTCTTCAGAGACTAAATCCTAACACACTACTCTAGAGGCTTTGCTAAGTCTTCTAAGACTGGAACAGAGGTGTACATTTAGAGTATTACTCTTTATAAGCAAGGGTCAATGAAGAAAACAAAGAAAAAATAGTATATTACAGATTTTACACACTAGATTAGTTATGTTAGAACATTACAGTAAATAGAGAAGAGAGAAGAGGTTGATGTCTTGGATGAGCTATTTTCTGAGACAAGTGTAGAAGCAGAATACAGTTTAATATACAACTTAATCAGCAGATTCAGCTCCCTTATTGAGTTTTATTATACCAAATGGCGACTGAATTTCTTGCATGCTACTGTATTAGTAATTAAGTAATACTATCGCAATGGCAGAGTCATTTGACCCACAAAAGGGTGTGATACAAGATAGGAACCCAACGTGAATTCTTCAGAATCGAAGTAGTGGGTATTAGGACGCAAACGGCAGTCAAACGTCTCACGCCACACTCGCTTGTACCATCAGCCTCACCTCCAACGCACCTTTGTCTTGATTTATACTCAGCGTTTTCCCGGCGTTTGGGAGTGACCTGTCTGTAAACAGACCAGGACGATGCTACAGGGGACACGTGAAGCACCGATACTCATCGGTGATGACGACGATGACGACGAGGTCACCTTTGTCGGTGGCCCTTCGAGGATGCCACAATGGTGCTCTAATGACTCTCTAATTGTTTCTGCCATGGAGTCCAACAAGTATCAAACTACGAACATTGCGTTACCAGTTTACGACGTTTCGGACTATCCACAACGTGGTGCGGTAGAGGCTGACATATTACTAATGTCATCCCCGAGTCAGCCTCTTTTCGGGTCAGGTATACTTTTCCGTTGTCCCATATTCACGGCGCTTACTTTCAATCTCTGGAGGTGGTCAACTACCGTCAAACTCTCACACCATGACCCACTCACAGGGTCTCAAGCGAAAACGCAGCCAGGAGTATGGCTGGGACAAGCCGTTTTCTAGGCCGTCTCCTGTTCCATCGAATTCCGGTACGCCAGTATTACCAGATCCTTTTACCGGTTTATCGAAGAAAGGGAAGAAGAGGCTGCGCAGACGTATGAAGGACGAAGAAGAGGCAAAGTCACCGGCGCAAAGGCAAGGATCGCCTCAAGTCCCTCCACGACCGCAACCAGCTCTCGTCCATCCATTACCTGCTAGACCATTAGACACAACTGTGCCTCTTAGCCACGGAGCTCTTGATCGAAGTAAGCAAGATTTATCAAAGTGCTCTGTACCTACGAAGGACTCTACAGCACGAAAATGCAGTCCTGGACTGTCGTCAGCGAGATTTAGGCCAGTATCTCACTGCCCATCGACTACCCCGAAGCCTCATCCTGCTTCTATCCAACTTCCATCCTTGCCATCAAAGCCCGTAAGCGACTTCTCATCCAACGTGTTTGCCTCATCAAAAAGGCGCATTGGCAAGCCTACACCTCCTGGCTCAGACCACGGACGTTTCGCCGTTCCCGAGGAACAGTTCGTGCCTCATGACCCATCGCGAACCATTGTGCTCGAGAATATACCCAAGAAACTTCGGACTATTGATTTCATTCTGCAATGGTGCCGTGACACTTCGCTGCCGAATGACCCACCTCCACTTCATGTTGATGTCATGCGCAAGAACGGCAAAGCATTAGTGGAATTTACGACATCGAGACAGGCTTGCTCTGCATTTCATTCGCCGAGAATGATTAATGAAGACGGTAGATGTATGATTTCTGCATATTGGTTCCGCCCAGAATGTCGTCCTATACCTGCCGTTCCTACTCCAATTGCGCGGCCCGACAGTTGCAGCAGAGCATCACCATCTGCATCTTTCAATAACTTCAACACGAAACTGGACCATTTATCTACCGCTAGTACAGCCCGAGCTTCCCCTACCAGTTTGCGCCTTACCCCAAATGTAACCCCCTCCCAGCCTATTCACGATCTGAAAGGCGTCCCATCCTCTTCGTCCACTGATCATCCACCTTATGGCGTATCTTCTAATTTTGGTACGACTGTGCAGGACAATCATTCGGCTCAAAAAAATACTAAAGACCGAAATCAGCCGTGCGAGGACGCAGAAGTGGAGGAAGGTGAGGTTCTAGACGAAGGAGCAAAGGCTGGTGTTCAGACTCACGAGCAAGGAGAAATTGGAGGAGAGATTTCTGATGACCAGACTCAGGAAGATCGAATTTTGATCGATACCGTGCCAGAACAATTTCCTGCGGAAATAGAGATGCAGGATATACAAGCGATACTTCAGCGGAAATTTGAGGAACATGCCAAGGTTCCTGCGGCGAATGCATCTGGACGATCTTCAGACAGTGAAATCGCTGTCCTGGAACTTGTCGAAGATGAATCGCATAGTCGGGAGGAAAGTCCGCAGCTCATGTACCCTTCACTTGAGGACTCCCTGTCCTGTTCGTCTCCCGCACAGGATTCTTCAGTTGTCCCGGAGTTTCCTGCGAATGATTATGCTGGTGTGGCGAGCAACGAACCACTGGAAGGCCCGGGTATAGAAACATCGGCTACAGTGACGCTTTTCACACATGATGACCTCCCCACCCCTACACAAGAGATAGTAGCGCCTTTGACTTACAGTAGCGATCTCATGAGGGGCGAGGTGTGTCAACCTTCATCTTCTGATCAATCCGCAGTTGATACCTCCGTTGCGTCTGAGCGGAAAGTCCACAGTGAAGGCAACACCTCATCTACGGAGAAGCCTTTTAATATTCTCACCCAGTTCGTGCCAGATGCGAAGTTGATGCAGCTCCGAGAGCGTGTCCTGGCCAGCAAGAAACGCAGGAATGCAGCTTCGGAAGCTTCCACTTCCTCATCCGGGATACCATCCTCATCATCGACAACCTCGATAGCAAACGCATTATTCGAGAACTTCGCTACTGATTCCACCATTCTGTCGAACTCATCCAACTCGTCAGCCGACTCGACGGATTCATCATTCTCTTCGACGGCGATATCGACATCATCCACGTCATCAGGAGAGGAGACCGGTTTGCCAAAGTCAACGTCTTTCTTGAACAATATGGCGGTCGCCTTTCTTGAAAGCATCATTGGTTCATCCGATTCTTGTCTTTCCACTGTTCGTAACTCCGAATCCTCGAATCGATCTTTCAACGATATATCAATGGACCCGAGTACATTGCTCCAAAAGAAGCAAAAACGTCTCGAGGATCATCTCGCGAAATCACGAACCCTTCTCGCGCAATGGGAAACCACAAGCGATAAACCAGAAAAGGCGAAGATATGGCTCTTGATCAAGGAGGAGAAGAGGTGCGTGGTTGTTTGTTGTCCCATTTGCCCCTTTCATAATTGTCCGATTTCGACTTCGTTGTCTTTGTCCTTGACCTGTCTAGGGCCTTTGAGGCGGATACCGTAGCTCTGGATGCCGAGTTGGAGCGACTCGAAGCTATGAAGAAGACGACGTTAGCAAGACCGAAGATGACTTCAAAGAAACCGTATTTTTCCCGATGGCCGCAGACTAGATTGGATCAATTGGTTTTCTCCGTGAGCGACAGTGAAGACGAAGAAGATGATAATGCTTCTGAGAGCGATGAGTGAATCACTCCAAGGCTTTGGCTTGCGCTCTTCATTTTCGCCTTTCGCTGGTAATGTCAATATTGATTATTTTGTTCTCGCGATATCCTTTTTATTGTTCCTTGCTCTGTCACGATTTATGGCACCAACTCGGATACCATAATTCCACATTCTACAGCACACTACACATGGGATAACGGTATACTTTTGGAATTTGTTTATCTGTCTACACAGACCTTCGTTGATGCCTCATATTTTCAGCGCCACTTCTCAATTTGCATTACGAGGTATGTATCGCTTGACAAGTCGACTGACTTCATTAGCTAAGTCTTTTGCAGACTCGAATACCTGAATTTTCCATGCAACATTGTACTATTACACACGCTTTTCGCTTGACCTAGCATTGCACACTCATAGCCCTCACTCCAATTTATCCTTTGCGTTATCATCCATTATCACTATTAGCTTGCTATCGAACTCAGATCGGACGTGTTGCATCCTTGTGCATGCGATGCGGTACGGTTTGATGCATTCATGTAGACTCCTCACGTCGTTATCCTAATAAAACACTGGTCACTGTCTCTAATTCCTTGTGTGATACTACGTGTTAAAGCACAATCATCGTCCAACTCCACTGGGCCAGCGGCCAGCCAACAGAACAACACCCTTAAACATCTCCCGCCATCAGAAACTACCCGTCGCATTCTCCCGGACGAATCGCACACCATTCGGGTTGAAGGGGGATAGCGTTGACGCCGCGCTGGACCATGCGGAACCGCATTTCGTGGAGCCGTGGAAGGGCTTCGGTGACGTTTAGTCCGCCATCTGTGAGGGTTCCACCTGTCCAAAAGACTTCAGCGGAGGCCGCGGCGCGCGGCCAGACGATGCTGTCGAGGTTTTGTGGGGCGGATTGTTCGGTCCACAAAAGTTGCTGACCTACACAGTTAAGAAGAGAACGGCGGAGAAAGATGAGAAATAGAGCGAAGGTGCAGCGAAATAGCTACAGAGAGTAATGAGCGTCCACCACTTACCACCTAGAACGAGGCTTTTCTGCTCGGACGTTAGGTTTGCGTAGGGATCAAAGGAGTAGGCTTTCTGCCAGGTTTTAAAGGGATCACACCAACTATTCCTGTGGACATGTATCCGTCAGGATAAGATTCCCAGGTGTGTGGAAAGATAGGCTTTTGAAAAGCATTACCCTGTGACGTCGTTTCCTAGCCACTCTCCCGCTCCGCAATCCTATGAGAAAGTCAATGTTGATGTATGAGTACAACGGTTCAACAAAACATTAAGTATTTGACATACAAGGTAGAAGTAATCGGATGGTCCGTGCACGAGGCGGAAGCCCTTGGCAGCAACAGCAGCTGCGTTTTGCGAAGATATCCATACCCTATTTTTCAAAACGATCAGCATCTTTCATTATTTACAGATACGCGATACACGGAATGGGAAGATGGACGTACATGACAACTGTGTCGTTTCCTAGCGTGACGTTATGCTCAAGCACCATTTCTGCAGACAAAGTGGGTAGGTCCCGGTAAGTGGCTAATTGAAATAGCGAGCAGCGACGAAGTAAAAGGAAGGCACCTTCCCAAACAACTGGTGTCTTCCCTGCATCTCTCAATGCCCCATGCGTCGCCTGAGTGAAGTTGCTGAGCGCCTGCTCGATCGTCATCCCAGTGGCGTTCAGTGCAGCCTGGGTCTGCGTGTCTTCTGCGTAGCAGGGTTCATTGACCTCATCACCACCCGTACTAAGCAAGGAGGATGGCATCATGGACGCAACGGCAGAGAATAACGAAGCAGAAAAATTCGTGGTGGACGGGGAAGCAATGCGTAATTGGCCTGAGGGTGGCTCTAAGTCAAGTTATCGGGATTACGTCCCTCTAGCCTCTGAGTTCGATTTACAGGCCTACCTGCAGCAAAAGATGACCACGGCGACGCATGGAAGCATGCAATGTGTTCTGGGTGAGACTCGCCGATGGCGGCCGAATGTCCTGGCGAGTCGATTTCCTTCATGTCTTTATGAGAAAGCGGCACACAGATATGAAAAGGAGATACTAACAATAAGGACATCAACGCCTCTCTGCGAGCGAATTAGCACAATTACGCAATGTGAGTTGAGATATACGCACCTCCCCCGCGTAACTCACGATATCTTGAATGTCACTGAGGCTGTAAGTCGATGCATTTGAGTAAGCTCCGGCAGCCGATAATTCCATGAATCCTGGGACCTGGAGCGGGAAGCTTTGGCTATCCGTAATATGCCAATGGAAGGTGTTTATCTAAAATTAAATCAGTCCGAAATTGTCGCAAGCTATATGCACATTGACGGACCTTGACCCAGCTCATTGCATCTAATGTCCGTTTGATAGCAGAAGTCGGGAAGCTATATGGTGTTTCAGCTGAGTTCCACAGAATGAAAGGAATATTGTTACAAATTTCGCGCGGTGTCGAGCATAAAACCTCGATATGGCTGGTAATCAACATGAGTAAATGCATACTTTATATGTTTCTATTAAAAATTAGAAGCACTCACAAATGCTGGGGAATCTTCGATAGATATCGGCGTGTTTAGCGTGTACGCCTCTCCGTTAAGATCGTACCAGATTTGACTGAACGTCGTCAATCCTCGAAGCAGCCCAAGTGAAGAATTTGCTGAGAGGCTCGCTGTGGTGCCGTCTGAGGGAATAATTAGAGTATAGCTTTCATCTCGTTCTGAAAGTGGTTTTTGGGCTTCTGTCGTAATGTTCGATACTGGACCGGTAGAGTTGTTTGTCAGTGATAGTTCCAGCGATCTGAGATCCTGAGCAGACTGGACAGCTGAAGCGTCCGAAGAACCTCTTCCAACCACCAGTCTTCCCAGTTTGTCGTTCTGAATGAGAGACTGGGTACGAGAGATAGCAGAATCGATATCAGCTGTCGTCTGGAAATTCGGTACTATGGAAAAGTTAGTCGAAAGGCGCAAAGCCTGGGTGCCAGACGTCACAGAACGAGGACGCGGCCATATAGCATGCACATCATGAGCTCGCAATAGCAAGACAAAAAGACAGGAGATGGAATACAGCAACATCACGAGCAAAGGAAGGTCCCTGTCAGTGACAATGGCCAGCGCGAACTGTCCTTGCTTTATATAACCGCACTAGAGAAGAAGAAAACATCGTCATGAGACCATGCGGCTGGCGTCGACATATCGGAGAGCACAAGATACAACTGCTTCGTGGCTGTTCTTCTGCCGCAGAATTCAGTCGAATAATTATACACCGCTCCGGGTCCGCCGCACTCTATATATAGCTCAGAACAGTGAGATATTCGCACATATACGTGCAATACTAGCGGGCCCGATATCGATTTCTTGGAATAGATAACTGAATGGAACGCAACTCAGGAAAATCAAGGTCAAAGGAGGTGTATCGGATACGTCAGCCAGGCTCAGTCTAGAAAATAGCCGAGTCGATTCAAGCTCCGATCATACACGTACTCACGTAGCTGGGCAGACAGAAAACTTGCAAGGCAGCTTGCACGCAAAAATCTATGCGATTATTATTTAGCATGCATTAGCTTTTGAGTTTTTGTTGATACAAATTTGAGAAAGTTGCAAGACATAGTGGCACACTGTTCGAACGAAATTACGTAATAGGCGTTTATCCTTTCTTGACATCGAATCCCATCCTCAACATCAAACTTCTATTAGTATTACGGCTTCAGCACGTTTCCAGCATGGCCAGACTTATGTATAAGTACTCACCATGTACCCTCAGCCCTATCTTTCCTCCAAGCTCTAAACCGAGGTTCCATCTTCTAGCACAAATACCGTCCCTTGCATCGACGCGTGTCGTATACAGCACAGCAACAGCAGTATTGGCTGGTTACCCACTTTTTGCAGGTTGATCTCTTCATCTACGTACTTTGGCACAAACGAGAGATAGAGAAGGATCCCTCAGATCTGCAGAGAAGCGTTTGTGCAGAAGACATTGTGGGCAACACAAGGTGGCTTCAAGGACAAAGGAGCGTTACAGGTAGTGTATCCTGCGTAGTTTGCTTTCTTCTCTTATAACTAAACACACAGGCTAACTGAACGAAGTGGAACCATTGAATAGGGTTATTGCGATTCTGTGCTAACATGGAGTACTATGTGGACCTCGAATTGATTCGTGATGTACTTCACAAACTGGCTCTTAAACACTGGGCCCGCTTTGAATATTCAAGGGAACAGGAGGAGCTTGACGCGTCTGTGTTCCATGGCCGTATTGCACTCGGACTATGTCATGTAGAACATCCTAGGCGCTCCGAGATATTGAATAGTCTTGGAATGTTTCTGTACACGCGATTTGAGCAATACGGTGGCATAGAGGATTTAGAGGAGGCCATACAGCATCATCGTGCCGCTTTGCGACTTCTCCCCGAAGACCATCACGATCGTCCTATGTTTCTGATTTTGCTCGCGGCTTCCCTTCAAAGTCAATTCGAACAGCGTGGACAGTCTGCGAACCTCGATGAGGCCATCGAGCATCAACGTGCCGCTCTGCAACTTTGCCCCGTCGGCCATCCCAATCGTTCCATGTCTCTGAACTGCCTTGCCTCTTCCCTTCAAGCTCGCTTTGAACAGCACGGACTGACAACTGATCTCGACGAGGCCATCGAGCTGAATCGTGCTGCCCTGCAACTGCGCCCCGACGGCCATCCAAATCGTTCCACATCTCTTATCAACCTTGCAGCTGCTCTTGCAACTCGATTTTCACAGAACGGAAGGGCTGCAGATCTTGATGAGGCTATTGAACATAATCGCATCGCCCTGCAACTTCTCCCTGACAGTCATCCCAATCGTTCCAAGTCTCTCAATAACCTCGGGGATTCCCTCCGAACTCGATTTGCACAGTATGGACGGGCAGCAGATCTTGATGAGGCTATCGAGCTGAATCATGCTGCACTGCAACTTTGCCCCGAAGGCAATCCCGATCGTTCCATGTCCCTTCATAACTTAGCGACTTCCCTTCAGGATCGATTTGAACAGCATGGACAGACCGCTGACCTTGATGATGCCATCGAGCATCATCGTGCTGCGCTGCACCTTCGACCCGACGGTCATCCTGATCGTTCTGCCTCTCTGAATAATCTAGCGGTTTGCCTTCAAATTCGGTTTGAACAGCTTGGACGGACGACAGACCTTGACGAGGCTATCAAGCATCATCGTGCTGCACTGCAACTTCGACCTGCCAGCCATCCCTATCGTGCCATGTCGCTCAATAATCTTGCGGCTTCACTTGTAATTCAATATGAACAGCATGGACGGCCCACGGACCTCGATGAGGCCATCGAATTGAATCGTTTTGCCCTGCAGATTCAACCCGACAGCCATCCCGATCGTTCCACGTCTCTTTTCACCCTAGCAGCTTCCCTTCAAATCCGATTTGAACAAACTGGACAGGTTGCTGATCTTGATGAGGCCATCGAACATAATCGCTCCGCCCTACAGCTTCTCCCTGACAGCCATGCTAATCGTTCCGAATAACCTGGCAACTTCACTTCAAGGCCGATTTTCACAGTATGGAGAGACGACAGACCTTGATGAAGCCATCAAGTACCATCGTTTGGCACTGCAACTTCGTCCCACTGGCCACCCCGATCGCTCCATGTCTCTCACTAACCTTGCGGCTTCCCTCCAAGTTCGATCTGAGCAGCATGGACAGACTAACGACCTCGATGAGGCCATTGACCTGCATCATGCTGCACTGCAGCTTCGACCCGATGGGCATCCCAATCGTTCCATTTCTCTCAATAACCTTGCTACTTCTCTTAAAATGCGATTTGACCAGCTTGGACGCACCGCAGACCTCGATGGGGCCATCGAGATGATTCGTGAGGCTCTGCAACTTCGACCCGACGGTCATCCCGATCGTTCCACATCGCTGGCCAGCTTGGCTATTTCATTATTCTCACAATTCAAGAAGTCTGGGAGCTTGGACGATTTCGAAGAGTGTATGCAATTATTCGGATGTGCTGCCGAGCATAAGTTTTCAAGCTCGGTGGTGCGTATCGAGGTGGCCAGGCGATGGGCTGACCTTGCTCGAAGTCATGCTCACCATACCACGTCTAGGGCTTACAAGGTGGCGATGCTGCTTCTTCAACGTTCCCTCGTTGTTAGTCCCACGCTTCATACACAACACGACTTTCTTACTGGAAAAGGCGACTACAGAACACTCACGTTGGAAGCGGTGGCCTATGCCATACATCGAAATAGGCTGGAGGAAGCGATTGAGCTGCTCGAGCAAGGAAGGGGTATACTCTGGTCGCAGATGCGCGGTCTTCGGACACCTCTTGATCGTCTTGTGGAAACGAATAGAGAGCTCGCTGATAAGTTCAGGAATGTTAGTCGGCAGCTGGAGAAACTGGCAACATCAACTTCCGCACTGCAGTCTGATCCAAGCTTAGGCAGAGACGGCTCATCTACACTGGATGTTCACAGAGAACGGTTATTGTTTGAGGAGAAGCTGAAGGTAAAGAAGCAGCTCTCTAATGAGCAAGAGGAGATCATCAACGAGATAAGGCGAATTCCTAAATTTGAGAGCTTCCTTACAGCCACGCCGTTTAAAGAACTTCAGCGGTCAGCTTCGGAGGGTCCAGTGATTGTGGTCAATCATAGCAAATATCGATCCGATGCGCTCATCATCCTCTCACGTGAAGTTCAACCAGTTATCTGTGTCCCACTAGATGGAGAGTTCTACAAGGACAGCATTGAGTTATATGTCGAACTCTTGGAAACGCGACAACGTTTCACGGCTAACTCGCCTGAATATGATAAGAAGCTCGTTGAAGCACTGGAGATGTTATGGGATAGGGTCGTGTCCAAAGTCGTCGAAAAGCTTAAGGAGCTTGGGATTGCTGAAGGATCGCGAATTTGGTGGTGTCCTACATCTGTCCTCTCTGCGCTTCCCTTCCACGCCGCGGGTCCGTTCAAGGACACGGATGGCACTACGGAGTATTTATTGGATAAATACGTCTCATCATATACTCCGACACTCGGAGCGCTCGTCAATGCACAGTCAGGCGGGGATGGAGGGGAATTAACGGTGCTTGTCATTGGGGATACATCGCTTAAGTCAGCTAAGCAGGAGATCAGAAACATCCGGAACTGTGGGATTAGCACCCGGTTACTCGTCAGTAAGAAGATATCTCATGAAGCAGTGATCAAGGCCCTTTCGGGATCAACCTGGGTTCATTTCGTTTGTCACGGAACTTTAGACCCAAAGCCCTTCAATTATTCATTCAAATTGACAGACCATGGACTGACTTTACTCGATATTGTTCGAGGTCATATCCCGAACGCAGAGTTCGCCTTCCTTTCTGCCTGCCACACAGCTGAGCAGTCTTTCCTGGTTGCGCACGATGAAGTGCTTCACTTGGCTGCAGCGATGCAGTTCTCTGGATTTCGAAGTGTGATTGGATCGATGTGGGAGCTACTTGATGAGGATGGGCCGTTTTTCGCCAAGACAGTTTACGAGTACATGCAAAACTGCAACGAGGGCGAGGCGAAGTACAAGCGGGCGGCTGCTGGTCTTCGTGAAGCAGCGATAGGACTGAAAGCACGGGATGGTATTCAGACTGAGAGATGGGTAAATTTGATTCACATAGGTGCTTGATTGACTCCTGATATTTTGTATTGTATCTTTCCTTCCTTGACTCCGGGAGATCACTTTCTGTTTTGCACGTGTTATCCCTGGCATGCTTCCCTTTGTTAGCCTTCTTAACCCGGTCCATCTGAGTGTTAACTATTTCTGGAGCAAAGCTAGATCTTAGCAGGGTCATTGACGGTATTGGAGACATACTGGTACTGTCCTTGGATGATTTCATTATTTGGACACTATCTTCAAGGCTGCACACCGACCTTTTTGGCCTTTCATCTGTTCATTATTCTTTCACGTCTGTAGTTTTTTTTCTTGTATGCGAGTTGAAAATGCTTATTGACGAATCTCTTTCCGCATTTTCCAATTGCCATCCCTTTCATCTTCGGATTGCTATCTTATCAGTTCTTCATCAAACAGGTTCATTGGCATCATAGCAATGCCAGAGACAATGACTGGCACAATCGTTGGTGGTACACCAGTTCAACAAGCAGCAAGGCTACAAATGGTAATTATGTCCATGACAACTACAATACTTGTAACAGTTGCTGCACTCGCAACTGTTGTTGATGGTGAGCATTGTACACGTGTAGAAAGAGTAGATACAAGAAAGCATTAGGTATGGCATAAGAGAGAAGATATAGATTTGTGTTGTTGGGAAGGTAAATTGGCAGGTGCAAGAGTAAAAGGAGCCTAGTAGAACAGTAAGAAGAGAGAAATAGATTGCTTAAATAGAATAGAGAAGACTAGTAACTACTATTAAATCTAATTAACTACACAGCAGAAGAAGACTCACCTCGATGAACCCAACCTACGCATCCGCATCACATTCCCCCATCCGAATCGCACACCATTCCGGCTGAAGAGGAATTGCACGTACACCCCGATGTACCATCCGATACCGCATCTCATGAAGACGTGGTAACGCCTCAGAGACGTTCAGACCTCCATTAACGACTTTACCGCCTGTCCAGAAAACTTCTGCGGAGGCTGCTGTACGTGGCCAGACGATGCTGTCGAGGTTTTGTGGGCTACTTTGTTCGGTCCAGAGAAGTTGTTGGCCTGAGTGGAATATCAATGTTAATGCGAGAATGTAAGAGGAGATCGAAGAGGGTTTTGTGAGAGTTGTGCGCACCACCTAGGACTAGGCTTCGTTGGTCTGTTGTTAGATTTGCATAGGGGTCGAAGGAGTATGCCTATAAGGAACGTATTACGGCTTGGTCTTATGATGGGATGGTACTACTTATGTACCTTTTGCCATGTTCTGAATGGAGTGCACCCAATGCTTCAAGTATTTTACCGGTTAACATTCGGACGCACTATGATATCCGGGTAGTATATGCGTACTTTGAAACATCGTCACCGTACCACCCTCCCGCCCCACAATCCTGAACAAGAAATGGTCGTCGAGTCAAGAAAAAGAAGACATGAAGGAAATGTACGCACAAGATAGAAATAATCTTGTGGACCAAGGACAATCCGGAAACCTTTCGCCGCAACGGAGGCTGCGTCCTGAGAGGAAAGCCATACCCTATTATTACACCTCGTATAAGACATAGAACGAGATAAAAGGTAGACCTCGATTACTTACATGACAATCGTATCGTTTGATAGTGTTACGTTATGCTCAAGGACCATCTCTTACAGAATCAAGAACATAATCAATATATTTATAAATCACAACACGACGTTCAAAGTTTAACCTCACCTTCCCAAACAACAGGTGTCTTCCCAGCACTTCTCAACGCACCATGCGTAGCCTGAGTAAAGTCATTTAACGCCTGTTCAATCGTCCTACCAGTAGCGTTCAATGTATCCTGCGTCTCGGAATCCGCAGCGTAGCAAGCTTCGTTGATTTCGTCCCCACCAGTCCCAAGTAAGGAAGAAGGGAATAACTTGGCGACGGCAGAAAAGAGGGAGGCGGTGAAATTCGTTGTTGATTGGGAGGCTATGCGAAGTTGGCCTGATGGTGGTTCTAGGTAAGACGAAAGTTTTGAACTGAGTCGATTTTGCGGTGAGTATTGGTTGAATTGAAGAACTCACCGCCGGCGAAGGTTGACCAGGGTGATGAGTGGAAACATGCAATGTGCTCTGGGTGAGACTCGCCGATGGCTGCTGAGTGGCCTGGAGAGTCAATTTCCTTTAACATATCATAAGATACGAATGCGTGCTTGTCAAGCTAGGACTGACGACTAGAACGTCTATCCCTCTCTGCAACCGCATGAATAAAATCAGAACAGAACGACTTTAATTCGCGCGATACACACCTCTCCGGCGTAATTTATTATGTCCTGGACATCATCGACTGTATAAATCGACGCGTTCGAATACGCACCGTCCCTCGATAGTTCCATGAATCCTGGAACTTGGAGCGGGAAGCTCTGACTATCTGAGATATGCCAATGGAACGTATTGATCTTGAGTCAAGAGAACGAAATTAACGTCGGAGTCACTGCTTGTGAATGTTACTGGAGGCTGACCTTGACCCAGCTCATTGCGTCCAGCGTGCGTTTGATATCCGATGTTGGGAAACTAGATGGTACTTCAGTTCGAATCCTAGTTGAGAGTTAGGCACTTACAAGTTCCGCGCAGTGTCAAGCATAAATCCTCGATAAGGCTAACAAATACACCAGTCAAAACAACGGCTTCCGCATTACTAATGAATGCGAATACCCACGAAAGCCGGGGAGTCTTCAATAGTGATCGGCGTGTTCAGAGTATACGTCTGATTATCGAAGTCATACCAGATTTGACTGAAGGTCGTTAGTCCTCTGAACAGTCCAAGCGAAGTATTTGCCACGAGACTCGCTGTAGAGCCGTCAGATGGTATGGTCAACGAGTAGCTTTCATCCCGTTCCGAGAGAGGTTTCTGTGCCTCTGACATGATGCTCGATATGGACCCATTTGAGTCATGAGTGAGTGAAAGAACCAACGAGTCGAGTTCGTCTGCAGTCTTAACAGCTGGTGTATCAGAAGAACCCCTTCCTACCACGAGTCTGCCCAGTTTGTCATTCTGGACAAGAGAATAAGTTCGTGTGATAGCTGAATTTATGTCGGGAGTAGGTTCGAAATTTGCGATAATGGAGAAATTAGAGGCGAGGCGAAGTGCTCGAGTCCCAGACGTCAAAGAACGAGGACGAGGCCAAATAGCATAGACGGCGTGAATGAGCTGGAACAGAAGCAGACTGACAGTTAGCGCAAGTGCATGCATTGTGCTGTACCAGCCGAAGCGGCCATGACAGACAAACCCGAGTTATACTTATATGCAGTTAAAACGTGCCGGATTTTGAGAGTTAATCGGTCATGTGTTGAGTTTGGAGAGGACTTCTGAACAAACTGGCCATTAAACACAGAGAAATAAACTTCAGCGGGCCGGAAGTGTGTTGGTGCTGCTTCTATGAGATAAGAGAGAATCAACGCGGCCGTAGAGACAAGGACGGCAGCTGGTATCTTTCAGTACTATTTATCGTGTCAAAATCGTCGCTGTGTGAAATAGTCTCAGATAGAACAGGTGAGTGCAAGGCAAATAAACGTCGCGTAATTGAATTACACGGTCACATGCTCGGGAGCCGTCACTGTCGGACCCGAGTCGGGATGTCTTGCCTTGCATCTGCATTCGGATTGCGAGTGCGACATCGCCGACGAGCTTGGTCTTGGTCAATCAACAATGCGAGACATGCCAGTCTGCAGCCCATCCGAGCCATGCTACACTCACTTTCTCTCTCTCTCTTAAACCCCTTCCTCCAGGTTCAGGGTTCGGATGCAGCCCTCCAGCGGTGGCAACTCGTATCGCTTGGCCTCGTCCCCTCCTTCGCGTCGTCCGAGGAAACGTCCACGGTGGTCAAAAGGCTCGCCGGAATATTGCCAGTCGTTTCATGCTATAGGCAATAAACGGAGAATGGAGAGCCGTTCGTACCGTAGGGCTAGTTTGCCTTGTATCTCTTCGCCTCTAAGAGGTGAGCTTCATGTTCTTACCTACAAGGTCTGATGCTTACACTCTCGTAGGATACTGTTCCACATCCAAAGATGTCATGGATTTTGATGTTGAGCAAGACCCACCCTCGCCGACTTACCAACAAGATTGCAGACGTAGAAATTCTGTATCGGTGTTACCTGCAAATACTGTGGTATACAGCCCGTCGGCTGTCAGGCATTCTCCTCCTGGCTGCGAGTCGTTCTTGCCGTCCTTCCCGATTTCATTCGAGTGTCAGAAGGACTTGGATCTTGAGACTTTCAGGCAGGCACGAGCGTGTGGAATGACTCTCGATACTATCTCGGTGGCAAAGCCTCGTTCAAGACCGCAAAGTGCGGCTCTTGTCGATGTCCATATAACCAGAAAAGATGACTTAGGGGATGATCTAGGCAGTTTGTAAGTGTCTAATCTTCATTTTGTCCGGATATAATCAGCGAGCTTACGCTGCTGCTCGGGACAAGCCTCCGCTCCCCTGATTTGCATGACACAGGTTGCAATGAAGGCACATTGGCTGTCTCACACTCTATGCCACGTTCCGTAGTTGACTATGGCGGCCGAAATGAACTCGTCATCCCTGCAGTGTCGCCTGTTCCTAATTCGCCGTCTTCCCCATGTTTTTCTGCAACGTCCGGCTCACCAGCTTTTACTGCGATTAATCTCCAACCCGTGAAGCTTGCACCGTCTTTCAGTCCGGACAAGCAGTTGGCACGTGTCAATAATTTACTGAGGCGGTATAACCATGTCTTTTGCGGTGACGGCTTATCAAAGCACCTCGCCTCAGTGACTGCTGAGATGCTAATTGACATCGAGAAATTATTAGATGATCATAGGGCGGATTATCAGTTCGAGGTAGATGACAGGATGGAGTGTGACGACGGAGATTTGAGTCCCCTTATAGACTTAGGCTCACTGGACAGGGGAGGGCTGATGATTGGGACAGACTGGAGGAAACCGACGGCAATGAGGGAGGTGATTCCACCCGAGCACAGTAAGTCATCTTTGACATGTAGCACGAACGCTCTGTTTCACGCTACTGCCAATCTTCAGGTGTCTTCAGACAGCCTCTGTCCCGCACGCATCGCTATGCGTCATGCGTACACACTTTGGCAGGTTATCAAAATGATCTGCCTATCGTAGTCCGTGCTTGTGTAGAGGAGCTATACAGAACAGGTGCTTATTTCACTCATGTTTTCTTCCTATTGAAACCTCATCTAATGATGGTCGTAGGGATGACTGTCTCAGGTCTATTCCGCACCGCACCTAGTCGGGCACGTCTGGACAAGCTCACCACAACTTTTGACATCGGGCCTTCCTTCGGACGTTCGGTATCTCTCCGCAAAGAGAATACCGAAGACATCTGTGCACTTCTGAGAAAATATATCACTGGATTGCCGCATGCCATTTGGCACGAGTCACTTTTTGAACCCATGCTCGACTTATGCGTGCGACCAAGTGTGTTGATGGAAAAGGCACTAGCAGAAGCGGTCGAGGGAGAAGATACTCGAGGTATGTCTCCAGGGAGGGCAGCAGGCATCACTCGACCGAGCTCCGTCATCCTCCTCTCAACACCAACCCTTGGCGAGAAGAAACAGAAATCTCCTCACCTTCGTTCGTCATCATTCCATGAGGCGCTTCCCTTCAGCAATTCCGTTCCTTCTATAACATTATCAGCTATGGCACATGCGGATATCGACGCGATTCGAGAACGGCCGCGACTTGCGCTGGCAAGAGCGTTTTTTAGGCTCTTACCACCCTCCCATCTCTCGCTTCTCGTCTACCTATGCTCGTTCTTCTCACAATTACCGCTATGTCCGCATAACGAGCTCTCAATTGAGGACATCGCGCAGATGTTTGCTGTGCCGTTGTTCTATAGTAGACCGGAGGATGTGAATGAGGATGCGTCGTGGCCGGTAAGGAAAGAGGATGCGAGGATGATGATGGTTTGGGTGTTGAAGAGGTGGACGTTCATCTCGGAGGGGTTATTTGACGTTGATGATGATATGGACTTAGAGTTGGAGTTGTTGAATGAGGATGGAGAGAGTGGTCTGACGAGTGCGACGCCTTCTGATGGGTCTGACGGGTCTAGGTCTGCTTTTTCTGGTTTCTCATATCCTGGTTCGAGCAGTTCGAGGTCTTCGGTTCTCATGGGTCCTTCAACTGGAGGATCAGGACCAAGATCAGGTTTGGGGGTGGACAGGATTAAGACAGGCCGATTGAAGTCTAGAGCTGGTTCTGGTAGTCCGTCCCACAATGACATTGATATACAGATTTGGAAGAGTCACGTCGAGAAGGACTTGGACGAGCTTCGTCGGACGCTGATTGAGGTGCAGACTCGACTTGGGAGGTAGCCGAAAATGATAAATCATCATTTGAGGAGTGGGGGGATGAGATGGTGTGAGGAGATTGACTCTCGCTTTTTCTGTTTTTCTGATTTCTTGGGTTCTTTTTGTTTCCTGGTTTTGTGTCTTTCGTTTTTGGTACCGGTTTTTTGTGTAACGTTACATTCTGTACTCAGAATTCCCTGCATGAGGTGTATTTTTTTTTCTGTTTCCGGTTTGCTGTAGCAATATCTTATGTATCTTATGTTTTGTATCTTTTGTCTATTTTCTTATGCTGTATCGGAATTGCACTATAATAAATATGCAGAATAAAGGACTTTTAACACGTCTCATGTTAGGCAAGGATTTCTTATTGTCTGTCACTGTCAAAGACGTGTCTCAACTACGTTGCTCGGTCTATTAGGCATCTAGGTCGGTACGCGATGTACTTGCGACTTTAACTCATACGATTGCATTTATCTGGATGTAAGGATTTTGTTCGCGCGACTAGCATGTAGTAGGTGATGTTGTATTGTTGTATTGTTTGACGTTTGAGGTGCGGATGTAGCGAGATTAAATTTCTAAACTAGAATGGTAACGACTCTTTCTTGCGCGGTACAGCAGGTTTGAGCGGCTTCGCGCGTCTCCTCACGTATACCTACACAAAACAAGTGAAAGTCAGTATCAGCACACCACCCAAGGGTAACACAATAGCAGAATAAATAAAAAAAACCCCCGAATTCATCACGAAAAATTATTAAAAAATCAAAAATGAACGCACATTCTTAAACCTCTCAACCCTCTTATCCATATCCCTCATCCTAACAGCGATCTGAGCACGTCGTTTGGCGAGGTGACGTTCCCATTTGTGGCCTTTGAACATGCGACGACGGGTAGCGTAGATTGTTAGGGAGGAATGGGAGTGGGGTTTGGGGTGGAGTTTGTCTTTGCCTTTGCTTGTCCAGTTGAAGGTTATGCCTGGGTAGCCGAGGGTGGGGGAGGTGCGGCGGTGGGAGAGGTTTTGGGGGGTGCGGAGGAGCCAGCGGGGCTGGCGTCTTTTTTGGTGGGAGCGGGTTGAGGATGGTCGTTGGGTAGAGGTTTCTTGAGATTCTACGTCCTGCGAAGCCGAGGAAGTGGTGGTTCCATCTTTCGCTGACGCGTTTGCTTTCGCAGCTTTTGCCCGAGCTATACTCTGCTGGACCTTCAGAGATGTCTCTTTTGCAGCCCTTGCGCGTCTCCTCGCTTCACGTTTTGCCTCTTGGAGCTCTTCGAGGCTCAATTTCGGACCTGGTGGTAAGAGATGTAGCGTTCCCGACGCACGAGCAGCTTTGACGAGTTCTTTTTGACGACGTAAGGAATACCTCGGAGGAGCCCACATTTTCCTCTCTTTCTTCTTCCCGTTCTCTTTCTTCCCATTCCCTCCCTTCCCCACACTACCCAAATTTAACGAACCAAAAGGAAACGCGCTCTCATCTGTTTCAACATTTACCTCCTGCTTGAAAAGTGCTCTGGGTAAGAACGGGTTATGCAGAGGTACGCCCATACGAATGTCCTTCTTCACGTCGATGTTTTTGATGTTTTGCATGTAAAGTGGGGTGCGACCTTCGTTGGTGCGGTTGGGTGAGCGGAGGCCTCCGCGGTTGATGAAGCATTGGAGCTCGCGGGCGCGGAAGCGCTGGATGAGCTTGGGGATTGCTGTTGTTGACATTACAGCGTGTCCAACTTGCACGTCGCTGAGTGCTGAGTTTTCTGTCTGGACTCTGGATGATCGACGACGGTACGCGGATTTGATAAGTGAGGATTTTAAAGCTCCGCGATCTTCTTTCTCGACTCGGGCAGAGAAAAAAAATAAAGGAGGATGGTCCCAAACTTTCTGCTCTGTCCGTGACCTCGGCTCCGTGAAGCTATCTAGACTTTATTAATTGCGACCATGAAGTAACTCCGGGATCGAAGTAATGAAATGTATCTACTGGGGCTCTGGAAGACTTGCCAGCGCGCCATCTCTCTGTAACTCGAGCTTTTTCCGACATTTCTTTCTATTCAATGTCCGAGCCTCGGATTATCCAATGGGCTCTATAGACTTCTGTGTTACCTCGCAAACGTCTCGAACTACTTCGGACTCGCGTTGTCTGCACGCTCTGTATGTCCGTCAGACAACTCATCTCCGATGCTTCCCCGCAAACAATGGGATCCTTCTCCAACAGTATAAGAGCTGCGAACATGACTCGAACTAGAGCGTACCCCCAGGACTCAGTAGACACTATACAACAGTGCAGTTATGATCGGAAAACTCGCTTTCGCAAGCGCATTAATCTCGGGTGCCATGGCACAGGCCACAGCCCCACAGTGGGGTCAATGTGGTGGGCAGGGATGGACTGGGCCGACTGCTTGTCCGTCTGGATGGGTATGTACGGTTAGTAACCAGTACTACAGTCAGGTATGTCCTTTTCTCGTCATTTTCTTTAATACCGCATGTGATGAGGGAACAGAGCTAACTGATTGATGATATTTGGCAGTGCCTACAAGGAACAGCTCCTGCACCGACTTCCACTCCCGCTTCACCACCCGCTTCTTCGTCTGCACCCGGCGGTGGAAGTGCGACGTCTTCGATTCCTTCTGGGACTGCTACTGCAGGGTCCGCTGGCGCGACGCTCTTACCCGGAAATCTCTGGGTTCGTGCGGTGGTCAGTTCCGTCTTTCTTTCTTTCTTTCCTTTTCTGTAAAGTGGTCGCTGACGCGCAAATATTCATCTTTGTGTTTGTGCTGTGTTATAGGAAGAACCCAACTTCCACACCTACCTTCAGTCTGCAGTGTCTGGACAACCCGGACTTGCTGTATTCGGGAGCTACACTTCTGCGGCGCAGTTCCAGTTGAACGATGGTCAAGTTGAACAGCAGCTCGCTGATGGGAGCGTTCTCTATCTTAACGGTACGTACATTCATTTCACTTTAACCGCCTCCTTATCCCTCATTCCGATTTTAACATAAACTAATGAAATCATATACACATATTTTGGCGATAAATAGTGAACACGACGACAGCCTCCACAGCGACGTACCTCCCAACTTACTTCGCCACGACGCAAGAAACGACGGGGACGTGGGCGTTCCAGGGTGATGGGTTAACATGGACTGCTCCGGGAATCCCACGTCAGAATAATGGTGCTTTCCTTGCGTGTGGGACAGGTGTGCCTAGTGTTAATGTCAATCTTGGACCGTGAGTACTCTCTTTCTTTCGTTCTTTTTTGTATATATGCGTGAATTAAAGACTGATTACTTCTCCTACTTTCTCTTGCTTGTTTAGATACGACTATATGACTCCGGCTGGTTGTGCAGACGAGACGTTGAACTATTACAACGGTGCAACCGCTGTCGACTAATCAACTTATTCTTAGCAACTTGGAGACCTTTATGCACGTTTTTTTTTCTTTGTGTAGGGGCTGAGTAGCGGAAATTTCAAAAACTTTTAATCGGAGTAATGAATGCGTCACGAGACCCACCTTCAATGCAAAGCGTCTAAATTTTCTCGGGTGCGGGAAAAGTTGCTTCCGCACTTAATTTTTCCAGTTCTTCCGTGCAAGAGCTTATCAATAATAAGATAATAAGTGTGGTTCCCTGCAGACGAAGTTCACTAGGCTTTGTTTCATCGTACTGGCTTCTGAACGTTGAAGTAAGGAGGATAGTTTTGGGAAATTTTCTTTAGATATGAGATGATCCAGTTAATTTGATGCTGGATGACTTTTCTTTTTCTTTATGCTTAGTGTTTATAAATTGGGATATGAATTGTCCGGCAACACGGAATGGGCAAGAACTTTGCTGGTAGGTGCATGCTTCCCTGCTGTATGGTCGATCCTACGTCATGTCATTGCAGATTTCGAGCGTCTGATAACAGTGTTTGAGAAATATGAGTATCTAAAATTCGATGTATACAAATAACGCAGAAGTTTTCTTGATCTCTCGATTATAATGTCCATTTGTAGATAGCGCATGAGCAGATTCACAAACTGAGCGCAGGGATCGTACAATGCAAAGATGTGATACCACTGAAGTTTTCTTGATTTCTTGATGATCGTGACTACTTGTAGAAACATTATGAACATGTGAATACTCTCCGCGGCGTGTAATTGGTCTTCTGACACTTAAACTGGTCTACACCGAGGATGACAACAAGCTTTGAGACGTAATGATTGTATTCTGTCGGTGGAAACATCCCGAAATACGGTTCTAGGCCTGACATACGGTGGATCGAGGGAGCCTTGCATGGAGCACATGTGCATGCCTGCAGTGCTCGTCGGAGAGGGTCGGACTATTAGGGAGTTCTCTGAAGCTTGGTTGGAGAAGCGTGCGTGCTGGTGATGCAATTCTGGAGTGTACATTGGCGCGCGTTCAAAGGCATAATAAACGAGGATAATAAAATATAAAACTAATGTCAAAGAAGATAAATTGCTGAAAATTCAAGAGTAGCCGAAATTGGGCGTATTCTTTGTTTGTATATTGGCCGTGTGCACTGGTAGGACAAGGGAGCATAGGACTAAAAGCACGTTTTTGTTGGCAGTGAGTGCTGTGCTATAGTGTGTATGCGTAGACGAGGAGGGATAGCCAGAATAGGTGTGTTGTTTCCCACGGACGACTGCCGGGAGAGAGCGGTGGGTTTTGCAATCAGCGAGTTTTGTTGACCCACCGCCGTGCAAGTGTTCCCCAACAAGCCACCCCATATCGATCTCTCTCCTCGTCGTCCTGCTCAGTACTCAGCCTATCCGAGGAGCCGCTGGTTGGCACATTTGCAAGAAAGCCTCGACCAGTCTTCGCTTTTTTTCTTTGCTTTCTCACCAAGGTCGGCCCGCACCCTCGCGCGTTATCCGAAAAGCAACTCCAAGAGGTCCTGCTCTCCTCGACGCTCAATACCCGCTCATCTTCTCACTCTGTCTTCTATATATCTTGCATAGATTCGTTCTCTACCACCGCGTTCGCCAGCTCGATACAGGCCCTTTGACCTCCTGACCGCGAGCGCGTGCGACGACTCGACGTTTACAAACAAATGGCAGACTCAACAACGGAGATCGATCTTGACTCGGTCATTGACAGGCTACTCGAGGGTACGTTCTCGTTATTCTGCTTCTCTTCTGTTGCCTGGTATGGTCGAAGATGCGTGTGTCGCGGGACAAGACGGGATGGCTCGCGGTGGAGCACACGATTGTGCGCGACGATTTGCTCGTATGTTACCGCAACTTTTGGGTGGCGTACTGCACCCTCGTACATTGGGAAAATCAAGGAAGTGAAGTATAATTCTCATTTGCGATGACTGCTGGAACGTCGTTCAGGCTGTGCGTGGCCTTCGCGGGTCCATCAGCGCTACGTGTTGTTGCTGTGTGCATGATTCATCATCGCGCGTGTCAGAGCTCGTTATCTTTTCCGTCCGCCCGGCCCTCCGCGACATCTCCATCCCACTCACTTCAAATCGTTCTGATATCTTCTTTCTTTGTGATGCAGTCAGAGGAAATCGACCTGGGAAGCCCGTGCAACTCGCGGAATACGAAATTAAATACCTCTGTACGAAGGCTCGAGAGATTTTCATCAACCAACCTATCCTGCTCGAACTTGAAGCACCTATAAAGATATGCGGTGAGTGACGATGATCGTTCTTAGATGACAGTGCGTTCTTATTCGCGGGATTTGCTCGACAGGCGATATCCACGGGCAATATTACGATCTTTTACGGCTCTTCGAATACGGCGGGTTCCCTCCTGAAGCAAATTACCTCTTCCTCGGTGACTACGTTGACCGTGGTAAACAATCGCTCGAAACCATCTGCCTACTCCTCGCATACAAGATCAAGTACCCTGAAAACTTCTTTATTCTTCGAGGCAACCACGAATGTGCTAGTATCAACAGAATTTACGGGTTCTATGACGAATGTGGGTTTTATCCTATTATAGTCGATATGATTCATCTTGCTGAATGCTTTGACTCGTAGGTAAACGTAGATACAACATCAAGCTCTGGAAAACGTTCACAGACTGCTTCAACTGTCTACCAATTGCCGCAATAATCGACGAAAAGATATTCACGATGCACGGTGGATTAAGTCCGGACCTAATGTCGATGGAGCAAATAAGGCGTGTGATGCGACCGACGGATGTTCCTGACACAGGTGAGCCTTTTTGGCAGTTACTCGGGATTACGAGCCGTTGAGACGGTTACGGTACTCACACACCGCCGCATATTAATTAGGTCTATTGTGTGACCTTTTATGGTCAGATCCCGATAAAGATATTACAGGATGGTCAGAAAACGACCGTGGTGTTTCGTTCACGTTTGGACCGGACGTTGTATCACGATTTTTACAGAAACATGATATGGACTTGATTTGTCGAGCACATCAGGTGGGTTAAATCGTTTTTTTGGTGCTTATCCTTATTAGGATTTGTCGGAGTTAAGCTTCTTTTTCCTTATTAGGTCGTTGAAGACGGGTATGAGTTTTTCGCAAAACGACAGCTGGTAACGTTGTTTTCAGCACCGAATTACTGCGGGGAGTTTGATAATGCGGGCGCAATGATGAGTGTGGACGAGACGTTGCTGTGTTCCTTCCAGGTAAGTAACTACACTTCTGGGCTCACTTCATCGCCAATGCATCGGAAGCGAATATTTATTAATGGGCTTTTGTTTTGGGTTATTTATAGATTCTGAAACCAGCAGAGAAGAAAGCAAAATACCCGTATGGACCGATGAACATGAGTGGGCGTCCAACGCCGCGTAAGGCTCCGAAGAAGAAGTAACGAGGAGTGTTAACGCGCCGCGCGGGAACGCTGTCCGTTGCTCTCACCACCGTCCACTGTCTTCCATCCGTCCATCCGTCGTCCATCATCCGTCTTTCTCTCCGTTTCTTTCCCTGGTTCTGGCTCTCTCCTTGATCTGCCCTACTTCCCACTTGCGGCGTGGCGAAAAATCTCAGCGGCTTTGGGGCTGGTCGCGCGGATTAATTTCATCATGTGTCGATGTAGCTGGTTTTGAGGGCAGGGTCACAATAATTACAATACATTCAAGAGGCGCCCTTCGCGAGCGTTGGGGGCTGAGTCACGTGCCTTCGGGGTTAATGCGTAATTGCGAGGAGCAGGGCGTGTGGGGTAGGAGGGTATCTGGGATAATTGGGGGATACAGGTATGGGATGTGAGATATGGAATACGGGATACAGTAATGGACAGTGGACAGTGGTTGACGAGTTAGACGGTGGTGTTTTTACACATATTTCTTTTTCACTTCTTTTTTACTTTTTCAAACTCGTTGCGCGGCGCAGGAAGACAGGGCAGGAGGTGTACTCGGAGGAAGGGTGACAGTGACGTTCATTACGGTTACTCGTTTATTTGTTGTTTGTTGAACTGGTCGATATCATATATTATTACGGTTGTTCATTCATTCTTCTTCTTCTTCCCTTCTCTTCCCATTCCTTTTCGCTTTTATCATTTCTGTTCCTTTCTTTGTCGTTTCGTTTAGTCTAATTTTAAATCTGTGTCTCTCATCCTCTGTCTTCTGTTACATACCTACCTACCTGTCTACCAATCTATATACTCTTTCTGTCCTTCTTTCTGACTGTTCCTTGGTTAGTGTTGTCTGTGTCTGTGTCTGTCTGTGTCTGTGTCTGTGTCTGTGTCTGTGTCTGTGTCTGTGTCTGTGTCTGTGTCTGTGTCTGTGTCTGTGTCTGTGTCTGTGTCTGTGTCTGTGTCTGTGTCTGTGTCTGTGTCTGTGTCTGTCTGTGTCCAACCTAAGCCCCATTTGCTGTTAGATTCCTTAAACTCAACAACATTTCATCATGTCAGAGAGGAGTACTATTATTTGAAAGAAAGACTCTAGACCAGACAAAAAAAATGTAGACAGTATTAATTAAACTAGAGAGGATCTTAAACTGGTAAGTAAAAGTTGGGATTTACTAGTAGGGAATCTAAATCTACAAAAAGTTTCTTTACACAAAGTAACTTTATAACTTTTTTATATAGTATGAAGTAAATACAGAGAGAGAGGCATGAATTTTCTGTTAAAAATTGGATAATGAATACTTATTTACTAGTTTGTGGTCTTTATATACAGGTATGTAGCAAAAGTGTTTGTCTTTCCTCAAAAGGTAAGGCCATTTGTAAGTGATTAGCATACCTTATGTAGAAATTAGAGGTACAGTTGAAAATGTCTTATTGTATCACATCATAATACATAAATGGTATAATGTATAGACTTTTGGCCAGACCAAAATTCAGGTCCTCAGCCAAAATGTATTGTTATAATGTATAAATTGTATAATGTATTGGGTTTAGCCCTCTCCTGACATTATACAATAAGACATTTTCAACTGTAGATCAAAGCTTTGCAACACACAATCTGTATGTTGTAAAGCACAAAAAAAATAAAGAATTTTGCTCAATTTAAACAAAATGGCTCATATTCAACTCAGCTCACCCAAAAAAAATCAACTCATTGGTGCTATACATCTTGGAGCAAAAATCTGTCATGCTACTGTAGTTCTGGAGATCCCCTGTACTACTACTCAATCAATATGGAAGAAATGGAAGGAAACTGAGTCTACCTCTAACAAACCATGTTCTGGACGTCCAAAACTCCTTGATGGAATCATACACAAGCTTCTCATTCATTTGGCTACTACTCACAAGTTTATACCTCTTAAAAACCTTACAAACCACATGGGAATCAGTAGGGAAACAGTTAGGAGGGAGTTGGCAAAGGATGGTTATCACAGAAGACAAGTTAGGAGATGTTTACAGAGAAATGCAATTCAGGAGGCAAGGAGACTTATTTAGGCAGGACACTATCATTACTGGAGGGTTCAGGAGTGGGCTAATGTGGTTTTTTCTGATGAATCCTACCTTTGTGTGGATGGAAACATTGGAAATGTTTGGGTGACCAGAAAACCACATGAAGTTTATGAAAGATCATGCATTCTTAAAAAGCCATACCAGAATCCAGTTAGGATAATAGTTTAGGGATGTATTACTCATAACTTCAAAGGTCCTCTTGTTATTCTTGATTATCCTAGAGGGAGAGGAGGAGGAATGACTGTACAAAGGTACAAGGAGTAAGTTTTACTACCTGTCCTTATTCCAATCTTCAATTGGCTTCAAATCGGACGTCCTGGCCTCTTATTCCAACAGGATAATGCTAGATGCTATACAGCCCAAGTTACAAAGCAATGCTTGCAGGAGAACAATATTCCTCAAATTGATTATCCACCCATTTTACATAATGTCAATCCTATTAAACCAGTCTGGTTTGATTGGAAGAACATTTTTCAAGGTCAACAAAGGACACCAACATCTAAGGAGGAATTGAAGGAAATGGCTAGGGAAGCTTGGGATAATCTTACATTGGATCAAATTAATAAACAGATTGAATCCATACTAAAGAGGGTTGATACAGTTGTTATTGCTTGTGGAGGAAACACTAGTTACTAAAGTCATTATTTTTCTTTTTTTTTCTTTCTAAACAAGCTATAGACAACTATAATTTTAATTAATGTATTCAAGTTTTAAGTATATACTTTACAAAAATTAATGTTTATGTTTTTTTGTGAGTATATTGTGTTCACACAAGTCAGAGACACAAGACAAAGGTTTGACGTGTCTCTGACAGCTCAAATAGGTAACACAAATCGATTAATAATGTACCTACCTATTGAGGAAAGACAAACACTTTTGCTACACACCTGTATACTAGTGGCAGACAATAAAGAATCAAGTAATCTTGATTTATTCAAAAACTAGAGGAAGTAGAAAGAGGAAAAAATTAATAGATTAATTACAATTAATTATAAATGGAACTAGTTGATTAATTTATATAGTAAATAGTATGTTAGTTACATTTAGTCTGTATTTAAATACATTCACCTCTGTATAGAACAAAAGAATTTGTGTAATCCTGTAAATCCTATCATTACCAATCTTTTAATACAAAATGTTGTGTGGTTGTAGAATTAATGTCAATTATTATAGTGTAACTAGGTCCTAACTAACACAAACTTCTCTTTACTATTCTAAAGTATTAGTAACAGTATAGAGGGGACTCAAAGGCTTAGTAAGGGGACCCAGGCTACAACTATCCTACACAATAGAAGTAACAGGATGTAAGTACTAGAATGTAGTCAGAACTCACAGAATAGACAGATAGAGTGAGTGAGACAAGTATAAAGTATATAGATTGAGTCTAAGAGTATAAGACTACTTAGAGTAGACAAGATTAAGACTACTAAACTAGTCTGATCTTGTACATGTATATATACTAAACTACACAAGAGTACTTAGGGAAGGATGAGTTATAAAGAATAAAAAGTAAAAAGGTTAAAAATATATAGACAAAGAATAAAGGGATGAAAGAGTAAAGAGTAAGAGACCTTAGAATAAACAAAGAATAAAGGGGTAGAAAAAGGAAAGGAGTAACAAGGTAGAAAGAAATAGTAGTAGGAGTCACTGTAAGAATCAGTCTGTATATAGTTTATATACTGTATACTTGAAAGACAGAAGTTCTAAGTTTTAAGACAGAAGGTTATAGAACTGACAGAACTGAGAGCTTAAGAGTAGTAGATTGTAATATTACCCTCTTTCTAAAACTAATTGTCCTGATTGGTAGACATTAGGCTTGGTTAGTAGTTTGAGTATAAGTTAGAATAATAAGTGTAACCTCTAAGGTTATACATGTAACTTTAGTTAAGTATATAAAGGGCTATTTGTAAATACTTAGAGATTATCTTTGTACTTGCTCCTATACTTAGGTCAACCTCTCTAATCCTAGGTCTTTACCTGTTCTGTGTTCTTGAGTAAGGCTCTAGCCTTTACACTTTTTTTTAAACATTACAAAGTTTAGGGATTACCTCTTATTTACTACCTTTTACTTGTACTACCAGATTGTCAGCCTCCCCCCTAACTTCCCCCCACACATTCACTATCTTCTACACACTTACAGTACTCTACAGTAATACTCTAGTTAATCATAAACTTTACAAATACTATACTAAATTCCTGTTCACTCTTAAAGACTTATAGAGAGAATATTACTACCTACTAACCTACCTTCAATCTCCTAACAGACCCTTATCAGATTAGTTCTAGGATTCTAGAAGAACATGTTAGGAAGATTGTATACAGTTGTACTAGAGTTATACACATTGTACCTTATTGTGAGTCTTATTAGTTAGCTACAAGTAAGATTCTACTACTTAAATATATACTTTTACTATACTACTCTCTTCTAGTAAACCCTTATCAGATTAGTTCCTAGATTCTAGGAGAAGGTGTTAAGAAGAGTGTGTGTAGTTGTACTAGAGTTGTATGTATTACACATTATTGTGAGTCTGGTCAGCTGTCTACAATTAAGGTTCTACTACTCAAGAATATACTTTACTATACTATTTTAAGTAGATTATTTATAGACTTACTTATACTTATAACCTTTCTACTACTTGTCACAATCTTAACCTAGTGTCTAAAAACAAGCTGTAGAAGCCCCTACTATTCTATTCCTGAAATTGTTTGAGGAGAACACTATCTTAGTACTACTATTAAGATTAGAAGCTATTATACAATTACTCTACTAGAACACTGTTAAGAAACAAGCTGTAAAAGGACCTACTGTCCTAGTCCTGAAATTGTACAAGGAAGTACTATCTTAATACTATTACTAATATCTAGAACTGTAGTATAATTCTCTTTAGGAGCTATAGGTTCTATACTAACAGATACTACTTCTACTAGTATAACAAATGTTATAATTAAGCTATTAACTACTACTACTAGTACAACAGACATTATAATTAAGCTGTCAACTATACTGTATTTGTTGTATACTTGTTATACTTACTATAATGTGTATCTCTCTATTGTTAAAGTGTTTGTTAAGACAGTCTATTCCTTACTATACTATCTCTTACTCTGTTACTGTTTAGTGTTTACTATTATTGTTTACTGTTTACTAAGAGTATAAAGTCCCTTTCCCTTCCCTTCCTGTTTCCTAGAGTATAAAGCCCCTTTTCTAGTTGTAGACCTAGTCAGGGTACTAAGCCTCTACTAGTGTTAATTCTAGTTCTAAACATATAAGACCTCTACTAGTATTACCTTCTGTTTCCTAGAGTATAAAGTTCCTTTTCTAGTTATAAACCTAGTTAGGGTACTAAGTTCTTACTAGTGTTAATCCTAGTCCTAGATGTCTAGAGCCTCTACTAGTGTCACCTCTAGTCCTAGATTTAGTTAGAGTATTAAGCTTCTACTAGTATTATTCCTAGTTACAGACCTAACTAGGAATTATACTCTACTAGTATTATCTAGTCCTTTCCTGTCCTGTCCTGTCCTGTCCTGTTCTGTCCTGTCCTGTCCTGTCCTGTCCTGTCCTGTCCTGTCCTGTCCTGTCCTGTCCTGTCCTGTCCTGTCCTGTCCTGTCCCCCTTTGTCCTTCTAGTATGAACAGACCCTCTGTTACCTCTACACACTCTGTTTTACCTATACACTATCTGTACTCTTATTACTCTTAGAATTAGTGTGTCAATTTTATTAACTTAGTCCTTCTACTCCTCCTAATACTAAT